AAGCACGATGTATAAACAGGAGGGTGTGTGTGTGTGTGATTCTCTGCTTCAGGGATCTGACGCAAGTGCATAAGACATCAGAGTCCCTTAGAGAACTAGAGCGGGCACTTTCTTCGCTGGCCGAATGCGCATCTACTATTGGACAGGCCCAGGCAGAGCAGTCATCGGCATCGGGTGGCGTACCACATTTGAATGGAGTGCACACAGGCATCGAAAGCACTTTATCGTCGTTGGATGACGTTGTTCAGGTAACACACAGCAGGGACAACGGTAGCAGTGCTGGCTCTGCTACTGCTGATGACGCGGGCATCAGTGCAGAAAAGCTAGCCCCTTTCTTGCACAGCTTGGAGCCTGGCGAGGCATCTGATGGTGAGTACTATAAATTAGCAGAACTATCAGAACTGCACTGTTTGCTGTGCGGTGATCATGTATCAACTGCCTTGTGCATGCAGCTGTGAACTGCCTTGTGCATGCAGCTGTGAACTGCCTTGTGCATTGTGTAGATATCTACATTATACCTCATACGCCCGCGCTGTTAAAGGGGAAGTTAAGGCAAAAATCAAAATTTCACCAGTTGTAGTCTTCGGGGTGCTGAGTCGAATGGTCTTGGTCCGAGAAAGCTGAGACGCTCCCTTCCTACCTGAATCCCAATCGAACTCGCGCACTTCCACCGAAACTGGGTGACTGCGCCCTACGAGATGGGGATTTGTATGCAAAATGTCACTAAAAGCGCCATTTCGTTCTTATAAAAGCACGGATGACCGCGATTGGCCCATATGTTGTAGTCTTTTGGACGCTGAGTCGACTGGTTTTGGTCCGAAAAGGCTGCGATGCAGCGTTCCTCCTTTATTCCCAATCGAACATGGTTGAAGAAGCGGTCACGTGCTCCTGGGTGCCAAAATCACCTGGTCACCACGCCAGCAGGCGACAACTTTCACACCAAGGTTCAACTCGAGTGACAGGACTGCACCCAAAAAAGGTCAAAACAGGCTGTAAGTTGTACCGTGCAGGCACGGTGACCAGGTGACTGGTGTACGCAGGAGCACGTGACCGCTTGTTCAACCATGTTCGATTGGGAATTAGGGGCGAACGCTGCATCGCAGCCTTTTCGGACCAAAACCAGTCGACTCAGCGTCCAAAGGACTACAACATATGGGCCAATCGCGGTCATCCGTGCTTTTATAAGAACGAAATGGCGCTTTTAGTGACATTTTGCATACAAATCCCCATCTCGTAGGGCGCAGTCACCCAGTTTCGGTGGAAGTGCGCGGGTTCGATTGGGATTCAAGTAGGAAGGAAGCGTCTCAGCTTTCTCGGACCAAGACCATTCGACTCAGCACCCCGAAGACTACAACTGGTGAAATTTTAATTTTTGCCTTAACTTCCCCTTTAAGCACCTGACCCCCGTATGTGTGTGTGTGTGTGTGTGCGCGCGCGTGCGTGTGTGTTCTTGTTGGCCCGGTGTGTTCAATGTCGTCCTGCAGGTCTCTACTGTGCGCTGGTGGAGTTAGATGATGCGTCCATGCGCTGTCCAGCTATCCTGGAGCACTGCTTGGTAAGAGCTATGCAAACCTGTCATCCACACTGTTTTGTCAACAAACGCAAACACACAAGGTAGAGCTTGTGACTTATCATTCAGAACACAAAGAGAAATGGCTTCTTGCGGTCCAGAGCAAGGGACAGGCAGAAAGCAGTGATAAACGCGTGTACTAGTATGCGTACACACGCCAGTGCAAAGGACAATGCGTACAACAGGCAGAACATTATATTATTACCGTATTCCCCGTAAGTTAGTTCTCCCCAATGACTTAGTACCCCCCTATAAAAAATACACTTTCCACTGCCGAGGTTATCACCCCGAAAGACAGTTCCCCCCGAAAGATAGTAAGTTCGTACCCGTCCGACATGTACAGACACCGTACAGTACATAAATCATATGCACGGACACTAGAGTTGCGCAGGCTTCCCACTGCGTGTCATTTACCCCCGATAAAAAAGTACTCCCCGAAAGATAGTACCACCCCCGAAAGTTAGTAGTCATGTGGCTGCTAAGTTCGAAAGTTAGTACGTACTAACTTACGGGGAAATACGGTATGGATACACCACGCCCCTTCTGAGATGAAAGACATTTTTATCTGATCAAAAGACAAAAAAAAACACAGCAGCAATAAAATGCATAACTACCAGCAACAGTCATAGACTCATAGGCCAGGCAGTAGAGCAGAAACATGACCAGGACAAGGTTGTCAGTCATAAGATTGTCCGTGTGTGGATATCACATTAAACGGGACGTTCTGCTGCCGTCTGCGATGACGGCTCCATGGTGCAGGCTGTGCTGGGGCATGTACACCAGGGTCAGTAGACACAACTGGTGTCTGGCCTTGTGAAGCGTCCGGAGCAGAAACAGTAGGGACGGCTGCAGCTGGCGGTGGTATAGGAGAGACTCTCGGTTGGAGAAACCGGTGGTTGCGCTAATAAATACGGCCGCTGGGAAGTTTCACCAAGTAGTCCCAGTGCTGACCAATGGCCACGATCGAACCATGAGCTGACCACAACTTGGTCCGGGGATGCTGGATGTCGACATGTGCTCCAAGAGACAGACGAGGAAGGGACCAGGCAGAGCGGTTGCAATGCTGCTGAGTCGACTCCACGTAGTGTGAGGAGCGCTGGTCAACTTCATTAGCGCGGGTTTGCCCTGTAGCAGCAAAGCTGGAATGGTGTGCTGAGGCACACCGCTTGGGACAGTGACCTTATTACAACCATCCGCGGTCGACGGTACAACACGAAACTAACTCCCTAGAATAAAGATGGTCAGAACCGGGCCTAACACCCATACGGGTCAGATGGTCGTCAAGACCGGGGCTATACCAACCGTGGATGGTTGTACATGTAGAAAGGTCACTGTTTCCGAACACAGTGGTCTCCACCTTGTTACATGCTGTCAACCAACAGCATGGCATTGGTTCAATAAAACTAGTATCTAATACAAGTACAATCAAGTACCGTAAAACGGCTTATTTTAGCGACGGTGATATTTTAGCGACTTTAGCGAAAGGAGTGTTTTCGCCAAAGTTTTGCCGCGCCATTGAAAATCTGCATGTACAGTACAGTATGAGTCATCCTTCTTTTTTTAAGTCTGAAACTCGGATCGTTAAAATATTTCGTCGTGAATTGGTCCAGATTCAGAAAACGCTAAATATTTACCCGCTAAAATTAGCCTTTCTACAGTATATTACGTCAATCAGTCAATCACTCCTGTACATGCGTGCGTGATCATGGTGATAGGCCCAGACAGATTCTGCCGGCAATTCTTTCGGCAAAATATCAAAGTACATGTATTGAGAAATATCGGAAAATGCCGGCAAAAATCGGAGCAAAATATCGAGATTTTGGGTAGCATTGATGCCTGGTCCTTGGATTTCCTTGTTTTCTTACCCACTCGGCTCGATACATCGCACAGGGCAAGATCATTTCACTGAAAATACTGGGATTTACTGTGGATCACCATGATTTTGGAAGAACCCGGACACATGTGTGTAAAAACCCGTGTTGAGAAACCGACCAGGAGATTTTTATGAAACATTGTACATGTGGGTAAAATACCCGTTTTCCGGAGCAAAATGGAGCAGAATATCGAGTTTCTAGATTGTTGTGCAAGGCTCAGCAAAATATCGATGATTTTGCACCCAAGATATCGAGTTGAGCGGAGCAGAATCTATCTGGGCCTATATTAGTGTATGACCATTTTTTTTTCTTCGCGCGAGGGTATGGCGTTCGCGCCCCTGTAGCTGATAGGGCCGAAGTTTGAGGATGAGCCGCTACAGCCGGGGATTCTCTATCTGATCCAAATAGTATGAATTCAGAACAGGGATGAGCGGGCGGTGGTCAGTAACTTCAAACCGAGCACCGGAGAGATAGATTGAGCACTTGCTTACTGCCCAGGTACTGCAAGGCATTCGAGCTCAATGATGGTGTATCTCGTCTCAGTATCGGAGAGGAATCAGCTTCCGCATTGGAGAATGCACCAGATGTCGCCCTGCTGCAGCCACAGAACATAACTAAGGCATAAGTTTCTAGCCGAAGCGGTCGGCCAGGCTGGAAGAACGACAGTATCGGTGGGGAGGCCAGGGCAGCTTTGACGTCGTTTAACGCGTCGGTGTGTGCCGACTCCCATAGGAACTCAATCGTGGATTTCAGCAATGGGCGACGCGGATACAGGGTGAGAATTCACTACATTGGTTGATTATCCCGAAGAGTAAACGGACATCAGTGCGATTTACTGGCACTGGGAAGTCAGTGATGGCTGCCGTCTTGGTTCTGTCAACGGTGTAACCATCAGTGTTGATATGGTAGCCATAGTAGTCAGCTTCTGGGACGCCTAATACGAACATCTTGGCGCTCAGGGCGATGCCGTGCTGACGGGCGCAGAGCAGAGCGTCACGAACGTGGGTGAAGTGAGCCGTCAGTTCGGTATCATATACAAGACCATCGTCAACCACTTTAACGAAGTTGGTTAGACGATCAAACACCGCATCTGTACGAGAGTTAAACACATCACCGGCAGAGACAAGGCCCTGCGGGTTGCGAAGGAGCTGGTACCGCCCCCACAGTGTGATAAATGTGGTTAACGGCTTGGCATCGTCAGACAGCGGGACTTGCCAGTAGCCATGTCGGGCGTCGAGCTTCGTGAAATAGCGGGCCTTGCCGATGGCTGCCACTGCATCGTGTGGTGTACGAGCAGGGTGGGTGGGTCTGCGTACTTGGTCGTTTAGCTTCTGAAGATCCACAGTCAGCTGCATCTCCGTAGTGCCCTTCTTCTTGATGAGGACAATCAGGTGGCACCACGCAGAGGGTTCTGTGACTGGCTCGATAATACGATCATCGACCATACTGTCCGTATTTCTAGCACTACGAAACGGACAATTTTTGAAGCGAAATGAAAACGGGCGGAGAGCAACACTGCAGGTGGGCTACTGTACAACTGCAATGGAACCATACTAAGACTAGCAGGGAAAGTAAGATGTTCACTGCGCCATGTTGTGTCAACAAACGCAACACACACAAGCTAGAGTTTGTGACTTATCCTTCAGAATACAAAGAGAAAAAGGCTTCTTGTCCAGAGCAAGGGACAGGCAGAAAGCAGTGATGCACGCGTGTACTAGTATGCGTACATACGAGAGTTCAAAGGACAATGCGTACAACAGGCAGAACGTATATAGACACTGCACACACCAGAGGAGTATGGATACAGATCATAATCAGGACTACGGTCAAACCTGCGAATGACCACCCTCCATTGTGCATGAGAGAGTGTGTCATTATTAGCGAGTTTTCGTCATTCACGAGGTTGAACGAATGCTGTCAAATGGTCACTATGTCTGAAGACTGTGTGGTTATTAGTGAGTTGTTGTTATACCCAAGCTTGTTATTCACAGGGTTGACTGTATTGCACACATTGTCTCTAACATACACATGTACTGGGTGTTGTGAACAGTGAATACATGCATTGACACACAAACACACACACACACACACACACACACACACACACACACACACACACACACACACACACACACACACACACACACACACACACTACTACTACTACTACTATAGCATGACTGCCCATTGGGCAATGTCACCCCCGGAGGGGGCCAGAGTTTGGAGTGCACCGTCATTGGCAGGACTTCTGGTGCCTCGTCAAATCTTGCTGTCGTCGGAAACGTTTCGGGCAATGCATGCAGATCAGCGGCAGTGATTCCCTATCGGCTGCAGCAAGACGTTTTCCACGGTTGCAGTTATGGCGGTTAAAACCAGCCCGGGACTTGAAGCAGCGATTGCAGCGTTGACAATGCTGGAAGCAGCAACTAGCGAGAGACGCCGTCAATGCCGTATCTGCATGTTCAGGGAGTGCAGGCTGGCAGCGATGAACTGCAAGCCCACCCTTACTACGGAACCATCGGCAGCAACTGACGCACTGTGCTGAACCACGCTGTTGGTGGACGGGAAGTTGGCGCTCAGCCAAACACTTGTGCCGTGCCTTGTCTTGAGGACGAGAGAAAGCCCGGTTGCAAGATGAGCAGAGTACGGATTTCTCTACTGCCCGAGAAGGCTGAAAAACCAGAACCTGCTCTCGCCAAGCTGACCGGTCTTGTGCGCAATCAAACCAGTTTGGAATGGACTTCGTGTCAGTAGCCACAACGTCTCTCCACCTACGCCTGGGACCGCAGAAGGGGCGCGCAGCCAACAAACGACCAAACAACACACACACACACACACACACACACACACACACACTTGTACTTGTACTTGCTTACTGCCAAAACTGGTCACGTGGGTCTCCCCGGGAGAGGGGAGAGAGACTCAACAGGAATCTTGGAAAGATGACTCAATTGGCCATTGAACCACCCAACGGCCGACACCCCCAGAAATCCCCAAACTAGGGTGGATTTGAAATGATCCAACTTATGGGCTCACCACACCTCAGTAAGTGGGTGAGGACAAGGTGCAGAAAAAGGATTGACGGCATCAGGGTATCCGTCCCGGGATCCAACTGCAGGTACCCCCTGCCCCCAGTGAAGGTAATACTTGCTACTACTAGTGTGGGTGGCTAAATCAGAGTGGATCTGATACAAGCTTCGCTAGCACCATTGATTACACAAGAGTTAATCTAGCCAGAAGCAGTCCATGGTTAACAGGTATGTATACTTCTAATAGAAAGTATATGAACCCTGAAACCAACAAAGGTGGTAGGTACAACAATACACCTTCAAGCAGCCAAGCCCGTTGGCAACAGGCCCAACACTATATATACACACACACACACACACACACACACACACACACACACACCCTATGGGGAAATGCGGAGCTTAGTATTTTTTAAAGCTGAACTCTACGTCACGGTAAGCGCCAGTCAGGTGTACAGTTGCATTGCTGTGTATCGGACTCTCGATGCATATTCCTAGTTCTCCTGTCCTGTCGTGCTTCCTCTCCTGTGCTGCACAGTCTCACCTGGAATTGCTGTTGACTCACTCGCCATGCCAAGCCACTCTGCTGGCTATCAAGCTCTTGATCCGCTACATCAGGAACAATCCAAAGTAAGAGAGACAGAGAGAGAGGGGGGGGGGAGGGAGGGAGGGAGGGAGGGAGGGAGGGAGGGAGGGAGGGAGGGAGAGAGAGAGAGAGAGAGAGAGAGAGAGAGAGAGAGAGAGAGAGAGAGAGAGAGAGAGAGAGAGAACCCTGCACATTTAGATTGGTGTGATAGCTCGAGCTGGGTTACAGATCTCAGCATGGAGTCCAGGGATGCCTCCTCCCTCAGTCAAATGCTGAATACTCTGGTGTATTCTTGAACTCTTGCGGGGTGGAACCGTTGATGTAGATTGTGTTGTAGATCCCCTTCTGGGCCTGCTCACACAGGTTCTACATGCGTTCTCTTGTAGCATGTGACTACTTCCATTGCTGGCTGTTTGTACTCACTGATCACTGTGCCTGGTTTGTCTTGCATGTATTGTTGTGTGCAGGAGCACGGACCGATTTATTCCGGCTTTCTTAGTGTGCTTGCAATCGAATAGCCGTGCAGTGGTCAATGCCATCATTGCTGCAATACCCGAGTTGGTCATCTTTTCCAGCAGTAAGTCTGCTTTTTTAAGCTGCTCAGTGATATATTGATTGATATTATATTTTGCAAGGATTCTCTAGAGGCAAATGAATGCCTATCAAAGGGAGTCTCCTGGGGAAAGGAAGTGACGGTGGCTGTTATGAGAGAGGGAGGAAGGGACATGACAAGGTGAAAAAATAAAAAATATTACAAACAGGAACAGCAGAAGCTACTTGCAAAAAATTGGTATACCTTGCACAGAATACTTGTGGTGCAGATAGTGTCTGCGCACAGCAACAGTAAATCGGCTAGTGGATGTCAGACAGCGGATTTCTTCTGGCAGCTTTAGCTTATTCCAGGCAACACTGAGACGAAATGGAGGGGATGGAGTGAAGTATGTGCCAGACTTAGGGAGAATCATAGAAGATGGATGGCGACTGCTACGGGATACGGAAAAAGAGAAATGTTGCAACAATGATGGGTATCGGGGAAAAACATGATGGAAGTAAGCAAATCCTAACATTTGTCGCCGCCAGGCAAGTGATTCCCAGGAGGAAAGTGTGTCCTTGGCCGTGGACCAGTCAGGCCGATGCTTCCGTTTACTCTTTAGGTAAGCTCTTGCAGCTACAGCCTGCAATTTGTCTAGCGTCGCTGACAGTGCTACACTAAGGGAAAACATCCATATGGGGACAGCATATTCAAGAAGTGGACGGACATAGCATGTATACAGTAAATTCGTTGTACCGTGAGGGAGATGATGGCACTGGCACTTCCACTGATGTCGATACCTCTATACGCCCATTGCGCAATGGGCCTATTGCCGTTGCTTCTGTTTGCACGTATGCTATGTACCACACTACACATGTTGAAGATCTTTTAAATACAGACACTGCTGGCTGGTGTAGCCCGACCATTTGCTTGAGAGCTGCGCCACGAGTAGCCAGGAATATCATGTAAACAGCGCTGTAGTTCACAGCTACACTCCGAAGCATCAGCTACTGCTTGTTGTTATGTGGCCTGGTGTAAACTGTGCCTTGTGTTATGGTCGTGTCCGAGTTACTGGCCAGCACTGTAGCAGGTGCCATGATGCCCACTGAGGCTGTGTTAGTATGTTGTCCTGTACTAATACACTGGTCCTTCTCCGCCCTTTTCCTCTGCAGAGTTTTCTCGTCGGTTGCTAACAGAATCTTACGAAGCCTCCGTAAAGCATTCTCTTGAATCTTCCAATGCACTGCTAGTGCGTGGCCTCAAACTCTGTGTGCTGTGTTAGATGCTTCATGTGTGTTTTTGAATATCTTTTTTTTTAAGTTTGTGCATGTGTGTGCGTGTGTGTGCGTGTGTGTGCGTGTGTGTATGTGTGTGTTTGTTATGTAGCCACATTGGTGACTGACGTGTGTCTAGTTTCTTCCTAAGCACTGGTTGCATGCTATGAGTACTGTGTTGATACCACTGTATCCGCAACACACTACATTCTTCCGCTTTCTCTCCTGCTCTGCTATGCTGATATTCATTACCTTATGAACATTTTAAATTTAAATTAATTTTGTAATAGAAACAATCGGTTGTCTAGCCTGTATCACGTGCATCAGTGATCGATGTGCTGTCTTGCGTGCATCAGTGATCGATGTGCTGTCTTTTCGCTCATGCATGCTTGTATAATCCTGCGTCTTCCTCTCTGGTATCAGCCCTTGATACCCACTTAGTGTCTGTATTTTAAAGGGTATTCCATATTTCAACACAATAGCCAAACTTATGTCATTAGTTTGGCACTGCCTGTGAGCTGTCTGCTTTGGCTGGTACCCCACACAAAGCAACACTCTACAGTACTTGTAACGTCCCCTACAACTTACAAAATAACATCTTTACACTTGACCTTTGACGTGTTTGTTCTGATGGGTGTGGTGACCAACAGTTAGGTGTGCAGGCTGAGAGAGAGAGAGAGAGATCTCCCTAGGCTGTAGCTCTGCTAGTCTAATTATACCAGGGATGGACTCAGATGGAGAGCCAAGGTTTAATTTATACAAAAGAGAAAGACCAAGGAACTACAAGTTACGCTATACTGTCCACTAACACCACCAGGTACTAAACAATCAGCTCATGCGATAACATTGCACGACACTGACCGAACTGACGTTCTACAACTAACTGGCTAACAGCTCTAGCACATCTTGGATGCGCACTCCAACAGCCTTCCAACTGGAAGGTTCTAAGTTAGTTATAGAAATAACAAACCAACGTCCTTCACAGCTGAGACTTTCAGCTCGTGCATATCTTGGTTGCGCTCACCTTCCCCTCCTTATGTTATTTCTATAACTAAGTACTTAGAACCTTCCAAGCTGGAAGGCTGTTGGAGTGCGCATCCAAGATGTGCTAGAGCTGTTAGCCAGTTAGTTGTAGAACGTCAGTACCTTCGGTCAGTGTCGTGCAATGTTATCGCATGAGCTGATTGTTTAGTAACTGGTGGTGTTAGTGGACAGTATAGCGTAACTATTACTTGTAGTTCCTTGGTCTTTCTTATTATACCAGGGAGTCGTATACATGTATACGACTCCCTGTATTATACCAATCGTATAGGTGTGACATGATAATTATAGATGTGACATGATATGAGTGGTATAATGATAACGCGTGGTGCCAATGTATAACTAAGGTAACGCAATGCAACACCAGAGCATTAGCACTTGAAGGCAATACAATGCATAACACTCTGTAAACTCACACCACTACAATGGGCAGAGGATGCTCCTGGTTTCGATGGTGTCGATAGTTTCGATGACTCCCCGCAGTGCTAGCCTTGCATTTCTGGTCTTTGTCACTGAACAACTCAAAAACAATTTCGATGTCAATGATTGATTTTTAGCTCAGTGACATTTAGGGTGGCATGCTGCTGACGTGTTGTAAATGTTGGTAACACTGAAGAGAATAATCTCAGAATAATTATACAGGTTTGTCTACAATTGTAGTGTCAGAATGTTTTGTTGCTGCTGCTGCTGCTGCCGATAAAATCATCATGATTGAAAACTTAGTTCAGTTTGTTGGCGCTTTGCCGCCCTGCACAGTGAGAATAGAATGTGCATGCAATTTTCGTCAGAGCACCTTACTGGGCCCTGTACGTAATTTACTAAACTGCATCTTTTTAGGTGGCAGCCTGGCACAGTATCTTTGTTTCATTTGAAGATCCCCAACCTTTCTTCCTAAAGAAGAACTACAGACTAGTACAGTACAAAGTAATGTGTGTACTAGTAATACATTGACTGATTTGTCATCACAATATTTTATTCATATCAACTACATGTAGTAAAGTAAAGTTCGCACGTCCGCGTTACCACCGGCTATGCGTTGAGAAACACAACCAGCTTAGGTTAGGAAGTTTCGCATGTGCCAGGTACACTACTAGTAGTGTGATAGTTCTCCCCCGGTTACCTATCAATTTATTGCATGCATTTCACACCCCTCTCTCATGCAGACAGTATTCACACTTCCTTGACACTTCGGTTCTTCTCACATTCTCATTGGTGTTTTCTCTATCACCTTGTGCTATAAAACAAGGCTCTTCTGAGAGGGTGCATGGTGTTATTTCCAAGCTACTAATGCAATCCATTACATTGGTAGCAGAGGATGGTTTCTGGTTTCTGTTTCTGTTCTGTGCCTTCGCGTTGGCATTCATCTCGGTATGTGTACTCACTTGGGAGATAGCAAGTCGTCTCCACCGAGCTGCTTGGCAACCCAATGAGAGGACTCCAGAAAGAAGGCTTCGCCATCGGGATCCTTCTGAGTCCTCCGTACACTGGCAAGCCGGCGGAATTCAAGGAGCGGCTATTTGCGGTGGAAGAAGCGCTAAGAAGCCAGCAGCCAGCCGATCCAATGGGATGTGTGGCATCGTTCCTGGATGGCAGCGCCCGCCGTTGGCTGATGACATTGTGGGAGGAAGACGGTAGATCAACGACTTGGAAACAGTTGAAACTGCGGCTCAAGGGCGCATTTGAAGAGAAACATGAAGAGGAGAGGAGACGGCTATTGGTAGTACGAGCACGGCAAACAGGTAGCTTGGAAGACTACATTGCGGAGTATACCTCGCTTTGTCTGTCGACCTCTGGACTGGATGAGCTGACCAAGGCGTTACTTTTCACGGAGGGCCTGGTTGACCCGCTTGTTCAGGAAGGCAGCACTGCAAGTAGCAAAGGACAGCATCCATGATGCAATCCGAAGCCAAGAGTTCTACGCCAACCGGTCTAGACGGAACTCGAGTCAAGGTTCAAGGTGGGGGATGAAGTGATGGTCCACAGGGACTAATAACCACGTCAGTATCACGAGATCAGCCTTGCGCTAAACTGAGACCACGCTGGTTCGGTCCATTTACAGTCAAGAAGGCATTTGGCTCGACTGTGCGGTTGGACCTCCCAAGAACATGTCGTGTCCATCCGGTGTTCAACATAGCTGCACTGAAATTGTTCGTTACTGATCAGTGAACTCAATCCTCAGTCACCAGCTCCACCACCCATAATTGACCTTGATGGCAATGAGCGTTTCATTGTCGAAGAAGTAGTTTCTCATCGAATTCAACGCGGAAAGCAACAGTACTTGGTAAAATGGAAGGGTTACGATGAGCCTACCTGGGAGCCTGCAACCTACTTGATGGAGGAATCCGGATCACCAATCTTGCCGTTGAGGCAGTATCTTCAGAACTATTAAAATTGAATGGGAGGGGAGTAGTGTGATAGTTCTCACCTTTACCTGATCAATTTATTGCATGCATTTCACACCCCTCTCTCATGCAGACAGTATTCACACTTCCCGGGCCTTGACACTTCGGTTCTTCTCACATTCTCATTGGTGTTCTCTCTATCACCTTGTGCTATAAAACAGGGCTCTTCTCAGTTGAGAGGGTGTGTTATTTCCAAGCTACTAATGCAATCTATTACAAGTATACTAGGCTAGTATAGCGGCATGCAGTCATCACCGAATGAAGTACAAGCTGTAGATCTACACACACTGAGATCCATGGATACTGTATACTGTAAATACAGTCAGACCTCGCATAACCGCACACATCCGTTTTCCACAAAAATATCCGGATAGGCGAGGGAACCGGATAATCGAACACACATACTGTATGTAAGCATGGCATATGCTGTACATTTGTAACCAACTATTTTCTTCCGGATGGCGAGGGATCCGGATAAACGAGGACCGGATAAGCGAGGTCTGACTGTATACAAATTTTCGGCAGCTATTTCATTTCGGCTATATTCGGCACCGACCCAAAACGCCTAAATTAAAAAAAACGCCGATGAAATTTTTCACAGCATTTGTCGCAATACCATGCCCTCTACCCCACGCCGAAAATAAATCGCCGCCGAAATGTCAAAAATTGTGAAGTGCCGAAATTTTGTATATTTACAGTACTGTTCCCCTGTGCCACTGTGGGGTATAGTCTGCTGCATATTCTGTTGAGCATCCCCGGCGGTCTACTGCGCAGAGCAAGACAATCAGTGAGTAGAGATGAATTATTTTTACTCCACTGTACCATGTGTGCGAGATGATGAAAGCATTGCTGCTACTTGACCGAGATATTATTTTTTTTTAAAGAGAGTTGAAAACACAGTTTGACGATTTTATTGAACATTAGATATTGTTCTTAGACTACTAGTGAAACCGGTGTTTATCGTTTATGTTGACAAACGCGTATAGCCGGTTGGTTTGTAGGCTTGGCGCGAATCAGGCTAACTTTATTTTTTATTTTTTATGTTGTCCATAGTTCTGAAATATAATCTTCCGTTGATTCTGTTGGCACTGCAGATGTGCATCTGTGCACAGCCATACTCATCAAGATGATCCGGCAAGGCATCCACTGCGGCACAGCGAGGGATATTTCGAGATGACGACGGAGTAATTTGTGGAAGTCAGATGTCGGTTCCGTCTTCCTGGAAAACATCGTCATCGTGCATTTCCAGTCCGATATCACTTGTTTCACTGGGATCCGACGGCATCGTGGGTTCCTGCTCCGTTTTGACGGTTGCACCCAGTGTTGTCACGACCGTGCCAGTCGGCAAGTTCGGACAGCTGCTGCGCATTCTTCGAGTCATGCCACTGCTGGATCGCTGGCGGTGCGGTGGGTTTGCGGACAAACTGGCCCGATGTCGAATATACTCCTCTGGAGGATTCATCTCTTCATACGTCTCTTGGACTTCTGCCACTGCTGCCTGTAGTGGAGATGCCACACCGTTCCAGGACGATGAAGGTTGCTTGGCGTGGCATGGTGGAAGCAGAGCATTCCCATTTACTTGGTCTTCCTCGGTCTCCGGCAATTGATTGCAGCTGGCGTTGAAGTCGAAGAAGCTGTACCTCTTGTGCGATATTGGCGTTATGCCTTCGCCACTTCTTCCTTGGTCTCCTTCGCCAGTGCGTAGAAAGGTGACAGAGATCGGTGTCTTGGGTGTAGACAGAGCTGGTGGTTGAGGTGTGACTGGAGATGAATCATTAGATGGTGACTGTGCAAAGTACGCATGTACACACGCACACACACACACACACACACACACACACACACACACGCAAGCACACACACGCAAGCACACACACGCAAGCACACACACACAGTGACAGAGTGACACAGTGACACAAACATAAAACATTGTACTTTAGTTACACTACCATGAATGAGCTCTTGGGTTACCACAAAAGACACAAATGCATGTACCGAGGCTCAGATTCAAGTATTTGAGTCGAGCATTCCCTTAGCTGTCACGCAGTGGGAAAGCACTCTTTTTGTGGGGTACCGAACACCGGAGGCATTACCCGCAGTGCGGTAAGCTCACTGGCTTGGCTCTGAGGGTTCATGCTACACTGTATTGTCTATAGTAGGTGTGGGGATTTGGCGTGCTGTCTTTGTGCTGTGCTGATGAGTTCACACAGGACAGAACAGTATTGACAGGAAATTGAGTGGATAAGGTGTGAAAGGAAAGAAATCTCGGACAGGCCAGACAGATCGCTACTGGACCAACACCATACGAATGCTGGCAATACTTCCATGCTCACCCATAGACATACTGGCCGCTGAGGCGCACCACTGTGGATGCTAGCATTGTCGGGAAATCCTGTTGGCCGCGGAGGCACGCCACTGTGGACGCTGGCATCGTCGGCACATCCCGTGGAGCAGGTCTTGATCGAGTGAGCACCAGCATTGCGATCACCAGAGCTGCTGCTACTACTGGAACAGCGCTGCTTTTGCGTGCGTGTGCCGAGGTCTTCTGCAGCATGCAGTGCAGCCAGCAGAGCAAGAGAGAGAAAAGAACATTATTATCATTATTAGGGAGGTTTCGCTCTACGTAATTTCGTATGAAAATCCGTATGTCGTACGCGCCGGGGAGCGAGGGCAACTTTCATACGTAAATCTCTCTACAGATTTCCGTAGGAAAGCTCTTTCCTACGTTGGGTCCTCCGTAGGACCTTTTGAACAATTTTTTTCGCATTTTCCGCATTTGTCCATGGCAAAGTTCAAGCCGCGCGAAACACAAGGTGCACACACCGTACACCACGTGCAAAATAAGATGGAAAACGCTGTTTCGGTTCATGGTGCATGCAGTGGGCGCATGCTGCCAATGCGTCTCCAAAGCAACAACACATGTCTAGCAGTCGTGGAGAAATCACGTAGAGCGAAACCCAGCAGCTCTGATATTTACGTATGAAAATTCCGTGCAGTTCCTACGTTATTTTCATACGTAATTCCGCAGAGCGAAACCTCCCTATTATCGTACACTGCATGATATGTTCCCCCCCCCCCCCCTCCCCCATCCAACTATCAACAAAGAATACTACCATACTTATAGCGTTCGTGATTTTCCGGCGAAGGATTTCTAATGGATCATGCGAGTCTTCTGATCTCTACATAGTAACACCTACATAGCACTAAAACGGCTTCTCTTTTCGAATTAGAATGGTTAGTTCCCAACACATTGTATCCACAAAATACACACACACAGCGTGTCTGTGTTCCGCGTGTGTACGTGTGTGTGTGCACGTGTGTGCGTGCGTGTATGTGTGTATGTGTGTATGTGTGTACCGGTATGTGTGCCTTGTACACAAGTATGACTTACCAGAATTCGTGGCTTCATCTTCTCTCCTTAACTCTGCCCTTTGGCGTTTCAGGATGACAATAAGTACCACAACGATAAGTAGTATCAGCATAAGTGCTACTGCTACTGCTATGTACACCTGAGTAAACCACACACGCACGCACGCACGCACACACACACCCACACACACACACATGCACAAAATTAGTGTAAAAGACTTTTGCCTCTAGTGGAATCTATCAATGACAAAGTTAGATGACTCGAGGGAAGCACCCAAGTCGCTTGAGAAAGAAAACGGGCACTGGTATGCTAACTGTTCTGAGGATGAAATCAGCTCATCCTGTTTGTCCCGGGGTTTCCGGTTTGTGTTTTAACCGGCATACTTCCAAAAGTGTGGAGGAAACAAAGTTCTGTAGTTGACCAACTTCTAATAAACGCTTTTACAAGTGAACGTAACGGGGTCGTGAACTACAGATGAGTTAGTTGACAACCAAAGCCAGACAGCCAATTCGAATTTTCAGTGCTGAATTTCTGCAGGCTGTCGATACCACGGAAATATCGATTTTCCTCCATGGGAAATTAAACAAAGTCACACTCATACCCCCCCCCCCCCCCCCCTCCCCTGTCGCGGCGCACGCTCAGGTTCAAGGTGTACAACAGGACCAAGCCATTCGAGGCGCCGTTGCGGCATGTACACACACACACACACACACACACATACACACATACACACACACACACACACAAACACACATACACACACACACGCACACACACACATACACACACACACACACACCCACACCGTCACACACATACACACACACTCTCTTAAGTGCAGGCACACATAACTTACAGTTCGCTCAGTCTTGGAGTCACTTGCTGCAGCTGCTGCATCATCTACATTTTGCTGGTGGTTGGCATTGACATTCGGCTCTACCGTTCTGTCAGCAGGCTTAGTTGTTACATGAACAGTTACGTCAGTTTTACCTGCAGGGACGCAATGGAGGCATTGATCGTTGCAGGGACGCAATGGAGGCAATGATCGTTAATGTCAGAGTGGCATGCATGGAGATCTCAATTCAGTAACTTTTATCGGGCACGTACGATGTTTTGTGTCATTGACCTTTCCACTTGAGCATGAGTGCCAGTAAGCTCATGTCCTACATCTATAATCTTGCGGGGTGTTGGACAACACAGCATAGTGATGTTTTAGATGGGATTCAAGGGAATATTCGAATATTCGATTGATATTCGTTTGGAAATGCGATGGAAGGAATATTTCCCCTTCGGACTATTCGTTTCAAGTAGGTGTACAGCTACGTACGCTAATATGTCGATCTACGGTTGTACAGGCGTTGTGACACGTGCCGCACACTCTGCTTAATTAAGTGTCCATCTATTGTAGTAGTTCTAGAACGGATAGAGTGATAAGTACATGAGCAATGATAATGTTGAGAAAGGGGACTATGACTCACAAGAGTAGTGACCATGACTCCACTGTTTACTTGGTGTACAATGACAGGGGACTAGCCAAACTCTGTAAGGTGTTTTGGTATAGAACATTCGATATTCGATATTCGATTCATTTAGAAAAGTATTCGATTCCTTCTGATTTAGAATATTCGTTTCACCCCTAGTTTTAGGTAGTGCCGACGGTCAGCACGCCAGCCAGGAAAGTAGCTCAACTGATCGTCAACCAGGCACCAAACGCAGAGGTGGAATGTTGATGGCTGCCGGATTTCCAAGTCGATCGAAAATTCATCACCTGGGAGAGTACCTGCCAGTGTCCTGGCATAACAGGCTAGGTTAGGTTGCTGTTCCTACCGTGTAGGATTGCAAGGCAATGGTGTGTAGGATTGAAGGACAATGGTGTGTAGGATTGCAAGACATTGGTGGTTGGAACATATAGTGCAAGTCCGTTACTTCATACGTTACAGTGTAAATAAACACAAAACACACACATGCATGTGCACACGCATGCACACACGCACGCACACACGCACGCACGCACACACACACACACACACACACACACACACAGCTGGTCATACCTGTTTCTCCCGTCACCTTGACTCTTGCCGGTGGCAAAGACTCGGCACCGATGTTGAAGTTGTAAACAAGTGAGCGATGAGTAGCTCCAAGCTGGTTCCGAGCATGGCACGTGTGATTGGCATAGAGGATGTTCTCAGGGACGACCAAGTTGCCCAGGGTCTTAGTCCTGGCCCACGGTGAAGCTCCCTTCCCAACAGTAGAACCATTTTTCAGAATAAACTCCTGCAGGACGGTCACAGTTATATCGCACATGAGTATTTTAGAAATTACTTTTCTAAAAGCACATGTGCATTATTAGAAAGAGAGAAAAAAAAAACAGTTGGGTGGACACCAGGACTAGCTAGTGCACATCTTTCTCATTCCTTTTTACCCTTTCTTCTATTCCAAAGCATCTATCACAACAGCACAAATGAAGACGCCGGTTTCAACTTCACTAATTTTGAGTGAGTGGAGGTCACTATTTACTGAAGGCAGCGTGCTACGTGAAGCCCCATAGCTCACCAATTGGAGTTGCATGTACTCCGTTTCAGTGGTACATGGACTCTTGGCAACAGGGGTAGAACGTATGTTATACGAGGCCGATGAGACTATTGCCTCATTACGGTCTTGACTTACCCATGTCCACCTGACCTCTGGCGGAGGAGTGCCCGTTGCTTCACAGCTGGTCTTGAAGTTCCTGGCACGAAAGGTGAGCTCTACCTCACCGAGAGACCGAACCATGTCCCAGCTCGGGTTAGTGATCTCTGGGACACCTGTGCAGAGCATACCGGGGAGAACTGTTGAGTTTTGAGTATGTACACTACTTAACCCTTTCACTGCCAGCTGACCACTCAAGGTGACAAGGCGCTCCCTGCCAGGCTGTCAGCTGATCTGTACACCCCCTCCCTGCCAGGCACTTTTTACCTCCAGCTCGAAAAATCGAAAGGCCTACTTTTCCTGGATTTTTTGGTACTTTCTGTACGGAATATCGCTTTCCAAAGTATACATCGTAGGTAGACAACTCATAAAGGAAGCCATTGCCGTCGAAAAAAATCGCAAAATCCGAAGTACAAACGTGCTGCGCGATCTAGCGCCAGCCGCTGTGCAAAAAATGCGTGTCATGTCATGCGAAAGTGCGCCGTGCGCCGCATGCGCTACATACACTATGTACACGATCGGCCCGGACACTCGCGAAGTGAAGTTAGTTAGTTGTTGTTTTGGAGAGAGAAGCAGATCCTTTTTTTTGGTCGCTGGGATTGAAAGATATGCCAGTGGACAGGAGAGATAAAACACTGGAAGCAGAAGAGATGGCTTGCGGAATCTTCTCTATCTTCGTGGCAACAGGACTTCAGTTGCGAGAGACTTTCGTCCTGTCGTTGCGGACGAAATTCTTGTTGCTGCCACCAGAAACGGAACTCGGAGAACGAAACGTTCGTATGTCGTTTGGTGAAGCTGATCGTGTCGGTGAACGGCTGCGGAATGTTCTGCCGCCATGGTGGTCGTTTGTTCTCCCAATTAGCAGCAGTCCAAATACTTTTCAACTTCGGAGAGTGAAGCGCTTCCCTGTTCCGTTGACAAGCGCGGCGTTCGCGAGTGTAATTCACTTTCGCATCAGCTTGCAGTAGATCGTCAGGTATTGAGCCAGAGGTAGGTGTCGTTGTAGAAAGAATATAATTATGTTGTAGCTGACATACCTGTAGTGTCTCTTGACCGTGCTGGTCGCCATTGTAACGTGTTAGTTCTTAGAAAATTTTAGTTCTGGACCCAGTGACCGCCGCCAGCGCTGTTTCCGTCAAGTTTGCAGTGAATGCGTCCGCGAGGAATCCATAGTCTGGTTGTCTCTACCCGTGACTCCGACCGCCTATCGCAACGGATAGCCGCCTGGAGTCTTGGGTAATAGCTAGGCATCAAGTCTGAACCAAATTCCTTGCTCCGTGCAATGAAAGTTGACGGGAAAGATGAAAATACTCGCACCGACTCAGCGAGGTGGAAGTGCGTGAGAACCGATTTCTTCCTCGCCGATCGGCTAAAAATCGGATGCGCATTTTCAACGACGCTGCTTCGATTTTTTTCAAATGGCAACCCATACTTCTGGAAGCGTATTTCGATGGGTATGGACATCTTCCAGGGGCCAGTGGCCGTCTACCATGGCTAAATATCTCCAATATTCGAAAATAGAGGCACGAACTGGGTGAGGTCTGCCTGTCGACGGAAGTCGACAACAGCACTGGGGACTGCATGTTTACTCGTCGACGCAAGTCGACACTGGCACTCGGAGTGCATGAATGCGCTGTCGACTGCAGTCGACAGCGGCAGTGAAAGGGTTAAAGTACATAGCACGTACGTATGCAGCATGCCTGGCAGTGCTGATGTCAGGTGAGTTATGCATGTCTGGCAGTGCTGATGTCAGGTGAGTTATGCATGTCTGGCAGTGCTGATGTCAGGTGAGTTATGAGTGTGCATACTACATGCATCCATATGCAGCAACATATGGCAGCGCTGATGTGCCGTGCGTTTGTATAGCAAGATGCACAGCCGGGGAAGTAGTCGTGCGGTGTAGCTCCATGTCACAGGGGCCCAAAGCACATGCCAATGCATGATGGGTGCAAAGCATGCTAGTCAATGCATGCTGGTCCATGCATGGTACACACCACAATACAACTTCACGCATGCCATACGAAACTGACTAACACTGTCACACACATGAATGCACACACATGCACACATGCACACACACACACACACACACACACACACACACACACACACACACACACACACACACACGTACGCACACACGCACGCACGCACACACACACAAATGCGTGCACACACACACACACACACTCACTATGGTATGAAATGTAGCTGGATGTGAAATACTTGCTTACCAGCCACATTTAGATCCACACAGTGACGATCAAGACCCAGCACACTATGAGCTACACACATGTAGCGACCAGTATGCGACCAATCCAACGAGTCAATCTTCAAATTGCCAGCACCATCATCATGCAGCGACGTTGGTCGATCCAACAGTGTGTTTGTAGCATGGAGGAATTGCTGGAAGGTAGACGGGCTCTCTGAAAACAAATGAAAAAGAAAAGAAAAGAAAGGAATCAGCGATCTAAAGACTTGCCTATTTCAGTCTCTGCAACCATTGTCATACAGTCTGCATGTTATCCTCAGGAACTGCATGCAATTTAGATGTGATTGAGAAGAAGTAAGTAGAACATCCAAGTTACAAAATACAGCCTGCAGGCAACGATGGGTAGTGGCTAGGTTTCTACAACAAACATTGCGTGTTTGAATACAACTTAAAAATACTGGCAACTAACATTCTCAGACGGGGATGGCTGGAACCTGCGTGCATGTACTTACATACCACCTGTGGTGACCAACAGGCCGGGGTTGACCAGGGTCACGCATATTCTCTTTTATTCGGATTTGGTGATCGTATTGTACGTTGAGGAACGGAAAATCCCCCTATCGGCTAGTGCAATCATCGCCAAAAAGATCCGGCAAATGCTGTACATGGTAGTCTAACACATGCACTACCACTGCACATACCTATCACATATTGTGCGTGCTTCCCCTAGCTGCATCTCATGTTTGGCATAAAGTGGTCTTTGTAAAAAAATATTAAAAAAATAAAAAATAAAAAAAACCTATCATGTACGTAGCTGCATAGTCAGTGCAGTGCCACAGTGCCGGTGGACTCTACGACAAACACTGGGAAAAACATGCATGCTGCATGCTACCCCATGCCACCGCCATGTCTGCATACCATACCACCGTATCGGCATTGGCCGGATTTTTCGGCGACGATTGTATATTGATGATTGTATATTGATGATTGTATATTGACGATTGTATATTGACGATTGTATATTGATGATTGTATATTGATGATTGTATATTGATGATTGTATATTGATGATTGTATATTGATGATTGTATATTGATGATTGTATATGGAGCCATACTGTAGTGTGCTGTGATATGAAAGCGGCATGCATGTACTCACTGCTCTGTTTTCTCTGCTTGCGGAGCTTGGCCTTCAACGTCCTCACACTCGGGCACCGCGTGTCACTGGACCCTACATAGGACCAGGTCACGTTTGGCTCCGGGAAGCCAGACGTGGCACATGCCAGTTTGAACGCACTTCCAGCAGCACCGGTGTTGTTCCCAGGAAGAAGAGACGTATCTATGCGGGGCTTGGCTGTCCAGCCGGGATGGATAGAAGAAGAAGAAGAAACATGTAAGTTCCACGCAATCTCTCCAAATGTCCAAATGTCCTTGATCTCGGTAAAGTAGAAAACTGTGGGCAAAACTATACCAACAAAGGGTTGGGTTGATCAACATCGCTCTGCCGACTAAATCATGCATACAATGGCTGAGCAAACGTCTGTACACTGATTAAGCCATGCTAGGGTTGAGAGAAAGGAGGGAAGATTGACTATCCATGGAATCCACATGAGCGGCACACTGGTAGATGACCGGCTTACCCCTCTCGCCAGTGACCTCTACATAACTGAAGCGGCTGGCTGTGCGTACTTGATGAAACATGCTATTTTCCAGGTTTGCAACCACACATCGATACCTGCCGGAATCAGAGTGCCGCGCATTCGTCACCTGAACAATGAGCACAATACAACATCGCGTAAGTTCACCTACAGGGTCTGAGTTACTTCAGGCAGCAGCAGCAGCAGAGGGAGGACGGTCAGTGGGTTACTTTTATAGCCGCTGGATAATCAGTTCTAGCGAGTCACATGAGTTGACCCACTGAATAGCACATAGCAGAGCATACCTTTGGTGCTTTTGACGCATACTTGGTCCCAGTGTTGCTCAGCAAGTTATATCGAAGCCCAGACAGGAGGAATGCACGTGAATGTGTGGATGCATGTCAGAAACGCAGTCTAAGCAATTGAACTTGTACTTGCTCAGTCGGCGCACCACAGCCTTTACGCTTTGAAGTTTTGTACGGTAGACTGCAACCGCGTAATGTCACACTGATGTGTTCTCGCTGAACACATAAACCTCTCTCTTCTCTCTCATACCACCTCGCCCCCCCCCCCCCCCCCACCCTCTCCCTCCCCCTCTCACTCCCCATCTCCCTCCCCCTCTCACTCCCCATCTCCCTCCCCCTCTCACTCCCCCTCTCACTCCCCATCTCACTCCCCCTCTCCCCTACCCTCTCCCCTCCCCCTCTTTCCTTTGCTCTGGACACAAGAGTTTCCAGAGTATCACTGCCGAGTTAGAGATATGTGAACACAGCATATGCCAAGAACTTACATTCAGTGATCCATGACGTGTTAGTTCGTAGCGCCATCTCTCCTTGGCGTCAACATCAACTTGCTGTGCATAGCTTCCACTGGCTGCCAGCACGGTGCGATCACGCAGCCAGGCAACTCGGATCCGCATTGGCAAGCCGAATGTGGGACACGGCAAGGTGAAGCTCTCGCCTTTCCGCACAGTCACATTGCTTGGAGGATGGGCAAAAAAATCAACAGGATCTGAGCAATTGGGTGACAAACAAAAACCAACAAGAACGATCACACTTAAAGCAACCATTGTTCATACATATATGTCACAGTGCGTGGGCGAGCAGTTTCAATCAAAACCCAATTGTACATGTGCAACAGGATCTCCTGTGGAAGCCCAGTGTCATCAGAAAGTCACGCATGTTTGTTGGGGATAGGGCCCGGGACATCAGTATGGAATTCCGAGAGCATGAAAGCAATACTATGATTGTGTTGATCGAATGCTCGCCATGCAGAAGTGATTTCCAAAACAGCACACTGTGCTCATTCTGTTGTGTTCAGCAAAGAGTAAAGAGTCGCTGCAGCACTTGCCGTTGACTACACTGAAAACTTACGCAATACATCGACACGTTTCATGACACTAGCCACGCCATAGCCATTGTCGGCAACACACTGGTACGAGCCGATGTCCTCCCAGAGCGCCTGATCGAATACGACGGTCACCTGCTGCCGCACGACCTGCCTGGACACAAACGGTGGGTACTGGATGGCCTCGTGCTGTCTTGGAAAGATGTCGCTTGGTGAGCTGTCCTCCTCCGTAACAGTAACACCATTTAGTAGTCGGAGATCCACTCTCCGTCCATTCTTCAACCAGTACAGCTTGGCTGGAGGCCAGGCTAAGAACGTGCAAACCATGTGGGCTTTCCTGAGTGGGACGAATGGGTAGTTATCCCATATTGTCACCGATACTGGAGCAGCTGTAACAAGAGGTCGGGGCATAGCATCAAACATATGCACAGACATTTTAGCATTCACAAGTCATCTCTCTTGAAGCAGGATATCGGATTGGCTGTGCAATGTATGTGCCATACTGCCTTGCATAAACGCCTCTCTTATAATAGAAGCCTGCTTCGCATAGAAGCTTGATTTTCAAATTTAAATGCACCATCGGCAAGCCCGCTTTTAGTGTGGATATGCAGTACTTCCGAGCACCAAAGAACGACCAGGCTAGAATTTCACCAGGCACAGCAAACCGATACACACAGAGTGACTTGACTGTGCATAGACTGTGGTACATGAACATAAGAACGACCTGACTACGAGGCTGATCTCCAAGTTCTTCAGCGACCAACAGTATTGTACAAATAAATACAGTCACGGGAGATTGGATATAACGACACTCCTTTGGGAGAGAACAAAATGTCACTATATTCGATCTGTCACTAAACCCGATCGTCACAAAGGACTGGCTAAACAACTTGGGCAACAGAATTGTGTCGCTAAACTCAACCTGTCGTTATATGCAAGTTCGTTATATCCAATCTTCGCTGTACCTGGTTTGAAAAGAAGCCTAGCACTGACATCAGCTTCTATAGGACCAAAGCTTGTCACGGTTTTATACACAATATGGCGGTATCACAGTTCCACCATCGTAAGCCGAGCATGGGTGGGGCGGGGGTTGGATGTGGAGGTGGTGATTGGGGAATGGGGGCTGGGTGGGTAGAGAGAGTGAACATAGCAAGATCACGTACTGCCACTGTCTTCCATAGCAGCAGGTGCAGTACTTGCCTGTTCAACAGGCTGTGGGCAACTGATCTAAGTAATTAGTTAATTCCGATACGTCCTCGAGGCAATCAAGTAGAGTATATATTTAAAATGCCCTTGTGACCTGAACACCGCCATATTACACATTACCTAGGCACTGGTGTACTGTCCAAAGTCCAACCAAAGCCATACGCAGCACATGCACGGCAATAGGGAGTGCTGCTGCACTACTCTATGCCACACAGCAACACTAGTAACACATTTCTGTGAGTATTGATGACAGTACACAATAGTCAGTAGTCAGTACTCACCTACGACTTCAACAGTAGTCTCCACTGACACTGGGTCTCCATTCACAGTTGTACTGCACATGTATGTTCCAGCCATTGACATTGATATGGATTCAAACACAAGGTTACTCTCTCCAATCAATGACACATTGTTGTTGTATATCCTTCTTCCGTCTGTCACGAGTAAATCTTCCGATGCCAAGCGTTGGTACCAGGTCATTTTCGAGCCAGGATCACGGTAGAGCGTTGCGCACGGAATTACCACTCGCTCCCCGGCGCGCGCCACCATCTTCTCATCCGGTTTGTGTGAAAACGTGGAACTGGCATTAGGGGCGCCATCTGAAAGCAGGGTATCAAAACAATCATGTTGTGCACTGTGCAGTGTTGATTCAGTTCGTTCATCATGGTCCAGTAATCCTACCAAATGGATGCAGTGAATGGGATTTTCGGTCTTTGACCACTTTGTGGTGGGTCTGATCTGCTCACCTCCCACCGCTTTAGGAGCTGCATCCCTGCCTTAATCCACAGAGGGTGGTGGGGTCCCTACTAATGTGGAAAACTGGGCCTCCAGCCGAGTTCAACGCAAACCGTGACTTTAAATCCTACCAAAAATTGTTTATAAAAATGCAATACTAGCCGGCATTGCAATATACACATAGCATGGAGTACAAGTAACACAATTACAATGTTTTAGTCACATAGTGTGTGAGGGGCACAGGGGCATGTGCAGCCCCCCCCCCCCCCCCCACCCCACCCCTCCTACTTCGAAGCAAAATCTTTCGACCTTCGCACAACATGTGCACGCCTGGGCCAAAAAGGCCTTGGGATTGAAGTTCAGTGCCTGCTGTGAAGCCAGAGCTGAGTGCCATTGTACAAGCTCACTTGTCCTTGAAGCTAGCTGCAGCTGTATAGCTGTAATGGATGGCTGTATAGATGTACTTGCCACATTTCATTTTCTTTTCAAGTATGGTACAACATCAATAACAAACCTGCTGCTCGAACTGGTTCAGGAATATGTTGGCCATATATCCCCCCCCCCCCCCCTTTGGATTCAACTTTCTTGTTGTCACTTTGCACCGGTTGCCAGTGTAACCTTTTGAACCATGTCATGTGAAGTACTGTGTAGACTAGAGAGATTGCAGAGGCAGTTCCACACACGCTTGGGGTTATGTACTCTTGGTTTTATCTTCCATCTCTTAGCGACACTCACTGCTTGCTCACTGCTGTTGCTGTCCTAGCTCTCCGCTCTTAATTGTCCCGGCTTATTGTACCTACTTCAAAGTATAGTCTGTTATACTACAGGGTACTATACAAGTGAAGTTCCAATGCATTGAGAGATCTAAAAAAACTACATGCCGCATCTGCCATACCATAGACATGGAAGCTGCCCTCTGGACTAAGCGTTTTCCCGGATCGACAGCGCAAACGGCAGAACGTATCCCTCAGAGATGGCCGAATAATGTGTAACGTTGTTGTCCATCCTGTCTGGAACGTAGCGTATTTGTCCTTCAGTTGTGGGCGCACAGTCAGTAGTCTATCAATGGACATCCACCGCCAGTGCGTCTCCTCCGAGTACAGCTGCCACTTGATAGATGGCTGGACTACAAACTCCTTCCGTTCAGCCTGCACAGATGGCAGCCAAGATGCATGACACATACCCGCAATGTTTCTGAGACTCATCATTGCCTATACACAGCTGCAATACAAATCAAAGACTTCAGTTTAGTTCGGTATACCCTAGGCTGACTGCACTGCGTATTGATGCTTGATGTTACAACACTAGACTAACATTTCACTATTGCTGATTTCTATGCTACACAAGTAGAGCCGACTAATGATATAACAAACACCCTTGTGCAACAGAACTCATTCTTTATATAGCCGAAGTTTGTTATAACAGTATCGCACTTGCACAGCGCGTTCAAACTGGGGCATGGACAACGGTTCGCTACATCAGAAAATTCGCTACATGCGAGTTCGTTATAAGTGGAGTCGACTGTACTTATAGTGTGGGGTGAGCACATTCAGGAAAAAGATGGTGATTCTAGATGGATATACTTGTGTTGGCACCAATGAAAGGTGCAGCAGGGATTTGCACCACACCTGTTCGGTTAGGCTATCCAGCAGTGAGATTGTAATACGTGTACTAGCCCATACCTGGCACTGAAAGACTGCTACACTGTCGCTTGTCCCACGGTTTGGCCAACGGAGCTTCTGTGGTGATAGGGTCAGGTTTTGGGCAGGTTCTTGGAGAGGAGGACAACAAGTTGGCAAAGGAGCCTGTTAGAACAGATGCTGGACATGATACAGGATATGTGCCAGCACATTCACGAGTACTGGTTGTATAATGAGTCCTAATGGCATACATACCGGTAAATGTATACATGTGTATGTATATGTGTATGTATATGTGTATGTATATGTGTATGTATATGTGTATGTATATGTGTATGTATATGTGTATGTATATGTGTATGTATATGTGTATGTATATGTGTATGTATATGTGTATGTACATGTGTATGTATATGTAGGACTCAGTATAGAGTCCATGCACTATATGATGTCCAGCACCCTATATAGAGTCCATTGGTCCAAAATACACTATACAGAGTCCAGGAGTCCACTCAGTTTTGATCAGCTTCATCCTGCCGCGCAATCCCCTATAAGGAGTACACTTTTTCTACAAGTCCCCTATTCACGGTCCAGGAGTCCAGTTGATCCAGTCACGCCGTCCTGTCACGGCTGCATGCGCTGTGTGTTGTGCCCGAAAAAAAAACACCTTTTCAGTTTTGCTTGCCTCGTGGCAGCGCATTCCTTTCTTCACTTCAGCCATGGCTGCCAGTTCTGCTGTGCAGTTCCTGACAGTAATCTGTCTCGAGGTAACCAAGGAGGATAAGGAGACGTTCAAAATCAAATCTGGAAAGCGTCTTGTGGTTCTCTGAAGACGTTTCATCAGTGCGCGGGATGAAAGCAGAAATTGCAGAACGAGAAAAGTTCAGCACAGTTCAAATCTGACGAGTCAGGTACACTGACACTCTCTTTCGTTCGACGCCACAAGGAACCCCTGTTTGGCTGGCCATTGCTGGCAGTAAAGCGTTTGAACGGTTTCATCAGAGCGAGGGATGAAAACAGAAGGCGGAGAACGAGAAAAGTTCAGCACAGTTCCAATCTGACGAGTCAGATACACTGACACTCTCTTTTGTTCGACGCCACAAGGATACCCTGTTTGACTGGACAAGACCTGCCTGTACCACCATGTCAAAAGGCTGTCCAACTACATGGCAGGACGATGACTGAGGTAAGGAAGCTTTTACTCGTTTCGATTGGTCTGCTGTTCTGTCGTTATGCTTGAATTTTTTTCCATTTTCAAAGAGCGTATCGCTTTTGTTTGATGTTGCTTGAATGAATGCCCTAAAAGTAATCAACCACTTCGTAATAGTCCTCAAGGACTGCAAGGACTTTGCATCAATCGTATACGATCGTCTAGCTATCATCAATTATTATTTTATTTCATGAGAAATGTATTTTTATCCCTGTGATAATTATGTGAACTCCACGACACTCTTCCTGTTGTAGGCCATAGTATGATGTCAAATACAATCGGATCCACAAACGCAGTGCCAGGGTACTAGTAGTAGTAGGAGGATTTCTTGTATGCCGATGACAAGAAAAAAGCTTCTCAAGCTAATACATATACTTGTATTCCATGAAGTAACCGTTTTGATGTCACAAACATGACATTGTGTCAGTGAAACTGACTCGTGACAACAAATCATTGCATTTCCATCTTGGGGAAGACTGACTGACGGCAACGCTGTACGGATTGTTCAAATCATCTCATATCAATTTAGTTGCAGTGAAGTGAAACACTGTGTACACTACATGTATGGTGGTGTGTCTGTGCGTCTTGAGTGTGCACAAACGATCTTATTCCTCGTATTACTAATAGATTATTGTCCCCACCCTCACCTGTTCACAGGTCTTTGAGTGGATGGATTTTCATTGAGCATCACATTCGTTCAGAACTTGGTAGTTGTGTGCTCCCATGCATCATTACGGTAATAAGCGTATCCTTGTGCAATCTATTTGTTCAAGGTGTGCTGATCTTCAGAAGCTTGCGGAACTGAGTGCTGCTGAACATTTGCATGGCCATGAGCAATGGTGAAGCTTGCTATTGCACTCTCAGCATGTGCTAGTATTATGCTGACTACTGCACTATGTTACTCTCTTACACTACTACATGACTGTATGTAAACGTGCGTGCATCCGCCCACGTATGCATTCGTGTCGTATTATTATTTGTTATCCCTCTTGACTTTACGTGTAAATGGGTGGACGTTTGCATGGCTGTTGGAGTTGATTCTGTATTGTGCCTCTACTCTTTTCTTGGTGTTTTCTTGGCGTTGTATAAGTTTGTGTGTGTGTGTGTGTGTGTGTGTGCGCGCGCGCGCGCACAATAATTTGAAAACAAATAATTAATCCTTGGCTCTCCATTATTCTTTTTCGATTCCTGTTTTTTTTCTAGGTATTTTCTTGGCGTTGTGTGTGTGTGTGCATGTGTGTGTGTGCGTGGACAATAATTTGGCAACACTACATGATTGAGATAATTGTAATTTGCAGCGTCTGCGAAGAGACCACTTGACTTGAGGATGGTGTTTGTAGGGTTTTTCGTTTAATGAAGTGGCTGCAGTGGCGCCTCAATACTTATTTTTTTATCTTGAGAAGTGAATGATGTAAAGGATTAAAGGGAGAGGCCGTTTTCTTATTAATATTCGCTGCTTACAGCAGATCCTATGTCTAATTTGGAACTCTGGATAGGGGATGCCTAATTGGCTGGACTTTATACAGGGAGTGTTGTCCACATAAAGACTCTTTATAGTTGATTTCAAAGTTTGGACTCCGTACAGTTGATTTTGGACCAATGGACTCTATATAGGGGTGAAGCCAATTGGCTGGATTCTATACAGGGAGTGATGTCCATCTAAACTTTGAGCTCACAGTTGATTCCAAGTTTGGACTCTGTACAGTGGATTTTGGACCAATGGACTCTATATAGGGGTTGGACATCATATAGGGGCTGGACGCTCTACTGAGTCCAACATATATGTGTATGTACATGTATATGTGTATGTATAAGTGTATGTATATGTGTATGTATATGTGTATGTATATGTGTATGTATATGTGTATGTATATGTGTATGTATATGTGTATGTATATGTGTATGTATATGTGTATGTATATGTGTATGTATATGTGTATGTATATGTGTATGTATATGTGTATGTATATGTGTATGTATATGTGTATGTGTATGTGTATTTTTTAAATACTTTTTACAAAACCACACACACACCATTTGACGGCACAAAGCAGCAAGGCAGCGATGAGATATATCTGCCATTATATTATAATGGCAGGAATGGGGAGAGGCAGGGGCAGCTTGACCGACCATAGGGTCTCGACTTCATTGCGACCCAAGCGCTCCACACAAACAAAAAATTACAGAAAATACCGGCATGTGTGTACGCATTACAACCAATGTTGTGCTTACCACTGATGCGGACCCATGCAGGTATGCTGGTGACCGTTCCATTGAGGAGGAATGATGTCAGGTTACAATAGTACTGGCCAGCAGTAGCAACGGTTGCATTGCTTAGCCGCAACACACCGGTTGATGATCCTGAAAACCAGCCAGAGTGGTACACACCAAGCATGGTCATCAGTATGACATCATTGGACGGAGTACTGTATGAGTACAGTCAACTTGGCTAATAACGACTGCGGATATAACGACAATTCGCGAATAACGACATAATCTCCATGCCCAGAGCAAAGTGCATTCTACCTGTATACATATTAAAATGAGACTTCGGGTAGCAGGACACTTCGCGAATAAGGAAACTTTTCTGATGCCCGGCCGAGTGTCGTTATATGCAAAGTTGACTGTAGGTCAGGTGAATTAGAAGGTCGTTATTCAAGAGGTTCACTCTACATTGCATGATGCATGGAAGAACTGATAGCAGTTACGGATGCCCGTTCCTTACCAGATACTGTTTGTGAATCGATCAGCGATGTGTTGCTGCCCAGTCGATACCAGCTGTAAGTCATGTCGGCAGGCTTACGGTGATCTGGCAAACACTTCAGCAGCGCTGTCTGACCAACTCGCACTGCGGTATCGGCCGGCTGATACTTGAACAGCAGAAAAAATTCTACACGAAACCGGCATAATTGCAGAAAGGTTATAGAGAACAAATTTTTTTAAATAGGTAACCTTCGTGGAGACAACAATATAATTAGAACAATAAAAAGGATCAACTGAGCACTCATTTTATACACACATCAAGGCAAATTGTTGAGTAAGTTCCAAAAACGTTTTCTTGCAACAGTCAATTATTTTTCCTCTTACAACTAATTACTTGTCCTAGATAGCCCCAGGAGTAGCTGCTGCAAGAGCATGGGTGATCATCATCAGACATGTGTGTGTCATGCTAAGCATCTCAGAAGTGCGTGTGTGTGTGGGGGGGGGGGGGGGGGGGGGGCTGTGGTAAATGCCTTGAATCAAAACAGTCATTGATTTCCAATGCATTATTGCCCTGCCATTATTGTACTTGTATTCTCACTTCTGACTGCACAGGACTACGTGCACGGTCACTTTCCTAGAATAGAAACTCACTGGGGTTCATCCCCCCCCCCCCCCCCCCCGCTTCAAAATTTTCTTTGCTCACACAGATAAATAAAAAAAATCTTTATCAGGATGACCCAAAGGCTTGTTTGTCGCCTATCAAAGAGATCACGTCATGCAAGGCACATCTTTGTGACATCTTGCATACTGCAGCTGTCATTACGTTGTATACAGTCATTGGCCACAACTGCAGTTGAAGTAACTAATAATATTATTAGTAATTACTTACTAAGGCTCCAAACTAATACAATGAATGAAGGCAACTGACCAGAACACAAAAATGTGTGTTCCTCTGATCAAGGGTATCATCTGTGCACTGCTCGGCAGGGCGTGCAATGTTTGCAGTGTCCTTATTGCTGATAAAGAAGTGTTCTTGGGGAGTCTCCCGATACGCCACTTGGCCATCACAGGAGGGGGTTCTCACTTTATACCAGGGACCATCTATTCATCTACTTGTACTGGTACATGATTGTACTTATGCATGGTATTAGGGGCTCTACCAACCGTGGATGGTTGTACATGTAGAAAGGTCACTGTTTCCGAGCACACTGGTCTCCACCTTGTTACATGCTGTCAACCAACAACGTACTTGTACTACAGAAAAATTTCTTACTCGGCGACGCAACCATGTGCGGTCACAGATTTCACATGTACGTCATCATGGTCATGTACATGACCTTCACTGACGACTCCACCTACTGTACTAGCGAGATGCAAAACCTGCTGCCAACATTGGCAACAAGCGAAGAGAAGGGTCTGATGGACATTAGTTGGCTACATACCGGTATTTGAAAGACTACCATGTCTATGTAGTCACATGTAGCTATAGTCGGTGTACATGTGTGTATCTTCGACACGGGGTGACAGGTAAGGAGATCTCACGGACATTGTCCAGTCCGAGCAGTGGACTGAGTGGCATCGTGTCGAACGGACGCGCAAGGACCGGTATTATCGTCGTATCATCGAGGGACGAGGGGACGGCCACGAACACCAGCAGTGTGTTTTTGACACATCAGTGACATCACCTTGTCAGTTTGAAGTACACCGGCATTATAAGGCGAAACACCTGCAGGCTAGTGCAGGATGTATCGCAGGGAGTGACTACATGACTACCAGCAGCCGAGTCACACATCATCACATGATTGCGCTCCTTGGGCCTTAGCAAAACTGCCAAAAGTTTGAACCCGATTCTTCAACGTTTCCCAGCATCACCAAATCATTTTCTCTGCTTCCTGTGGATTCACTCCTTCACGTATTTTAAAAACGTGGTATTCCCTCTCGGCAGCACCATGACATGTACATGGAGATCTACCACTGTACCAGTGCCGCAACATCAAAAATTACAAAATCGTCGATCGCTATCAATCATCATCAAGACAGTCATGCTCTTCACGCACTACAAAACAGAGAGGTGTCAGGCTGTCCAGTAGTGTGCTCAATGCCGAAGGGGGGATTGCCGAAGGGCAGAACTAAGTTACTTGTTCTAACGAAGAGAAGAGGATGTACAAAATGTGTTGTTACTCCGACTTGCATGCTCATGTACATGCCATTGTTTCATACTCTTCTTCTGGTCTTCACTCACCAGTTACTACACTACAGGCGTACAGCAGTACAGCAGTACAGTACAGGCCATCAGTCTACAGCCAGTAGATCTACAGACTTTAATAACTATGACAGTTTCTGGACACTCCCATGATATTGTATTATTGATACATGTAGACCTACACTGCACAGCATGATTGCACTACGAGTACCGGTACAATGCATCCACACACACACACACACACACTCGCACACACACACTCGCACAAGACGCCAAGCTCGGGGATAGCGATGGGGTACTTCTCCATGACACGAGGTTCTTGTAAAGAACACTAAAGTCTAGTAGTAGTAGTAGTAAAGACATCACACGTTCCACAGTCACCGTGGCCATCTCACTGATCTCACACCCCATTATGACATACGAAGTGTCACAGATACATGTAGCATTAGATTTTGATAACTAACTGAGTCTGTCACCAGGGTCACTGAGTGTCATCGGACTCATCACACAACACCATACTGAACAGTGAAGAGTGAAGTCTGAAGTCCACATTGGGACCACAACTTGCACAAGACCAACGGCAACGCTGGGACCCAGGCCCAGAGGGCCAGAGGGCGGAAGCGGTCCCATGCTCACTTCATGAACCAAGGACTTAGGTACGTACCTGTGGGGTCCGGCGTGTATGTATACGAGTACATGGACGCCTCCGACCTCGCGTCACAATCCCATCCGAGAAACAGCAGCAGCGGAAGTAACTGGGCCCATGTCAGCACGGAGCCAGTGTACAAGACAGAGGGAGAGGCCATCCTTCGTCGCCGTCGTCGCCACAGTCCAGCGACCGGATCAGTTCAACACCGGAGCTGGAAGGTAAATATCATTAGTGACTACGACTCTTGTGCCGAAGGAGACCTGTCAGCCACTGGTCTGCGTTAGTTCCCTTGTCGGCTGGAAAGAGGTTTAGTTGCTCTCGCACTAGTGAGTAAATAATTCCAAGTCACTTGCACTGTCAACAAGCTGTGACAATAACGCTACGTCTACCACCGCGATATCACCTGTTTTTCTAGCAACACAACTAGATTTCACACCTTCCCAACGACGGGCAGGTTCTGGACGTGCACGGACTACCAGGACTAAAAGTAAAAAGATGCAAGAAACGGACAACCCGTTTTATTTCTGATGCGATATCAATCCTCCGTTGATCATGCATGGCTGGCAACAAAGAGTAGAATCCGTGTTCGTAGATCTGTCGGAGAGCAGGTGTGGTGTAGAAACTGCGAGTAGCGGCATGCGAGATGTGAGCCCGCTCTGGTAGTAGCTGCAGCTGGGTTCTCTCAAGAACGCGTGTGATGGAGCGTGTGAAAGTTCTCGGGGATGAATGCGTGCAGGAAAGGCAGCAAACTCTTGTCGCCACAGGTCGACACGCACCGATGAGCAGAAAAAAGCTGCTCGCTGACTGCAAACCAGGCACACGTGAGTGGCGATTGTTCCAAGATAAAGTGACAGCGATTCTCTGATGCGTGTACGTGTGCGCTCTGATGCGCGCGAAAACCCTGAAAGAGAATAAGCTCGTCCCACTGGTCCAGAGGTGTCAACAGCTCGGTTTCTTGTTTCATAAGGCGATGATTGACTAGGAAACATCATGACTACAGACTCTCAGTACAATCATCATAGTTACTTAGTTATTACAGTCATGTACATATGGATCGCCTTGTAGGGTCAACGACTTACGAGCAATAGCAGCCATCAGGTCCAGGACTTCAGAGTTCAGACCCAGAAAGAGGCAGAAGCAACAGCCAATGAGTACAAGCTTGCAAGGCACATGCACAGCATGGTCAGCATCGTGCGAAAATGCACAACTTGACATGTAGAGTCTACACGACATGTAGAGGAGACGGCTCGATACCGGAACGTTTTGACAGCCAAATTTGTATAGACCCAAAACGATCATCAACGTTGATTTTTCACTCGAAATATGTTTGTGGAAGGAAACTGGCATGTTGAAGTTTGCTCTGGGGCCAGAGTCAATCGAACTGAGCCACTCCTTTGTGTTGACCCATTGCCTCCAAGTTGCCCAATTTTTCGCTTCAAAAAAGTTCAAATCAGAGGTGGCTCCAAACCGGACACGTTTTAGAGTGCCCGTCAAATTCACTCTGGGTCTGAAATTAGGTAATTGCTATCGCTCCACGACGGCCAGTACAGAGTAACAATAAGCCTTGTGTGTGCTTCCATTAGTTTTGATTGGTATGCGGTGCTTTATTGTCGAGAGGCGAGCCGCTGTTTACCTGCGACAAGAAGTTGATTTTTCGAAAGTCGTAAAACTCAAGTCGCAGTGCGAAGCAACACGTCAAAAACTCACCTGCTTGATATGGCGCTTCTGGTCATCGCAGAGCCATGAAATTTTGGCTCGGAGTATAACACATCGTAGTCTCACTGTGACATATGTTTTCTAATCAAAATACCAAGAGAGAAAGTGAATATTGAGTCCGTTCCGGTTTGCAACCTATTTCCTATTTGAAACCGTCGCCTCTACTAGTAGTACGTGTTGACATGACGTGCAAGGTGTCGTGAAACGCGGTGAAAGCTCTTTCACGACTTTGTTTTTATGTACATGAGTCATGACATTGTACTGGTAGTACTGGTAGTAGTCGACTCCTTTGTTGCGGATGTGCGAACCCGGGAGTCGTGAAAGCTAGGGACACGACTACCGTATTATATAAACACAGGCCTCCAGCACAGTCTCCATCATAAGCACAGGTCGGAGTCTCCAACATAGTCACAGTGATAATACATGACATTGTACTGGAATGCAGCTAGCTGTGCGCATGCGCTTACCTTGAAATGACGTATGCGGGCGGACGCATATATTTATACAATTGTACAGTCATATAAAACATAAAAGTGCTCCACGTGTTTGACTTCCACTTCCGCATCATTCTTTTTTCTTCTCTCTGTTCTCTAATCATGAAATCTGAGTTAAATTCCACTTTGAGTGTGTTGGTATGCAACTTTCTTGACTTTTTCATGGTTGAAAAAAATATAAACACGGTCTCCAGTATTATCACGGTCTCCTCTATAAGTATAAGCACGGGTGCGAGGTGGGTTGAAAAAATATAAGTACAGTACCGTGTTTATAATACATGTATAAGGGAGATAATACGGTAATCAACACAAGAATAAAATATGGACTCGGATGGAGAGCCAAGTCAATTTAGTTTTTAAAATTGATGAAGAACACTGGGGCGCCATAATAATATTATGGTGATTTGCTTGGCTGAATGAATCCTCTCTTGAGCATTTCTGTGAGTTGGGCTTGCAGCTCGTCCATCTCGGGCCTTGGCAAGCCATAGGCGGCACGGGAAGGTGGTTTGGTACCATCCTCAGTTCTAATCTCAAGATCCACTCCTCGTTTTGGAGGAAGCTTGTTGGGCAGTTCATCCGGAAACACATCCGAAAACTCCTCCAGAATGGCATTGACGGACCGCCGCTCATCACCCAGTGCAGAGGGCGCATCTCTGTGTCGGAGTCCGTTTCGTCTTCTGCTGCCGCTACCCACGCAAGTACTCCCTCTGCTTAGTGCGTGGCGAGCAGCGGAAGCGTGCTGGGCCCATAACGTATTAATTAACCCAGAGGTCGATGGATCGTAACCAACCTCTGCTACCATTGTAACCGGTGAGACGTTGTGCAAGGTAAGAGGCTGTCTATAAAAAAAATAAGAGGATCATAGCCATCATGAAAGATTCAGGTGAGAACACAAGATGAGATACATGTACTAGAAGTGAGAGGGTATGACTAAGCGAGTAAGGGTGAAGTGTGACGCTCTTTTAGTTTTACAGTGTCCAGCAGACTTCCTGATGTTCTTCATCATTTCTAGGAACTGGTCCCTGGCCGGTGAGAAGGCATCTTTGCTTGTAAATCTGATGAAGTAAAATAAAACAGCAACAACAACAACAACAACAACAACAACAACAACAACAACAACAACAACAACAACAACAACAACAACAACAACAACAACAACAACAACAACAACAACAACAACAACAACAACAACAACAACAACAACAACAACAACAACAACAACAACAACAACAACAACAACAACAACAACAACAACAACAACAACAACAACAACAACAACAACAACAACAACAACAACAACAACAACAACAACAACAGCAGCAATGTCAAAGGGCAGAAAGGAGCTTTTGAACCTCCTTCAGAAAGGAGCTTTCGAACCTCCTTCTGGCTCATGTTGATTTCTTTCAGTTCACTAGTACCGATAATGCGGCCCACGCCTAAATGTATCTCTGGTACGGCTTCAGTTGGTCCTGACCTGAGATCGACTTTTGACTCCCCGAGATGAAACATCTACATGTACATGTATTATACGTTTAGGCCTTTTCTGCATCCAATGTAGCCATTGCTGCGTTTGCTGAAATAGGCGGAAGCTCATTCTTCGGGGAAGACCACAGTGATTTCAATTAAAACTTGTACAGGTTTCGCTGCGGGTAGGCATTTCCCAAATCGGCCGGCCGAAAATTCGCTGAAAACAGTGGTTTTGAACAAATCACTGACTTTGGGGCTCATAAAATGGCCGAATTTGGACATTATCTTAGCCGATCGAAAAGCCGATCAGGCGAGAAAACCGGGCTGATTTGGGAAATGCCTAGCTGCGGGGCACCAGTTGCGTCGCCTTGCTAATGCGAGGTTGCGCTTGCGGACGCAAAGGCGGATTTCAAAACTGAGCTTCTCTCAGTAGATCTACACAGACTAGTCGACTACAGTACAAGTGTGCAATGCTGATTAAACTTAAAGCGAGTCATGCCAATGCGACCAGAGGTCTGACATTGACAACTGCGGAATTTCCCCAGCTGGTGTCAAAGGGCTTCTTTCAGTGCCACGACGGGATCAAGGTCCTAGTTCTAACTTACTTCTAGCGACTTCCACTTGCTGCAGTCCTGCATGGGCCCCTGGTGTTGGTGCTAGCTGTGGACATACCACATGATTTCCTCTGTGACAAGTAACGTTCTGACCCTTCAACAGGGGAACAAGATGGGACAGATAGGTCTTCTTCTGGTACATTGAAGATGACAGCAAGTCAACATACCACATGATTTCCTCTGTGACAAGTAACGTTCTGACCCTTCAACAGGGGAACAAGATGAGACAGATAGGTATTCTTCTGGTGCATTGAAGATGACAGCAAGTCAAATTAATTGTCTCTGGAAATACAGGTTGGAAAAGACACGTGCTGGTGTAGGACTGCAGACTAGTGCAGTGTCCTGACTGTAGCCTTGTAGGTAACGTTACATGTACATGTAGCTCAGTCTAGTCGGAGAGTTCGTATTGCAGAGACTTAGAGACAGGGCAGCTCCACTTGTTGGCATAATAATTATGACGTCAGCTGTATGTCGGAAAGTGATGAGAAGAAAGTGAAGAAAACAAATTTCAGCCAGATACATGTACATGTACATGTACAATCATGTTAGTTTGACAGCATGAAACAAGGTGGAGGACACTGTGTTCGGAAACAGTGACCTTACTACAACCATCCACGGTTGGTAGAGCCCCAGTCCGTTGGGACCATCTGAACCATATGGGTGTTGAACCCGGTTCTGACCCTCATTATGCTAGGGGAGTTTTAGACTTCTCCTAACGTCAGACTATACTACTAGACGTGGTGAAGGCCTACCCATGGCCGCGTCGGGACATCACCAACCTCGTCTACGGAGAGCACCTTCTCACGACAGTGTCATGAGAAGTTAAAGATGAAGTCACAAATAATTAATTGCTATTAAAGTACTAGTACATGTATATACAATCATGTAACCTAGCAAGTTACATGTAGTTGATTATACTGAAGTACATGTATGCATGGGCAATGTGAACCTGTGTACAAGCCGAGATGCAGCGAGGATTATTGGTTCCTATTATTGATTTATCAGGGACGCCGGAACCGGTGCGGCAGGTGCGGCCAAAGCCAAACCAATAATTTCATCCTCTGATTTCTGAAGCAATGAAACATGGGCTATTTGGGATCAATTTTCCTAAATATTTCCCGGGGAGGGCCCCAGGACCTCCTTCCGCCTTCTCATGGTCGCACCAATGTAGAATGCCTTCCGCCTTCTGATGGTCGCACCAATGTAGAATGCCGTCCGCCTTCTCATGGTCGCACCAATGTACAATGTAGAATGCCTTCCGCCTTCTCATGGTCGCACCAATGTAGAATGCCGTCCGACGCCCTTGTAAAAGTATACTCGGAAGGAGAGGCAAGGATTAATTCATAAGAAGGAAAAAGACCAAGGAACTAGTACAAGTGTCGCTATATTGTCCACTAACACCACCAGTTACTTGACAATCAGCTCATGCGATAAGGATTAAGGTTGCATGACGCTGACCAACGGTACTGACTTTCTACATCTACATGCAACTTCCAATCAGCCCTAGCACGGTCTTGGATGCGCACTCAAACAGCGGTCAACTTCATGACTATTACCGCCAAAGTCGCAACTTCTAAGTTCGTATTGTTGTCCCTCACGCGGACGTGCGACTAGTTGTTGTAGGTGACAGCGTTGTGAATAGCTATACTGGCTCTCAACGTCTGCTTAGCACGACTCCATGAGCGACTCAGTCTCTGACTCACGCTGCTACCTGGGGCTTCATGAGGCTCCAGGTGTTTGTTTGTCGCGCTGGAAACAAAGCGTCTCTGTGTTAGTTTGTATCCCTGGTGATGGTTTGGCCTGGAGAGCAGTATATTATAAGTGGTGCTTTTCAGGCACAATCTTCCTCAGCCTACTCAAGCTCAACTGATGAGGGGTGAATTCCCCGAAACACTGTGTATTGAGCAGGGAGTGGTGCTTTCTTGCAGGTTTGCCGAGTGGAAGGTGCGACGTGCTCCTCGTGTGCTCCGGATGGCAGTCGTGAGTCAGTCAAGTGTCAAGTTCGGCAAGAAGCGTGTGTTCCTAGTTGGAACAATCTTACTTCAAGCCTAAGGCTAAGTTATAGAAATAACATAGGAGAGGAAGGTGGGCTAAACAAAGACAAGCAAGACAAGAATCTTTAAGTTTAAAGCCACATAAGTTAGCGGCTTCAACGCGTAGTTGTGGGCGGAAATTCCTGGGAATACGTCGCATGCAGTCGAGGGGTGCCGCAAGGATCCGTCCTCGGCCCCCTCCTGTTCACACTATACATCCGTAACCTTCGATGCTGCTTGCCCCAGCAGGTCACAAACCAGGAATTTGCAGACGACATTGCAATTGAAGCCTCGGGCAGTTGCGAACAAGTGTGCTCTTCTCTAAGCACAGCCATCACTGGCCTGTCGCAGTGGTTGGAGGACCGCGGACTAATGCTGAACCAAAAGAAAACGCAAGCTCTGTTGATTACCCCAAGAGGCCCAGCCCCTGACACAGATAACATTCGAATTCGCTGTGGGAATGCAGCCCTTGCAGTTGTGGAACAAGCGCGGTACCTGGGCGTAATGGTAGATGGGCAGCTGTCCTGGGAGCCTCACGTCAATCACACAATCCAGCAGGTGCGGAAGACTCAGTAGGTGCGCTGTGGCGGAGCCGCCGAAGCCTCACCCTGGCGTCAAAGATCCTGTTTTACAGGTCGATGATCCAGGGTAGGTTGTCGTACGCTTCCAACGCCTTTTACCGTCACTTCAAATTGGCAACATGGAGCCCCTCACACGTCTAACGAAGTGCGCTATCCGCTGCTTCTTCGGTCTGCCACCGTGGTCGCGCACGAGCCCGATCTTTGAACAGCTCCGCCTCACCACCCTGGAGGACATGTTTAACATTAAGCTCCTCATCTTTGTCCGTCGTTGTCTGTTCTCCCGAGCTAGCTCCCTCTTCACCAGCTTCTTCGTGAGAGTTACTGGTGACCGCACTCGGGGAGCAGCACATCACCTCGTTCGAGTACCATTTTGGCCCGGTCCTGCGGGTCGAGCGACCATGCAGTTCATCGGCGCAGTCCTGTGGAACCAGCTCCCGCCTGATCTCCGTTCCGAGCCCAGCCACCTTCAGTTCTGTGCCCTGCTAAAACTAAAAGCGCATCATGGCTCCGTTTAAATGCTTTTCGGCTAGTGTGTTTCTGTGGTATAGGGCTTGAAAGTGATGACGTCAAAAACGGCCAGGGAGTAGTAAGTCGACATCAGATTTCTATTTTGGATCCACTATGATATGACCAGATGACGATTTATCACGACAGTGTGTCGTGTGTGGCGTGGCGAGGTGGGTTGGTGACTGATAATAATGCAGTGATATGATCACCTTCATGAGCATTGTATTATTTTTTTTACATAATAAATTATTGATGAGGATGCTGAAAGTTAGGCGTAGAATGCGCAGACCTACGCGTGAACCATGTAAACTAGTGTTTAAACCGAACACGGATTCTTCGAACGAATAATCTATCGAATAATTTCGCCCTCCATCGAACGAATAATCTATATTCTATCATACGCATGATGGCATTTTTCAACACTTTTTCAGCACTTTTTAAGTAGTTTTTTTTAAACATTTTGCTGATTAATATCGGATTTTGTTATGTGGAGGTGCAAAACCGGTTAACCTATACCGCCAAGAGTACATAACCCCCCCAGAGTGTGCAACGCCTGATCCAGCTCTGCATAGGGTCTTGGTCGAAAGTGGTCAAAGACCGAAAATCACATTCACTGCAACCATGTTTCCCTCGTATGGAAAGAACAGAAGTATTACTATAATACCGATAGGAGATTAAAACTTGGAGGAGAGGAGATTGACAAGAAATACTACGAGCAGATCTACGCCGTGCAAATATCAGCAGGGTCAGCACTGAGCATAGACTTTTTTTTTTTTTTTTTTTTTTTTTTTTTCGATTTCTGATAATTCCTACGACTATTCGATTATTCGTTCACCCCACGAATATTCTAAATAATCGATTATTCGATTATTCGTTTCAACACTAATGTAAACCCTGGCCGAGGTACTACTACAGTACTAGGTGGCGAGGTCACTTGGTACAGAAAAATAGTGAGTGTGCCAAGTGCTAGTAGTAGTACTACTCAGTAGTAGATCTAGTACTACTACTACTAGCTACACAGCCTACAGTCAGTACGTCAGTGTTACGTGTAACACCTGCGTGCCATGCCAACTCACTGCCAAGTGCGAAGACTACCGCATGATCATGATGATTGATAGCTACAAATGTAGCTGCACTGCAGGCATGCTTGTTGAAAGTCATTGATTGATATCCCAGCACACTCACTATTTTTCTGCACCTCCCGCCGCAACAGCACAGTATAACCATGATTACTGTTAGTCGTGTGCCGTGGTTCGATTTTCGGCTACTGAACGTTCAGCTTATTTTGTGGGCTTGCTAGTTAGTACTAGTAGTTGCCCTGGTAGTAGATCTACGTCCTCCGCCCGTTCCTTGTCCTTGGCTCCATCGAGTGTCATGTGCGCGGCGGTGGCGACATGCCCTTCATTACCGTGCAAGAATTTGAGCAATAATTCCTGCTGCTGCAGCGCTGGTGTGCTGGCTTGTGCCAAAATTGCTTTTTTAGTAGAAAATAGACGGTGCGTGTCTTGAAATGGATCTAAGGTCGCCAATGAAATTATTGTTTGTGATATGGCTGGTCCTTGCTACCTATATCGAATTTGTTACCTGTCAAGTGAGCGGTATGGTTCCGTCCCTGACTGCGAACTGCAGCGGCTATGCCATAGACCGATTTCATCAAGACCTTCCCAACCCGAGTACACGCGTATTCATCAACGATGTGTATTTCTTGTTGCCCAATAGCAGTTCTCTCACAAGTAAGTGCTTATCTTGATAATCTACATGTGTGTGTTTAATTATAACGTGAACAGTTGCCTATGTTTCCCTTCTTTCCCCTTTACTGTTCTCTACTGTTCTCCCCAAAGCAAATGAATGCTTATCTAGGGAGTTTGGCATGGTAAGAAAAGGGTGGAAGGGGAGGGGTTTTAGTTTTGGTAATGGGGAGGGGAAGATATCGAAAGCATAATGATGCGTGGATTGTATGCAGACCAGCATACAAAGCTGATCCGGACCATCATAAATTTACACATTAGGCCAGGTGTGTTGTGAAGCAGTAAATATTATCCACTGCAATTGTTGGTGGCTGTGCGTAATGACGCCGGGTGTGTGTGTGGGGGGGGGGGGGGGAGGGCTGACGTGTACTGGTTGATTAGCCGGGCAAGCTAGCAGGTCAGCCTTTCCTAGATCACATGTAGCCTTGCTGATTCGTCTCTCAGCTCTGGAAAGAGAGAGAGTGGGCTTTGAACAAGTGGTGTAGCTGCTTTGGATCTGTATCACCATGCATACCTGTCACTGCCACCGTGAATCTGTGTACCCGGTACATACCGAGGCAAGGCGGAGGTTTGTAAACTCATTCATATTTCCCATGTAGCAAGCTGAGTAGCCTCATCACAACTTCCAAGGCTATGTTTGAGCACAATTGCACTACCCTCGCTGTAAAAAAGAAAAGAACTCAGTTCATTTGCGGCTCCAGACCACTAGCTTTTTGCGCCTTCCAGGTTAGCCCTTGTGCTATTCTGTCGGATACTCATGAACACTCATATACTAATATTCCCGTTTGCATCTTTTCTCTCAAACCAATGAACGCTCTCAAACCAATGAACGCTCTTAAACCAATGAACGCTCTTAATGGCATAGAGATTTTGCTACAATGTTAGAGTTTCCTCTCTCTTTGTCTCTTTGTTGCAAAACGGAAGATGGATGGGTGGCCAGGAGTTGAAGGTTTGGCTGAGAGAAAAACCCCGATGCAATCGTGGTGAAACAATTTTGACAAATGTTTGATACGGTTCCATCGCAGACTATAATTATGCTTTATAAAGGTATAAAGGTTTTCTGCCTTGGCTGGTGTTTTCTTAGCCGTGGACAGGTCTGGTTTGCCTTGATAGTGGTATTTCGGCTTGGCCAAGTAAAATGTTGTTGTAGCTTGGCGATATTTGGGTAGAAGCCGCATTGCATTGTCGGAATATTAAACATGTGGTGGTATGTAAGTGAATGGCAGCCACAACGGGTGTTAAGTGCCCAGTGAACTGCTTTGCTAACCAATCACCTCAGCAACATCATTTAGAGGTGAACACAAATTGACATATTCCTGACAGAATGGTGTGTGGACAGTGTAAATGATTGGACCTCAATGTTGTGTCGTTTTTTGGTTTCTTTGGTGCTCCTTGTTGGGCCTATGAATGACTCTGCTCACTCTTGAAAGACCTGAATGAGAATCGACAGTCATCCATTAGAAGCATAGTCTGGGATGGAAACATCACGTTCACAGACATATCGGCTATCTCAGTCAGCGTGCTGCCTGTGACTCTCAGCTCTCTCCGACTGGAAGTGTACAGGGACAGTGAAAGTGCCATTAATATCAATGAGGTAGGATTGCTCTCCAGTGCCTGAAATGCAACAATAACTAATTACTGTGGTGGAGGATGCACTGCGTCAGTCATTTTCATTTTTCTCATTTTTTTGTAGATTTCTCGTACAGTGCGTATCGGTTATAGCGTGGCCGTGTAAAAGAATTTTATCGCCTTCTTAGTATTTGACCCCACTAATTTCCCTGATACCTATTTAAAGCGGTCAAATATATCGCGTTTTATCGCCTTCTTAGTATTTGACCCCACTAATTTCCCTGATACCTAAGCGGTCAAATATATCGCATATTTGACTACTTAGTCAAATACACGATATATTTGACTACTTATATTTGACTCCTTAGAACTTCTTGGACTTAGAAATTTTCTCTCCAACTTAGAAAAAGAAATTTTTGAAGAAAGCAGAAATACACAAGATGGGATTTGAACCCACAACCTTGTGAATCTCAGTCACTCTTCCTTACCACCCAGCCACTGTGCTACCGATGCTGAACCTAGTTTAAACAATGATCTTGACTTTCAATGCAGTACAATGCAGTATAGGCTATAGAGTATAGTATAATACTAGAATTACAAGGATATGTCGTATATGAAGAGAAACTATTGCGTGGAGAACACGATAAATAGATTATAGACCTCATAGTTGGTCTATACAGGATATATAGACCTCGTAAAAGACCTCGGGGGACCTCGGTCTTTTACTCGGTCTATATATCTGTCCCCGGGGAAAATTGCGATTCCGCGGCCGCGTTTTTTCCCGCGTTTTTTGCGATTTTTTAAAAGACCGCGTTTTCCGCGATTTTCCCGCGTTTTTTGTACTTTTTGTTGCACTACACGTACACACAGTGCACTGTTCGGTCAGCAACGTCTCATCGTGGCGGCTTTTTACTCAAATATGACGAGTGCTTACACCAGAGACTTGTAACTAATTGATTTCACTACATAATCACTGAAAATTGCCGCATTCACCGCATATTTACCGCATATTTACCGCAAATTCACCGCAAATTATGCCATATTATGCCGCGTTTTTCCCCGCGTTTTTTGCGATTTTTTTCCGCAATTTTCCCCGGGGACAGATATATCCTGTATAGACCTCCTAACCGGTCTATAATCTATACATATTTGACTCCTTAGAATTTCTTGGACTTAGAAATTTTCTCTCCAACTTAGAAAAAGAAATTTTGAAGAAAGCAGAAATACACAAGATGGGATTTGAACCCACAACCATGTGAATCTCAGTCACTCTTCCTTACCACCCAGCCACTGTGCTACCGATGCTGAACCTACTTTAAACAATGACCTTGATCCTGCAATGCCGTACAATGCAGTATAGGCTATAGTATAATACTAGAATTACAAGGATAAGTCGTATATGAAGAGAAACTATTGCGTGGAGAACACGATAAATAGATTATAGACCTCCTAACCGGTCTATAACCTATACATGTCGCCTACAAGAATGAACTCTCATGTTTTCATAATCATAACATGGGTTTCAAGTGCACTTTTATTCTTACGAGCAATTGTATCGCATTGCGCTCTTTAGCCGACTAGACCCTCCTTCACACAACCATCACCACTGCGAGGACACTTCCAATTGTATCGCATAGTAGAATATATCGGCCCTAACTTCGGAATCGACTTTGTGCAGCGAAACATGCCAGATTAGTACAAAGTGTATCGCCTGTAGTAATAACATCTGTCCAATGCAGTTCTGATCTGACTCGCGTTGCGTCGTAGTGCTGCAGGTTCAACTGTTGTGGTCATGTAACTCATGTTGGATAGCCACATGGTAAGCCTATGGGACTATGCCCAGCCGCATGCACAGTAGCACTACGTTGCACATACGATGATCTTCCAGCCCCTGCGCACATGCACATGATATGTCACACTTGATGTATCGTGTGTAAGAAATATCGGAAATAGGAATAGAAAGTCGTTTTTCAAACACCCACGCTATAACCGATACCTACTGTAGTTGTATTTTTACCTGTATGTGTACGGGGTAGGTATGCGTGTATTTCCATTTGTGTCTGTTTGCGTGTGTGTGTGTGTCACGGTGTGTGTGTGTGTGTGTGTGTGTGTGTGTGTGTGTGTGTGTGTGTGTGTTTGTGTCTGTGTGTGTGTGTGTGTGTGTGTGTGTGTCATATTCATGAAGCAGTTTGTCCTCACCAAAAATTTGTTTTTGGAATTAAAGTGCACTGCAACAGCTAGCTACGAAAGTGCAGTTGTGGCCAAAGAAATCCGACCCAAGTGCCAAAAGGAGCGCCAAGGCTCATGCAGCCCCTGCGGCCTTCGGATGTTTTTTTGTACCGTGCATGATGTAATCGGAATGGAAACGCGGAGTTGCTTTTGACTCGTGGGTCAGATTTCTTTGGCCACAGCTGCACAAGACGTCTTTACTCGCCGGCACCCAATTCTGGCTCTGTACCATACACGGTAGTGCAATCCCCAAGCCATTTGGTCCAAAAGAAAACATCCTAAATGAAAACCGAATTTTTTTGGGGAAGGGGGGGTTGCACATGCCCCATGTGCCCTTCGCGGGCTACGCGACTGGAAAGTGTTGATTTCTCAGGGCCCCAGAATTTGCAAGCAGCCCCCTTTGCAACTCCACAATATTATTGTACTCGTACGAGTATCTACGTCGTCGAGACAATTTTGCACGGTATCCTAGCAAAGTATGGCGTGCACTCAGATATCTCAGCAGCTGAAATGCATGTTAGGTTTCAATGCTGCTTGGAATCTACATTTGAATCAATTTTGTTTGTGTACTGTTTTGCTGGCGTGGTGTCTTCTACAGAAAGTGCAGTGCGGTTTGAGAGGTTGCTCAACAGATAAAAGTGTGGTGTCGAGCGTCCGAATAGGGAGTGACGAGAGGTTTGATGTTCCATCCAGCTTCGCCAGTCGACGTATGTGAATAATGAATGTGTCCGTTGTGGATTTGGTGTGTTCTTCTATGTATGCTGTGGCTGTCGCATGTAGGGTTCGGACGGTGTTATCACCTAATATCAGTGTATTGTTGGCTGTGTTGATGTTGGGGGCAGCGAGGCATGTTTAGCTAAGCTTACAGGTTAACTGTGAGTCCAGGACCTACTGTAAAGCTTATTAAAATAATGAAAATTGCCTGCTGCACAGGTTGTGCATAATGGTGATCATTGCATAGTGTCCAGGTAGTGTGTGCCGTCGTGTCTTATCTCGTGTAGAAGCCTGTTTTGAATACAAGCCGGATTTTCAAGACACACCGTCTGCACATAAGCCTGATTTCAGTATTGACATAGAAATAGCTGATAGAAGTAGAAGCCTACAATGTTGTAGCCCCGACATTGGCTTCTACTTAAAAAAAGAAAAAAGTAAAGGAATAAGGCCGGCTTGAATCTACGCCATTACGGGTATAGTAGTGATCACTGCATAGTGACTGCACAGGTACAGGGATTGTGTACTGGTAATAACAATTATGAGAGAGAGAGAGAGAGAGAGAGAGAGAGAGAGAGAGAGATAGAAAATAGAATATAGAATGGCACCTTGAAACCATTTATGACAATGCCGCCATGATGATTTTGAGTTTGTGTAGAAGTAATCACAATTACATCATTTTTTAACTGATTGCACTTGGCAGACTATTGGCTATTGGCCGTTCTCTGTTCGGTGCAGGCAAGACCGACGCAGTTGTGGAATGCCTGACCGAAGGTCGCGCAACTATTCGAATCGACCTGAAGTGTTGGGTCCTGTCAGAACTGCCGACCATGTTCCCATTCGTATCCTTCATCTTCATCAAAGAATGTAAGGTTCTTCTAATTGGCGAGGCAATAATTATAGTTATCATTTGAGAAATGTTGAGATAAAAATATAGTCTTATAACTTATAACGAACTCGGATTTTGTGATAGATCGAACCCTTATCCATGTCCCTTTTTTTACTTTTTCAAAATTGACCCTTTATAGCGAACACTTTTTCGTTAAAAAAAACGAACCAAATCTTGTAGTTCCGCATGTAAACCGAGTGTACTCTTACTGGGGGGTGGGGTGTCGATTCTCGACGATTATGGTCACACACAAGTCTTTCTTCTCTTTCTCAGACTCCTGACTTTTCTTCCATTCTCTTGGGTGGTTAAAAAATGAAAAAGACCAAAAAGTAGGGATTCACTGGCCAGAAAAGCGACTTCATAGCTGTGTGGTGTAGACCAGGCTGATTAGTGGTACTGTGTGTATGTGTGTATGTGTGTGGTGTGTGTGTGTGCATGTGTGTGTGTGTGTGTGTGTGTGTGTGTGTGTGTGTGTGTGTGTATGTGCGTATATATGTGTGTATGTGCATGTATGTGCGTATGTATGTGTGGGACGTGTGTACTTGTGAACGCCAGGTCCTGCCCCAGCAGTGGAGTCGGTGTCCTCCAATGCACAATCAGTCGGCATCGGCATTGCAGTGGGATTCGTGGCGCTGATTGTCATCATCATCATTTTCATTGTACGCTCACCGGCATGCCACTTCACCGGTGCCCGCGCACTGGATGATCCTCAGGCAGGGGCGGTGCAGAAAGGCGTTTCCACAACGACCACATCGGCAACACTGGTGTCGGCATCACCCCAGGGCAGTGACCATCACCAGGGAAACAATAATACTGTGGACAACCTTTCATCAACAGATGTGCACATCAGGAATAATACCGACAGGTTTGTCCATAATTTGTATTTGTGTTTGTAGTTATGGATTCTCCACAGGCCTTACGGTAGCCTAAATCAAGGGAGTCTCTGTAATTGTAGTCAGAGTCTCCGTAATTGTAGTCTGAGTCTCCGTAATTGTAGTCACTGGCTTTCAATCAAGTTGCTCTGACCCCAAATGGTCGTCATGGAAAATATCCTGTAAAACGGCTAATTCCGGCAGGTAAAACTTGTGAGCCCTTTTTGGCAAAATCGCTAAAATTTAACCACCGCCAAAGTAGCCATTGTACAGAAGTGGGAGGAACCCCTCCACCTGACCTGAGGATACCCTAAGACGTTGAAGTTGATAGGTGATAACGGAATGCTGATGACACAGCTGTCTGGAGGGTGTCCACTATCGATGTCCAAACGGAGTTGTTGTCCTTGCTGAGGTAGTGGTGATGGTGGTTATGACTGTGGCGGTGGCTGACTTGCAGTATCTGCGGCAGCAGCAGCAGCGGTGGTGATGTGCAAGCAGAATGTGTGTGGGCCATGAGCGGAATGTGGTGTGGTGGAGGTAACTTGACGTATCGTGTTCCTGTGGGGATGTATTGGCTTTTGTGTATTAACACATCGGTGTCTGGACGCATTCAGTGACTGTTTATGTGCCTGTATCCTACCTGGGCGCTGCTGGCTCTGCCGGTCCCGGTGCTGGTGCTGCTGCTGCTGCTGCTGTTGATGGCTGGTGATTGCTGGTGCGTGTGACTGCTGGTGCTGATGCAGGAGAAGTCTGTCAGTGGCCTTTACTGTGAGTGAACACAACCAGCCGCAACTACATCCGGGATCATTGTCACGGGGATCAGATGGAACAGACTCTAATTCCATCTCTTTCTATGGTGAGAACATCTCGTTGACTATTGGAGTATTGCATGGATCAAGAAGAAAATTCCCTGATTTGTTAGCCACATAATGGAATTGGGTACCGGCAAATGGGATTTTAGGTCTTTGACCACTTTGGTGGGTCTGATCTACTCACCTCCCACCGGTTTGGGAGCTGCATCTGCGCCTTGATCCTTGAGGGTGGTGGCGTCCCTACGGATGCAGAAAACTCGGCTTCCAGCCGAGCCTCAGGCAAACCGTGATTTTTTTTAATGGTTTTGTATCAAAGGTTTCAGTTTGGATTTTATCACTGTTTATTCCTTCGTGGTTCACGTTCCCAAGTGTATCGGGTTTTGGGTATACTTGTAGTCCCGTTAGCTCCAATGACATAGTTGTGAGCACACCCTACATGGATAAAGAGCAGTGGAAGGTTGCCATGATCTCAACAAGAAGGTTACCGATGATCTCAATATGTTAGTTCTATTCAGTATTTGCTTCAAGTCCACTGTACACGTACATGCATTCGGCATTATTGGTGATGCAATGTCACCGTGTGTTCTTGGCACTGCACTTCTGCATGACAAGTTTCAGTCCGCCTTTTTCGTACAGTACTGGCCAGAGAAATCCAACATAATGTCCTGCACAAAATAATGTGATGCAGGGCAATACCATACTTGCCAACCCCTGGCAAACAGTTTCCTTGACACTGATGACGTTTTTCCGAGCGGCCTGATTTTGCCCATTTTTCCTTGATCTGCAATTTTTACATCTTAATGGTTCAAAAATTGTATATGACATCATTGTGACGTCAGTATGACCAAAAAACATTCGCAAATAGTACAACATGTCCGACTAAAAAAGTACTTTTTCATGCGCTAACTCGAAAGTTCTCGCTCGCTAGACCTTCGTTTTGGGCACAGCACTGCTAGCGAGCGTCCAAAACACTGAAAATCGATAAAAAAAGGTGTTGACGGATATTATCGAAAATCCGGTAGATATTATAACTTTTCCGGTATACCGGGATGAATGCGAGTTTTCTTTGATTTTCCCGGAAATTCCGGTAGGGTTGGCAAGTATGCAATACCCAGTCCTAGCACTACACACACTGTGGTGTGCACTCGAACTCGGCTCAATTATATTATTTATGAGGTTGGATTTCTCTGGCCCGAACTGTAGAAACTGGCTGTTCATGTAAGTTGTATATCCATCCTTTTGATGTTACCCTCCGTGCAGAAAAGAGCAGTATTGGACACATAGACTGGCAAAACTACGAACAAGTCGAGGAGATTACTCTTCAGCCGGACCACATCGCTCTGGGAGAAGTTATTCACAGCAGTAAGCTATATAATATGTTGTGTGCTGCTTGCTCGTAGCAATTCATTTGCCGATACAGTAGTCATGGCAGCTGAAAGTAACATTGCATCAAGGGCAGGTTTTGAAATCTGTGTCACTTGCCTATTTTGTATTCAGTGTGTATTTTACTACGCTCCTTGTATTTAGCAAGTGCCATCCGGGCCAGCCATGAATGGGGCACGGAGAGCATTTCTGTGTCATTGAGTGTCTGCTTCAGTCCTTGTAGTTGCAAGGATGCCATGTGACGTCCAGTTTAAGATGAGCTAAATCTCCCAAGGACATCAACTGTCGTTGAATGTGATTTTCAAAATTGACAATGATTTGGAGCCAGTAAGTAGGGTTGTACAGTTGCGCTCGCTGAAATCCGACCGGGAATGGATATTGGGCGCCCAGAACTTGCACAGCCCTTGGTGCCCTGGAAATGGTACGAATGCGGCTGGATGTACATATACCAATACAGTGATGTCACAATTAGAATTGGTCCAGGGCTCCAGTTTTGCAATGGGTCGGATTTCAGTGAGCGTGACCGTATAACACTGTTTTAAAAGTGCTTGGATCGCGACAGGGGACAATTCTGCCCTCATTGTTTATATTATTTTGGCATCATAGCGGTTTGCTGTGTGGTACACTATGCAATGAACTAGTCAGTGGCTTTGTGCTCGCAGTGTTTGTCCATGACATTGACACTGGCAGTAGAGCACTCAGTCAGCCTCATGAATGACAACCTCCGGTAAAACAACAACGCGCGAATAAGCACGCAATAAGCACGCAATAAGCACACAATAAGCACGCAATGTTAACACCTTGCAACATGTGACTGCATACTTTCAACAACTCACGAATAGCGACAACTCGCGAATAACAACACTTTTCTCATGCACCCTCGAGGGTTGTTACTCGCCGTAAGGTTGACTGTACTGTACATTGGGTGTGTGTGTTTCATCTGCATTCAGGCGTGTCTGTGCAAATAATGACTGGGTGTGTGTGTGTGTGTTTCATCTGCATTCAGGCGTATCTGTGCAAATAATGACTGGTACGATGATGACTCAGGATGGAGATCGCGATAGAATTATGATCAAGGCATTCACAAGTAAGCCAATGGTTTGATGAGCTGTGCCGGGTCTATCATCAACATTACCGTGTGTGCAGAGGGGAAAGTGATGGGTGTCTATACACATAATACCAGGGCATGCGCTAAGGATTAAAATGAGGTCTGACACAATGTCCTGCCAGTTGCAAAAATGGCCGGACATGTCCGGACATGCAAATTTTCACATCAAATCACACAATGTTCAGGGTAGAATTAATACCATCGAAATGTTATCACGACGTGAAAAGAGCATTATTAAAATTGTTGTAGTTACTGTTTTACCACTGCAAGCTTTGGCTGCTGCTGCGTCGTCAAGTTTGCACAAGGCTCGAGCGATTGACGCATACTCTATTGGGTTTCCGCTTGACTGCTCCTTGCCAAACAATGCCATGGCACGGCGATGCATTTCAGAAGCAGCATTATCTTTGAAGGCTGACGTTTTCAGGTTCCTTGAGCCAACGACGAAGGAGTCAGAAAAATTCTTGCTGCTGCGAATTTTATCAAAAAAAGGGAACACATCTTACACTTCAAATTTTCGACAACGCTACGATCTGAGGGACTGCGCTCATAGCTCAGCCAAACAGAAGTTGAAAGCTCCCTATCACACTCGGCGACCCACTTGTCACAAGTGGTCGTCTTGACTCCTCTGGGCTTCTTTCCAAGAGGAGCACCCGCATCAGCGGTGCTTGGCTTACTCTTGCCAGACGACATCACTAATGACTAGTACTATGAGACAAAGGATTGACGTGCCTTTTCTTTTTTGTACTTTGCAAAAAAGTGAGCGGACACTTTGTCCGGGTGTGTACAAAACATCCGGAAACTGACCGTAAACGGTCGGAAATTGTCCGATGTCCGACCGTTATTTCTCGCCCTGTAATACACAGATCAAAGTTACCAGTGCAATGTGAAATCCAGATATTACAGAAAAGCTTATCATTCACAAGCAGACACGTCTTAGTGACTACAGGACATCATTACCTCAGCTGGTGATATTCAATTTCTTATGCTGTTCAGCGAGAGCTAATGAACAAGGCCTGAGCACTGTGTGCTTTTGTCTGTCATTGTGATGTTGCCAGAGGCTGCATCTGGTCCATCTGTTAAAAAGTACATCCAGGAAGCGTTGCTAATGAAGCGCGTACAGTCTGACAAACGCCAGATGTTCATCGAGGAGATCATGGGCATAGTGATTCCCGGTGAACACGTGCCGCCGCTGCTGGTCTATCATCACGACGACGACAGTGAAAACCTGCGCGCCTGGCTGCTGCGTGTGAAGAGCAATGAGATAGCCGGAGCACCTGTTGAGGAAGGAGCACGGTGGTTGAGTGCTGCTGGAGAAGTGAGTAATCTTAACCGTTCATCTAAACTGACCTCATCCAGTCAACAGTCAACTTGATGTACTTTTGCAGCTGTCTTTTTACTGATGCTTTTCCATTCACACTGTATCTCATCTACACTGTATCTCATCTAGGCGTTTGTGCCATGACTGGTGAGCGTTCCAAAAATCAAAGTTGGGATGATCACTGATCCGTGGTAATCATGCTGGCAAGATGTTGGTTGTGCATGGTGATGATGATGATGCTGATGATGATGATGATGATGACAATGCCATCAAAGCTGTACTTTGTTGATGTCAATCCAGGCCATAAGCTGTACGTACTTGACACGCCTGGGATCACAGCTAGCTCGTGGCTGCAAGTACTTGGCCAAGGCTAACGTAATCCACCGGGACATTGCGGCGCGTAACTGCAAGTGAGTACCCGCTATGCAGACTGAGCAGTATTGGTAAGGCCGGAGCAGAAGCCCAGCCTCTGTGTGGACATGTTTCTATTGCCCGATGATGGCACTGGATGCGTGTCCAAACACATGGTCATTGCAGCTTCATTACTGTCTACTGAAGTACGTGCAATAATATTATACAGTCTTGCCTATGCTACATGTACATGATGGGAACTACACCACTATTTGTAGGTACAGTGAAACCTGTCTAAGACGACCGCTCAAGGGACCTGCAAAATGTGGTCTCTGTAACCAGGTGGTCTCCTTATCCAGGGTCATTTGACTGTAAATAGCATGCCTTGGTTCTGGTTTCTGTGGTCTTTTAGGACAGGTGGTCACCTTATCCGAGTGGTCGCCGCCTTGACAGGTTTTACTGTACCAACAGAAGCACACACCCCACCACAGCTATGAACAGTTGTTCTAAATGGTACAGACTACTAAGGTTGCGTTTGTTCGGTGCCATTCCGCCACCATTCCAAAGTCATTCCGCCTTGTTTTGATTCCGGAGTGTTTGTTTGATGCAATGGACAGCGTTTGTTCAGTGCAATTCCGATTCCGGTCGGGGAATGAAGGGGGTAGAATCGATTCTGGCGATTCCTAAGAAAAAGTGGAATGAGGTCTCATTCCGAGCGGAATGAAAATGTGCGGAGGGGCTTCGTGAAGTTCGTCGTTGCTGCATACTTCCCCAACAAAACTTCAAACGCGATTATCGATATACAGAAATGTTGCCGGACATCGTCCAGGGTATAGGTTGGCACTGTAACCTCGGGGACGGCATAGTAACTTGTTCGTGGTATTTTGACCCTTCGCTGCCTGAGAAAGTGTTCGCCCGGGATCGTTGATGAACTGGAAATATGCCCTCGCACCTCAGCTCTTCATCGTCGTCGAGCAGGGCCTCTAGAATCACAGGGAGGCGAGCCAGAACAAAGTGACCCAAAGAGGCACCGAGCCTGCCACTTCACTTTTTCTTACAACAGTGCCTCGTCTCTGCCAAATAAACACGAGAGCTAGAGACGTTTCTGTGACTGATACGAGGTCGTATAGCGTGATGAAGTAGCGGCCAAACGCCGCCTGCAGGTACCCTTGTTACGATCGCTTGTTGATCTACGCCGTGTTTGGCCGCTCCTTCATCATGACTGTCGTAGGGACATGCAGAAACTTACGGAAGCATATAGCAACTACCAGGACTAGCATGTAGTAGTCTTCGCAAGGCTGCAGTTTGTGCAAACAACAGGTAATACGTTTCCAGAGTGGCGCAAAACTTTTGCCAGATTCTCGAATCCATGCCAGCGCGTTTGGTTACTACGCTCATTCCGATTCCGCGATGGGTACGGAAGTCATTCCATGCCCATTCGGGAATGACCGAACAAATGCAACCTAAGTCCTGCGATAGATCTTAGAATCATTGCTCCCCCCCCCCCCCCCATACTCCTTCTTTCTCCCCACACCCACCCAAACTGTCTATCTCCTCCAACTCTCTCTCTCTCTCTCTCTCTCTCTCTCCTCTGTTTCTTCATTTCTCTCTCTCTCTCCTTCTCTCTCTCCTCTCTCTCTCTCTCTCTCTCTCTCTCTCTCTCTCTCTCTCTCTCTCTCTCTCTCTCTCTCTCTCTCTCTCTCTCTCTCTCTCTCTCTCTCGCGCGCCCCCCCCCCCCCGAAAACCCGCCACTGCTTCTGATGTGTGGCGTGGCGAGAGCGTAGAGGCAGTTCGTTCTCCAACCGAGACGACATTTGACGCCCAACGTGGGGCTCGAACCCACGGCCCTGAGATTAAGAGTCTCATGCTCTACCGACTGAGTCCAACCGAGACGACATATCCATCTACTTCCATTGAAGTATCTCTATCTTCCTCCCTCTCTCCCACTGCAGAATTCACCCAAGGTCTGGGAATGTGAAGATCTGTGACAGTGTGTACTCATCGGAGCTGTACCCTGAAGTTTATCTGAGACATCCGCTTTTCCAGGATCTCAGAGTGCCTCTCAAGTGGATGGCCGTGGAAACCTTCAGCGAAGGCCTATTCAGTTCAAGCTCCGACGTGGTGAGTGAAGAGGCCTGAGAAAACACTGGTCGACACATGCACACGGTCACATGGCCGAGGTGTGCCTTTGTATGTTGACAGTGCGAAGGAGGCTGTTTGCAGCGCAGCCAACCTCATTAGGTGGTGCTAACCACGTACACTTCTGAGTGCAAGAAAAATAATGGAGCATTTTGACGTACGAGTACATTGGTTTATATGGATGTTTTCATGCTGTATGTTTCTGCCGCGTTTGTGCAGTGGTCGTTTGGAGTAACACTATGGGAGATCTTCACGTTGGGTAGAGCTCCCTATGACGACATTGCTCCAGAAAACCTGGAGCGACACTTGCGTGAGGGAAACCGCCTCGATCTACCTTTGCGCTGCCCACTTTCAGTGTGAGTCATCTTGCTCGGTCTGCCTGCATGGATTAGAGTAGGCACATATGCATGTGGATTAGAGTTGGCACATATGCATGTAGTCTTGAACTGTGTCATCTTGCTCGGTCTGCTTGCATGGACCGTAGCTAGAGTTGGTACGTATACATGCAGCCTTGAACTGTTCTACGAAGTGTCAGAGTACTGATCTCGATATGTGATCTAGATGTTTTTAAATACGAGGGCTTAGAATAGAATAAAGACGGCAATATCCACATCCTGGTTGACCATGTAATAGTCAATCTAGACTGTAAGCGCTGGTGTTCCAAGTACACTGCTGAGCAGACAAATAGGCCAACATGCTTATGCTTTCCTCCCAGTTTGGTGCGCCTGCCATTCGAAGATGCCGAGACCTCGGGTCGGTTGAGCATGGCAGGCCGCACCAGCACCATCTCACCCCATGCTAGCCCCATGCTAGCCCCATGCTAGCCCCATGCTAGTCCCATGCTAGCCCCATGCTAGCCCCATGCCAGTCCCATGCCAGTCCCATGCCAGTCCCATGCTAGCCCCATGCTAGCCCCATGCTAGCCCCATGCTAGCCCCATGCTAGCCCCATGCTAGTCCCATGCTAGCCCCATGCTAGTCCCATGCTAGCCCCATGCTAGCCCCATGCTAGCCCCATGCTAGCCCCATGCTAGCCCCATGCTAGTCCCATGCTAGTCCCATGCTAGTCCCATGCTAGTCCCATGCTAGCCCCATGCTAGCCCCATGCTAGCCCCATGCTAGTCCCATGCTAGTCCCATGCTAGCCCCATGCTAGCCCCATGCTAGCCCCATGCTAGCCCCATGCTAGCCCCATGCTAGTCCCATGCTAGCCCCATGCTAGCCCCTTGCTAGCCCATGCTAGTCCCATGCTAGCCCCATGCTAGCCCCATGCTAGTCCCATGCTAGCCCAATGCTAGCCCCATGCTAGCCCCATGGTAGCCCCATGCTAGCCCCATGCTAGTCCCATGCTAGCCCCATGCTAGCCCCATGCTAGCCCTATGCTAGCCCCATGCTAGCCCCATGCTAGCCCCATGCTAGCCCCATGCTAGCCCCATGCTAACCCCATGCTAGCCCCATGCTAGCCCCATGCTAGCCCCATGCTAGCCCCATGCTAGTCCCATGCTAGCCCCATGCTAGTCCCATGCTAGCCCCATGCTAGCCCCATGCTAGTCCCATGCTAGCCCCATGCTAGCCCCATGTGCCGGCCAGTGAGGTGTGTATCTTGTAAAAGAAAGAAAAATGAGAGGTCATAAACTGGGATAGGTCCTAGAAAAGTACAACGGCTCGGAAAAACGTCGACTTGAGTTGGTCAAAAAATGCCTGTGCTGCCTTGTGATATGCAGGTTCGCACTGATTGGACAATGCTGGGCCCTAAGTCCGCAGAACCGTATCACGTTCCACAAGTTTTCCATGCGGATTGCAGATGAGATGAAACGTCAGCAGGATAGCTACTATATGCCAGTAAATGACGACATGCTTCCGGAGTTTGTGGAGTTATGATATGGTGCAGTGACGCCAACTGTGAATCCAAACAGTGTATTGATGAACCCACTTTGCCAGTAAAGGACGACATTATTCCAGTGTTAACTGCTATTCTGCAGTCATGGCAACTGTGAATCCAAACAGTGTATTGATGAACCCACTTTGCCAGTACATGGCAACATTCTTCCAGAGTTCGTGGAGTTATGATAATCATGGTGCAGTCAATGCAGCCATGAATCCACAGACACTCTATTGATGACCTCAAGTTGACGTAATTGCCATTAATTACTTGCTTTCAATGCACTAGCTGATCCTATTTGCGAGACTCCCAACTTGCTAATTTATAACCGTTACAAGATTCTGTACTATTCCGAAGCTCATGTAATATGCAGATAATCCCCCCCCCCCCCTCCCCGTCAATTGTGATCACTTTTGTTGTACATGTGGTTGCGCTTGTGGCTCTTCGTTGTACATGCGGGTATGCACACAGCTATCCATGCATTCCTACGGTGTACTATTTATGTGTATACAAATTACGTGTCATAAAGTAGCCATGCTACAATTGCATTTCCAGACTTTGCTTGAACGCTACAGCAGTGAATTTCAATCAAATCTATGAGCTGTAGATATTTTTTGCCACATAGTTGGTTGTCACGGTTCCCGCCAATACACAGATATCTGCACTGCCGCAGAATCATAATAACTCAGTGTACGGAGTTTGTATCAGGGAGTAGTAAAATACCTTTACTCTACACCCTGGTTTGTAAAACAATATTCAGGACGAAAACCGGGTCTGGGCATCCATACTCTTTGGCTCTATCTTCCTGGCATGCTGTTATTCTCCGATGCGGGCCTCTGAACGCGAGTTTCCCTCCTCATCTTTGTTGACCAAAATTAACAGGAAAGGCATGTGGGTGGAAACTAAGGGAGATCATTATAATCCGTGACTACTGTGTATTGTGTAGTAAAGGAAGTTCTGGACAGAAATACGGAGGCTGTTGTAATCAGTTTGCATAACAGCACTGTTCTGGATCCGGGTTGGGTGCAGATACTACCTGCATTGCTTCCAGCTGGCAAACCAAAAATTAATATTCCTTCCAAGTATATTGTACAATGTCACTTGTACATATACGTGTATATTGAGAATATTCCAAACTAGATTGTCCCCGCTTTTACCCCTTCACCAGGCATGCAGTAGGATAGTTGGACGGTATCATTGGTGAACACGTTGCTCATTCCAGCCATTGATCTCTGCTTTATTATTATTATTATTATGGGGGTGGCTTTATTGGTTTTGTGTTTGTATTATGCAGCATCCCGGGTCATTTAAGACCATGGGGAGTACTGCTGTTGTATGTGAAGAAAATGTAATAAGGAAGACTGAGAAAAAAGAAAGAAAAAAGAGAGAAATACTGTGAACAGCAAATCTACAATGATGCATGTACAATCTATTATACAACTAATCTGCGAGAATGAGACTTAACACAAGCAGGTACAGTAATAGCTTATTATTATTATAATTATTATTAGACACAATCTCATAGCATGTGACAAGCATAGCTAATGCAGGGACAGAATCCCCTGAGACAAGGGCGTTGAGCCAGCCACGGCAATAGTAATGCTTGCAAGTATAATACTGTCCCTCCAGGAAATCGCGATTCCACGGATGCAACAAATTTCGCGATTTTGGCCCAAACCCGCGATTTTCAGCAAAATCCGCGATTTCCCGCGTTTTGTTGTTTTCTGCACTATATCTCACATTTTTCTGCACTTTTCACGCAGTTCTTTCCATGATCCTGTAGGTTATTTGCACAGTACAACTCTCGAGTAGATATACGATGCAACAAATTTCGTGATTTGGCCCAATATTCTGCAAATAATTTCGCGAATTCCTGGCAAGTTCTGCATCATTCCACATTTTTCGTCCCATTTTTTGTTACTTTCTGCCGCAATTTCTTGCGCAAGTTTTCGAGAGTTTTTTCCGCAAATTCCCGCAGGGACAGATAATACCCTGTACCTAAAAACAATAATTTTAAAAAGTTTTAGGATGGCAATAAGGGGCCATCCGTAAATACCGATATTTATTTAGAAACGAAAACTAGTCGTTTCTCTTCAACCCCCCTCCCCCCTCCCTCGGAAACGAACACATACAACCGAGATGCATAGTATCAATATTTTTCTTTTCTTTTCTGGACGTGCCCACACATACAAACTGTGCATCGATATTTTTCGAGAAACGAACAGGCGCTCAACCCCCTCCCCCCTAAACGACTACTTGTAGTTTTCGTTTCTAAATAAATATCTATATTTACCGATGGCCCCTACAACAGAATCAGCTGAAGCGTCATTTCACGAAGATCTTATTGAGATCACCACTTTCTCTAGAATTTGTTCATGACATCTCAATAAAACCTCCGTGAAATGACGCTTCAGCTGATTCTTTTTACAGTATTGCCATCCTTAAACGTTTGTCACCTCGCCGCCTTTTCAATTATACTTTTACTACTCGTACTACTGTAATAACGAACGGGCAATCGTAAAGTAGTAGGCCGCTGATTAACAAGCATCAGTAGCCTGTTGGGATGGTCTCCAGTTTGTGTCAAAGTCCCGTTACCGACCAGCAATATCACAGAAGTCTGACTGTGGTAACCATATTAATGCAGTGTCAAGGCCCATGGCATGAACAAGAAGCCCGGGTCTTATACGAGAAGAATGCTCTGCACCACTTGCAAACGGAAATGCAGAACGTGCTGGTAAACCGAGTAAATAGTGTTCTAACCTAGGGTCAATAGCAGCTTTTAAAAACAGGCTATAATCTCAGAATTGAAGCATTGCTTGCACCCTCCGGTAGCAGCAGTAGCTGCCGACGCCAGCAAGTAACAGCTAGCTGAGATCTTTAAAAGTTGACTCGCATTGCATTGCAATTGGTTTGCAGATAATGGTAGACTCACAGCTATCAATCATAACATAAAATACAGCTTGAACATCCACATTACCACCGGCTATTTATATGTTTATAATTATGCCTACAGAAAATTACTGACACAATCCTAGCATTACACATAAATGATATTAGGATATGAACTGCTTCATGCACTCGACTGTCTCCAGCTGGACACACAACAGAGCAACCGAGAAGCAAGTACCTTGCTGGGACTCCGTCACTAGTTAGACGATGATAACAGAGCACCAGATACATGGCTGTATTCAGAAGGGGGGGGGGGGGCACTGATCAATCAAGCTGAAAACTCGTTTTTGTCTATATCCGTTTCACACGGATGTAGTCTTCTCACCTGGAAATACCTCGTCCGGGTCGCAGCTTTCTTGGCATAGGCGGCTGAGATCAGGCTTAACATTACGGCACTGTAGTCGTGTTGCCACTGGCCTTCCATTGCTGCTAGCACCCTGACCCACACCCTCTGTTTCTCCTTCATTGACAGTGTGTTGCCGTTCAAGAGTGTCCGCCTCGCTTGAGAAACACGTACTAGTCATCTCACAGTCTGTAGCGACAGATGAAGACAGCGATGACGAGTTGACCCTCCCTGCAGCAGCAGCAGCAGCAGCAGCAGGATTGGCAAATACAGTGGACCCACTGCCTTCCTTTTCATATAGCGATGACGAGTGGACCCTCCTCGCAGCAGCAGCAGCAGCAGGATTGGCAAATACAGTGGACCCACTGCCTTCCTTTTCATATAGGATGCTGGGCTCCCCGGTGCTCTCCCCGGTGCTCGCATTCGGTGTTGCAGGCGTACATTGCTCAGTGCCAGTGTTCTTAGTCACTGAACACTGTGAGTACCTGTTGTCAGGACTTATTGCGATGCACACTGATGGAACGTACATTTCGCGTGTGTAGGCCGACTGTGTACCGGAGGAGGGATGTCTGCTCACGCCGGGTGCCAGCCTAGATTCAGTACTTGGAAGGTGTAGCCTCGCAGGCGTACGTCTTGGTGACTGGTTAATAGCGCTTCCGCCGCTCAAGAGTGTGAGCCGAGTTGTTTGGTGGTACATAATTGGGCTTCTGCACGTGCTGACCACTGGAGACCGTATGATATTTGTTTGGTAATTGTTCTCAGGTTGGTCATTCTCTGGCTGTGCTGAGTGCGAGAGCTGACGCATGGTTGCTAGCGGTGACAGGTCGGATTTCTGTTTGCGTGGCAACAGTAGCTTTGCCAGTCCAGATTGGACGGCGTTGATGGATCTCTGATCCGTGATGAAGTAGAGGATGGACAAGGACATGAGGAGCTCCACAATGCGCATACCTGTCTGGTACGCCAGCCACGGCCAGGCGGGTACAAACCGAGCTTTGCTCAGGACACCATACATGCCGAATGTGCTATAGGCAACCATTCCCATCATAAGCAAGCCCAGAAGCGATGCAAGATAAACGGAAAACCGGAGGCGGTTGCTCTTTGATGACGTCTTCCCAGTGTGGAAGGTTGTGATTGTTGATGCTGACTTGATTGATTTCCTCCGTGCTCCGCCATTTTTGTTTTTACTTACAGCCGCAGTGATGGGTCCTTCATTATTGGTCAACCCCGGCTCGGCATCTGTGTGTCCACCGGCCACTGTATGGACATACATAGAAGTATATATTTCTTTCTGGTTTCTCGTATGTATGTCGTGCCTGGAAAGGTGGCGGACGCAGGAAGATACTCTCTTTCGCATCGAGATCAACTTCCGACCACAGATCAAGAAGAGGAGGAACTGGGCCGATCCCCAGATGACCAATAGGATGGAGCAAACCAGAACCATGATCTGTCTTGCCAGCATTGGAAACTGTTCTATAGCCAGAGCCATGTCCATGATGGCAATGAACACAATCAGCGTCACACTGCCGATAGCCACGCGGTAGAACTTCAAGTCTTCGACTACTTTCACAGAGGATTTGCCGATCCTGTAGAGATTGAACCAGATGGACGAGTAAGCAACAACAAGACACGGGAAGACCAACACCTGCAGAATGCGAATGATCCAGTCAGGTACTGCAGACTGCTGTTGTGATTCATAGGGATTGATTGTCAAGAAGAGTACACGTGCCACACAACCGCAAATCAGCACTGCGTACGTCAAGACAATGGTAGGCTTGCTCCGTACACCCTTGGCACGCACGTGCTGCACCAGCAGGAAATACGCAAAGATTGATACGGCTCCAAACAGGATACTGAAGGTGATGGTATGTGCAGGCCACGCGCCCTTCCATTGATCCTTTGCTTGGGGCCAGTTGGGCACAGGCTCTGGCCCTCCACGGCCTACGCTTGATTCAGCTTTTGGTTCAGGCAAGCTAGTATTGCATGCATGTGAGCTGGAATTTCCACTCCCATCGGAAAGAGCAGAAGCGTTGCAGCCATGCTCTGGTTCTGCTGAGGGAGTTCCTGACTCCGGCTCTGCGCTCGGTTCTGGTTCTGGTCCGGCGATTGCTGACTGTTCAGGCTCCGGTGTTGTCTCTCCGGCAATTCTTTCTGACATTGGACGCAAGTCAGTGACCTCAGGGACGCCTTCTGCAGTTGCTGCAGACTCTGGTCTACTCTCTGGCGACGGCGGCGATTCAACACTGCCCTCCGGTGCTGATGATCCATGAGCGGCTTCTGGTTTCCCTGATATCGGCTCGCTTTCCGGGGCAGTAGATTCTGGACTACTTTCAGGGATTGTAGATTCTGGCTCTGCTTCTGGGGTCACAGATTCTGGACTGCTTTCTGGGGCTGTAGATTCTGGCTCTGTTTCAGGAGCCACCGATTCCGCAGTGCTCTCTGGAGTTGAAGATTCTGGCTCTGATTCCGGAGTCGCAGATTCTGGACGGCTTTCTGGGGCTGTAGATTCTGGCCCCGCTTCTGGAGTCGCAGATTCTGGACGGCTTTCTGGGGCTGTAGATTCTGGCTCCGCTTCTGGAGTCGCAGATTCTGGAGTGCTTTCAGGGATTGCAGATTCTGGCTTTGCTTCAGGAGTCGTAGATTCTGGACGACTTTGAGGGTTTGTAGATTCTGTCTCTGCTTCTGGAATCACAGATTCTGGCCTTCTTTCTGGAGTGGCAGATTCTGACTCTGTTTCAGGAGCCACAGATTTTGCAGTGCTCCCTGGGGTTGTAGATTCTGGCTCAGGTTCGGGAGTGGCTGATTCTGGACTGCTTTCTGGGGCTGTAGATTCTGGTTTTGCTTCTGAAGTTGCAGATTCTGGATGGCTTTCAGCGGTTGTAGATTCTGGCTCTGTTTCTGGAGTCACTGCTTCTCCGGGAGTGACTTCTGGGACTGTCGATTCTGGCTCTGTTTCAGGAGCCACAGATTCCGCAGTGCTTTCCGGAGTTGAAGATTCTGGCTTTGCTTCTGGAGTTGCAGATTCTGGATGGGTTTCTGGGGCTGTAGATTCTGGCTCTGTTTCAGGAGCCACAGATTCCGCAGTGGTCTCTGGAGTTGAAGATTCTGGCTCTGCTTCTGGAGTTGCAGACTCTGGATGGGTTTCTGGGGCTGTAGATTCTGGCTCTGATTCTGGAGTCACAGATTCTAGCCTGCTATCAGAGGTTGTAGATTCTGACTCTTCTTCGGGAGTTGCAGATTCTGGACTGCTTTCTGGGGCTGTAGATTCTGGTTTTGCTTCTGCAGTCACAGATTCTGGACGACTTTGAGGGTTTGTAGATTCTGTCTCTGCTTCTGGAATCACAGATTCTGGCCTTCTTTCCGGGGCTGTAGATGCTGGCTCTGCTTCTGGAGTGGCAGATTCTGGACTGCTTTCTGGGGCTGTAGATTCTGGATGAGTCTCAGGGGATGTAGAATCTGGCTCTGTTTCTGGAGTCACAGCTTCTGGAGTGATATCTGGGGTTTTAGATTCTGGCTCTACTTCAGCAGTTGCAGATTCTGGAATGATTTCTGGGACTGTAGATTCTGGCTCTGTTTCAGGAGCCACAGATTCTGCAGTGCTCTCTGGTGTTGTCGATTCTGGCTCTGCTTCTGGAGTTGCAGACTCTGTATGGCTTTCAAGGGTTGTAGATTCTGGCTCTGCTTCTGGAGTTGCAGATTCTGGATGGATCTCAGGGATCGTAGATTCTGGCTCTGAAGTCACAGATTCTGGCCTGCTTTCAGAGGTTGTAGTTTCTGACTCCGCTTCTGGAGTGGCAGATTCTGGCTCTGTTTCAGGAGCCAACGATTCTGCAGCGCTCTCTGGGGTTGTAGATTCTGGCTCAGCTTCGGGAGCCACGGATTCTGAAGACCCAGCGGACGATGTTAGGTTATTCCCTTTCACGTTTGGAGATGACGAATTTGCTAAGAACTGTTGCTGCTGTCCCGAACTTACATCTACTTGGGATCTTTCGATGCGTGCAGCGAGCCTGTTTCCTGATCTCCTGAGACGCAACAGCTGACTCAGACTGACTTCCTCCATATCGCCATCGGATACACTTACATGTGCCTGTAGGCGAACATCTCGGCGGTCTTCTTGGTGAGATGCCGCAGCATCCTGCTCTACACTCAAACCGCGTCGATTGTTGACCGCGACTCTGGTGAACATCGCCGTAATTGCCGATCTTCCCGTCCGCTTCATCCGGCCGCGAAGTGCACCCCGCGACACCGTTATTATCAGTACAGCGAGTGCGACCAAGGCCATGCAGGCTACAACGCACGGCCTCAAACTCATAGTTCTTTCCTTTTGGCTGGACCCTCTCCGAGCTGGCTATGGGGTTTTATCACATGCTCCTAAACGTCGCCTCCAAACTTAGCACTTGCACAGCGACCCCTCCGAGGGCGCGGCTAACATGTGGACGTTCTGGTTCAAGCCACCATTCGACTACTCCTGGCGATAGGGGACTGAACTGTGTGCACACTCCACGTCCCACTGTCAAAATCTGCAACGCCAAGCGAACTAATACTTGATCTTCAGACTCTCGAGTTTCGGTGGCAGAAGGAAGCGCTCACCACCTGCTGCAGAGCATTTAGCAACGTCTTTCACCTCAGTTTGACAAAATTGCTCGATAAGGTTTCCTCTTGAGCACAATGCTGCGGCTCGTGTCTGACGTGATGACTGATGGACCAAGCCCAAGGTCACGATGTCTTTTGATCACAGTCACGCGTACACACTGCTCAGCCTCTAGACTGGATCATGGATAGAGCTTGTGGAAGTCTAGAAGTGTGCTTCACACCTATCCCTGTCGGCACGTTCGGAAACCAATGACTGTATACTGTAATGACGCGAAAACTCACTTCTCGGAATGAGCGACGAAACGCTGCCGATATCACAAGATCAGTTCAATCATTTGCAACAGAAGACAGTCAGACTCATAAGCTGAAAGCCGTAGTTGCTACAACGATGTACCAGTGTACTTACGCAATAGTAATCACTATATATTGTAGAGCCATTGACGGCATTGTTACTGCATTGTGTGTCACTATGGATTGGCCAGATTCAGTACTACTACTAGACAGTAGCACTAGCGTAACGTGGACTAGGACTATACCGACTAGGCCTAAGTCACGTAGTCACGTAGGTGTTGAGGCTATTCTGACGATGTAGTAGCCACAGAACTACCACCGTATCAACGGTAGTGATGGACCGGTACATGTAGATATCTACAGTATTGTACTGCTCAGCTTCTGACACTGAGTCTGTGACAAGTGTGACTTGCGTACAGATGTCGCGGTGTTGACCTGGCCTTTGCTGGCTTTGGTGACCTCGACACCCCCTCTCTTGAGTCTTGTGGGCGAGATAAAAATAATGTCTACGTGCGCCTGTGATCATAGCCTAGGAACAACCGCTACTGCGCTAGTATTAACTGTCCAACTCTACATGTAAGGATATTGTCAGACCTCTATGGATTGTTTGCAAAGCTACTGATACAAGAGAGAGAGAATCTACGTGGGATCAAAATGTAACATTAGTCGTTGTGTACCCACAACTAGGCATTGGCGGAAAATGCTCGAAAAGGTGGCAGATTCTGCTCGAAAAGCAGTGAAATTGGCAGAACCATACAAACCTTATGAAGTTATGGCGGGCAATTCCTCGAATTCTGCTTTATCCCCCTACGAATTCTGCCAATTTTTCTGCCAGCATTATCCGCAAAGGCCTACCCACAACCAATGCCTTGGTTGTGCACATATTCATTGATGATACCGCCAATCGCCATGCCAACCGGTAAAGACAAGCAACGGAGTACGAGTACAACAAGGAACTCCAAGAAGATTATTGCGGTTTGTAGTACATGTACATCAATCCACCCTGTCCACGCAGCTCTGATTTACATGTAGCATTGGTGTTGTGGCAGCGCCATCCCAGTCTGTACACACTGGTACATGGTACTAGGCATGGGCGGGTAATGCTAGTTATTTGCTGCGATTGTTGTGAAACCACAAGTTCTCGAGAGTGAAAGGCCTTCTCACTTGTGACATTGTGTTCGTTCCAATGCAGCTGTATCCCGACTCCGCCGTACCGCTGATGTTTACGACGTAGTATACGCTACATGCGCTATGTGCGGTTTGCTGTGTGCGCTGTAGTTGTATGTTGTATGTGTATGCTTTTCTCATATACGCTGTCATTTTCACGCTATAACTACCTGGTGGTTTTAGTGTTAGTTATTCAGTTGTTCATTCAATGTTCATTGTTATTAGTCGATGGAAGTGAAATATACTGTTGAGAATAAATAGTTGTCCTCGTGCCGTGTGGGGTCGTTCGTTCCTGATACTAGGGAGGTTCTGCTCTACGTTTTGGGAACGCGACGCAAAGAATCACGCGAACTTTCTTCGCGTTCCCGTAACGTAAAGAAATGCTGTTCTGCTCTACGTTTCACCTAGAGAAGTCACGTGGAATGTGTACTGCGAATTTCCCCTTCCATATTTGGCAGTTTTCTGCATGCAGTTGATCGATACCCAGCAAATCCGTACGCATTTTCTCTGCGTGTACCACAACGTAGAGAACCCCATCTCCGCGTAGAAATCTGGAGCCAAAACACGCGAAGCCGTAGACTCTAACCCAGACACCTGCTCTCTACGTGATTTCTCTACGTTTCACGTATAGCAGAACCTCCCTACTGTAGAGAACCAGAGGGTTCACAACATTTGGCGACCACGCCAGGATACGAAGCGAGCATGGCACAGGAACTATGGATCATTGAAGCCAGCTTTATCGCCAACGGAATTCGGTATGGATTTGAAGGCGATAGGTTGAGAGAATACGTGGAGAAGAGGCTCCGACAGAGCGAGGAGTTTGAAGAGCACAGTGCTAGACGGCAAGAGGGTGCGCTCCGCACAGAGTTTAACGAAAAGCTCAAGAAGATGGACGAGCGCATCGCCGGCAGTACATATTATGAGGAAGCAAAGCGAGATTTGCTTGCCTCGCCCAGAAGGACGCCGGACAAGGCGTGTAAGACTTTGCTTACAGACAAGCAGCGGTCAGAAGAGTATTCGAAGCCAGTGGGAGGATCAGATCCAAGGCCCACTGGGTCGGTACAGTGCATGGCGACATCGGTCGGAGACGCTCAGAAGCAGCTGGAGTCTCGGCCGAACGAGTTGGAGGCGCAAGAGTTGGAGGCGCAAGAGTTGGAGGCGCAAGAGTTGGAGGCGCAAGAGTTGGAGGCGCAAGAGTTAGAGGCGCAAGACTTAGAAACGCAAGGCGTAGTAGCCGAGAAAATGAGAAAGGCGATACTACTGGTTAGCACGGAAGAAGTAAGCGGCGAGACTGTGTGGAACACAGAGATCCGATGTGTGTCCTCGGATTCCGCGCCCGCCCCGGGTCGAAGCAGTGTACCGGTGACCATGTCGTGTGTGACAGCCCACATCGTCGAGCTTTATGACATTATCGGTTGTGTGTTGTCTGGTCCAGCGTCTGCCCCATGTCGAAGTGGATCGGTGACAGTGTCGTGTGCAACAGCCCACAGCGGCAAGCTTCGCGAAATCGAGTTGGCCGAAGTGGGGTGCATTAGTGATATTCTACCATGGCCACCACCGCAGCAGCAGATGACGCGTAGTAAGCCCCAAATCGTTTGACTTGTGAGTTGTTGTACGGCGGTGAGAAGCCCTTTGGTGGGGAGAATGTTGTGAAACCACAAGTTCTCGAGAGTGAAAGGCCTTCTCACTTGTGACATTGTGTTCGTTCCAATGCAGCTGTATCCCGACTCCGCCGTACCGCTGATGTTTACGACGTAGTATACGCTACATGCGCTATGTGCGGTTTGCTGTGTGCGCTGTAGTTGTATGTTGTATGTGTATGCTTTTCTCATATACGCTGTCATTTTCACGCTATAACTACCTAGTACCTGGTGGTTTTAGTGTTAGTTATTCAGTTGTTCATTCATTGTTCATTGTTATTAGTCGATGGAAGTGAAATATACTGTTGAGAATAAATAGTTGTCCTCGTGCCGTGTGGGGTCGTTCGTTCCTGATACTGTAGAGAACCAGAGGGTTCACAACAGCGATAATGCTAAAGGCAATGCTCATAATCAGGGAGTCGTAAAATACAATTTTAACGACTCCCTGCTCATAATATGAGGATAATTATAATGCCACTTATATTAATGTTCACACTACTAGCCCTTTCCCAAAGGTGCTCTTTTAATTCGCACTTAGTGCTTTTCGCGTCCCTCAAAATATGCTGAAAAAGTGCTCTTTTTTCAGTGAAGCATAGCCATGATGCATGTTCAAATATGAACCCAAGCTGAGAAATGAATACGCACTTTTCCATTTATGGGTCCACAAAAGGCAAAACAGGAAGTAAAGTTCAAAAACCCCCACTTTTTACAGCATTGTGCACACCGGCTACAAGCTTCACCAACTACAACTACTGTAACTACTACTTGTTGCCCCCCCCCCCCCCCAAAAAAGCGGCGTGCCGAGGCCCATCGACCACTCGGAAGCTGTGATCGCATGCATGAGCAAACAGATTATAGCACTTTTTCAGCTAAAAAGCTCAAAAAGGGCGATATTCACCAAAAAAACGCAATAAAGGGCGAAAGAAACGGGCTTTTCCAAAAAGGGCGAAAAAAGGGCGAAAAAAGGGCGAGCACCTTTGGGAAAGGGCTACACAGGCCCGTAGCAGCCCCATTTTGGTTGGTCCGGCAAGATCCGACTTCGATGCTCCCCCCCCCCCCCCCCGAGCCCACACTCATACATATGCCGATACATGTACAAAATGTACATGATTGTACTTCGAAGCAGAGAGCCCTACACATACACAACGCTGAGCCTGGGAAACATTGGCCGCCATCCTACCTGCGTCAATGACCACTCAGGGCCATATTGAAGTGTCACAGCAAGCCAGCATTATGATAAGATGACTCTCACAAACGATATTCAGCATCGATTAACTCTTTTCATCAATATCTCAATCAATATCTGTACTGATGTGTGATGAGAACTCTCAGCTACTTTTTTTTTTGAATGAGTCAAACGTCATGCACAGTTTCTGTGCCCGTGTCACCTCCCGGTATGTGTAGGGCTCCCTGCTTCGAAGTACATACATTGTATCAAGAGTACATAACCTCCCCCCCCCCCCCCCGTGTACTCTTGATTGTACATGTACATGCATGTAATCGTGACCATGCAGAGTGACATAGGGCGAGAAAAGGAAGAAGGACGTTCGGCATGAGTCAGGAAAAAGGGCATCAGCATGTTGTGTCCGTCCAAACAGAACTTGTTGAAGCCTATGAAGGCATAGCAACCGTATTTAAATGCATGTGATAAAAGAACCAGAATGGACCTTTGGAGGAGGAGAAAGGATATTGCAATGGAAAATCTTTGGTGCAAACTCTATCTAGAAAGAATTGGAGGAAGAAAATAATCAATACAATCATTTCAGGAAGTACAGAGTAGGAACATTCACGGGCATGACTGTCCACATGATCTTCAGCAGGGTCATACTCCTGATGACATGTAGCCTTTGTAGGTCTACATGTACTACCGGTACTACTATGTACTATCTCTATGCTACTTATTGCACACATCCTCATCAATGGTACCGGGTGGACATCCTGAGCTGCTCACATCTGTGAGGTTCGTTTTTTTTTTTTTTTTTTTTTTTTTTTTTTTTGGTCGAATATTGGTCCGGCAGCTGCCGGACCTGCCGGACCGCCTGCTACGGCCCTGCTACACACTACTCCATAATGCCAGTTTGAAAGTTGGAAAAGTTGAAACAATCCACTGAGAAGGTTGATTTGCAACGTCAAGTCTCCGGACGAAGCCGGAGGGGTTCAGATGCACGATTCTCGGAACTGGACCTAGCCAGCTTCATGCATGACACCGTTGTCGACCGGCAATTATGCTTGTAATGCCAATTTTGCATGCGAAATGGTGTTACAATGCCAGCATTATGCCACCTGGAAAAAAGGGACTATAATGCCAGCCATAATGCTAGCATTACCCGCCCATGTCTACATGGCACAGCAGTCAGGACTGACAGTGCAGCTTCGTGTATCGTGGTAGGCTTCTTCACTGATTCAGTGACTGTGCCGTTACCATGGTTACTTGACATTGTAGATCTACCCGGTACCCTGTCATGTAGTTCTAGGAGGCGCATGCTTCTGCATGACACATGCATGCCTTTGATAAAGTGGTGAGTTTGACTAAAAAAAGGCCTTTGGCTTGAGTGTGCAATGCTAATGCCAGTAATGGATAAAACACTTTACCCACGTAAACGTAAACGTAAGGTCGTAAGTCGTTGCTTGAGAAGAAACCGACAGGAGTCAGAGCCTAAAGTCACAGTTACCATGGTAAGAGGAACACTATTTAGACGACACTGGGCATGTACTGAGTTGTGGCCAATGGCAATGATTGTATCGCCTATTGGGTTCCACCTAGCCCAGTATGACTGACTATGACTATGAGCACCCCCCGCTAGCTAAACGCATTGCACTGCCATTTCCTGGCGTGTTTGAGCACCCTGGCCTAGGTATAACCATGATCGTGTCCTTTACAGCAGGGAGTTATACAATACCAGGACGTCCAGGTTATTATTATTGTACTCCTCCCTGCTTTACAGTCGTTAAAGCCTACCGGCCATGTACACTTCATTCATGGCTACTTCAAGTATATTCCTTTTGCATAATTGCGGCTTTCGGACGCTGACCAGAGCATTGAGTGACATGCTATACACCTGGCACCGACGGAAGCTGCATAGCATCCTCGATGTCGTGTAGACTACCCTAATCTGCAACTCGCGGTGCCGAAAGGGCGGGCTGACGGACCCTGCATGGCTGCGGGGATTATGCAGTCAGATGTGCGACTGCGTGGCTCGAACCCGCGACCTCTCGGATCGCAGGCAAGTGCAGCGCCCAATGTACTAAAGGACACAGTTAGACGAGCAAGGAACATAATAAAATAGAGGGAGAGGCAGAGAAAGAGAGACAGAAAGAGAAAGAGAGAGAGAGAGAGAGAGAGAGAGAGAGAGAGAGAGAGAGAGAGAGAGAGAGAGAGAGAGAGAAGAGAGAGAGAGAGAGAGAGAGAGAGAGGGGAGGGAGGGAGGAAGGGAGGGAGGGAGGGAGAGAGAGAGGGGGAGGGAGGAAGGGAGGGAGGGAGGGAGAGAGAGGCTGTCTTGTGACACTGGATTCCATTTTAAATCACGATCATCAGGCAATATGCCATTATTCATGTAGGCATCTTTCCTTCTTCGCGTGCGTAGTGTGTAGACATCTCCAACCAGGCACGCACAAATGGGGCACAGGTACCGCATCTACTCTGGGATGTGAAACCTGCCATGGGCCAAGGCACTAAAACATGGCCTTTGGGGTAAACGGAATCGAGGACAACCGGACATACGGACCACCCTAATCATGTGCAAGACTGCTGGCTAACCCGTAGTAACCGTACAATGTAGTGGACAGTGGGAGACTCCGAGTTACAATCTCAGTACACTGGCGCTACCTGATGTACTGTGTCGCAATGCCATGGGCATGCCGGTCACTGCTGTTCACTGCTGTTCACTGCTGTTCACTGCTGTTCACGGCCCTTGTCCCAGGAAATAGGCAACTACTAGTATTATGTACTTCAACGGACCAGTTTTGTACCGTTACAGAGGCCTGACCAAGACTTTGATATGCGTGGACCAACTTCATTGTGCCAAAGCTGCCGAAAAGACCTTGCAACAATGACCTTGAAAGATGGATTAGTTGGTCTGTTGATCTACTCTACGTAACATGCGATGTAGAAGAATGATGTGGTAGTACATGTACATGTACAATCATCAGTCATGTACATTGTACAAGCAGTACATCAGACGTGCTAGTTCTTACATGAATGTATTATTAGGAGATCCCCCAGATAGGCGTTAGCCTTTGGGTAATCCTGAAATAAAGATTATTAATTAAACAATGTACGACTTTACATGTCATGTACAATGTCATGTACATTACTATCATTATTGATATTATTGATTATACATGATTTTATACATGATTGTATACTGATACATGTACATGTACATGTACTGATGGAGCACTACATCACTACATCACTACATCACTACATCACTACATCACTACATCAGTACATGTACAGTACAATCGTCGCCAAAACTCTGGCGATACGGTACTGTACTATGGCTGGTTAAAATCGCCCGCATCACATGCTTATTGGCACTATGTCATCGTGATTGTGAAATAATAATAATAATAATAATAATATTAACTGGTTTGAGAATAATAATAATAATAATAATAATACTAGTCTGTAGTCTACCATGGCCTAGACTAGACTAGAGCCAACTAGAGCCAACTACTGCCTAGTACTACTACTACTACTACTACTACTACTACTACTACTACTACTACTACTACTACTACTACTACTACTACTACTACTACTACTTGACACAATCTTTATTAGGAAACTTGAAATGGAGATGTGAAACACAAATACAGCCATGTAGATGGAGCAGCAATGCAATACAATGTCCAAAAACTCAAGAATTCATTATCATGGGGCAATGTTGGGCAAATGTCTGTCAGGTACTATCACGCTCAGGCTGCCCGCAACCTGCACATCGTCGTGAAATTCATCCTGTTGCGGCGGTATGACGATCTTGAACCACGCAAACAGGTGACTGCCCATCGCATAAGGCAGACTGACAGCTTACAACGGAGCTGACCCATGATAACCGATACGTGTAGGTCGACGTTCTTCTCAGCAATCAGGCATGCCAGTGTCTTCAGTGCCATTGAACATTCTCTGCCAATCATGCCCGAGGTAGAAAAAACTAGCGGTGTAAACGTACCTCTGTCAACTGCTGTCACCCGCTCTCCGTACTGGCGCTTCTTCATGCGTTCATGCGTTCGGAGCTGGCTGATGACTTCCTGACGCGACAGCAAGCTTGCCTTTGGGTGTGTAACCCGGATGTCGAAAAAGGCATCTTGCTGTCTCGTCCAGAAGCCACAAGCCCGGATGTCCAGGCGGGCACCTGCCGAGCGGTTGGCTGTCCTCCCTTGGAGCCGCTCACCATCATATGGTAGTAGAGGCGGTTCCACCTCCACATCCCGGACCGCCTCACGCATCACGTCAGCCAACAAGTCCCGGATCTCATTGTGGCGTGCCATGGGGTAGCCCCCTGCCGGACACATCATCGCATGGTCTATTGTGTTTGCAGCACCACATACACAAGTCAGGGGGAGTCCGTCAGGCTGCAGGCCGTAGCGGATGCAGAACGCATCTCGGAAATCCGATTTGTTCAGCACCATCTGCATTTGGGACGATGGTTCCGCCGTTACCCAAGATGATACGCCCTTTTCCGCGGCATTCTCCACCAACAGCGCCTGTGTTGCTGTCAAATCCGGGCGCAATTCGCTAACGAGACCCGTGGCTTGGGCAGCTTTCTCTCTGCGAATACGCCCGGCCTCCTGCCGGCTGAGGGCTATTGCCTCGTTCAGCTGGTCTGTTTGAGTAGTTTCGTTGGTGCTTGTTGGATGTTCTGGTGGTCTTATGCAGGCCGCCACAGGAGCCACAATCTGTCTGGATGCAGAAAACTCTTTCTCGGCCTCCACCGAGGGCACAGGGATTGCCATGCCACCAAACCGCGCTGGTAGCGATAGCAACTTTCTCAGTGCCGACTCGTCCGAACACGAATGGCCGCTGAGCGCTGGCAGCAGCTTGTCCGTAATGGCGGCGTCGAGACGGGCCAGAAGATGCTACTACTACTACTACTACTACTACTACTACTACTACTACTACTACTACTACTACTACTACTACTACTACTACTACTACTACTACTACTACTACTACTACTACTACTACTACTACTACTACTACTACTACTACTACTACTACTACTACTACTACTACTACTACTACTACTACTACTACTACTACTACTACTACTACTACTACTACTACTACTACTACTACTACTACTACTACTACTACTACTACTACTACTACTACTACTACTACTACTACTACTACTACTACTACTACTACTACTACTACTACTACTACTACTACTACTACTACTACTACTACTACTACTACTACTACTACTACTACTACTACTACTACTACTACTACTACTACTACTACTACTACTACTACTACTACTACTACTACTACTACTACTACTACTACTACTACTACTACTACTACTACTACTACTACTACTACTACTACTACTACTACTACTACTACTACTACTACTACTACTACTACTACTACTACTACTACTACTACTACTACTACTACTACTACTACTACTACTACTACTACTACTACTACTACTACTACTACTACTACTACTACTACTACTACTACTACTACTACTACTACTACTACTACTACTACTACTACTACTACTACTACTACTACTACTACTACTACTACTACTACTACTACTACTACTACTACTACTACTACTACTACTACTACTACTACTACTACTACTACTACTACTACTACTACTACTACTACTACTACTACTACTACTACTACTACTACTACTACTACTACTACTACTACTACTACTACTACTACTACTACTACTACTACTACTACTACTACTACTACTACTACTACTACTACTACTACTACTACTACTACTACTACTACTACTACTACTACTACTACTACTACTACTACTACTACTACTACTACTACTACTACTACTACTACTACTACTACTACTACTACTACTACTACTACTACTACTACTACTACTACTACTACTACTACTACTACTACTACTACTACTACTACTACTACTACTACTACTGGTGACAAGCCTCTTTTACGGGCAAAATAGCGGAAACGTGAAATCGTAAATCATTGAAGATCAATTCAATTAAAAAAAGAAAACTCCTTTAAATAACGTCAAATCAATTAGTAAATCCAATGTCAAATCCAATGTCAAATCCAATGTCAAAAGAAGAAAACTTTAAACTCAAGGTGAAAATTAAAGTAACAGGTCCCGTCATGTATGCAAGTCTAAGCCAATGTCAATATAAATTACCTGTCATGAATGTTATGAATGGATGTGCATGCATTGTGGAGAACTGTCCGTACACCTATCCAATTCAACAAATAGACAGACAAATGACAACAGAGTGAAGTATCTACATTGTACATACATCCTACACCGTACCATCGGCAGCGAGTCCACCCGGTGCCAAGCCGGCGTCTCAGCAGCCCCCTTGCCATGGCAACAGCTCATCGGCCACCCATCTGCCGGCACTCCACCAGGAAAGACGACTGGCGACGCCGCTGATACGAGGCCCGGCACCCGCGGAAACAGGTGACGGCCCACCGAAGTAAGCAAAATGAGATGCGTACCCGCAACCGGTTGATGAGGATGGAGTACGGGATATCAGTGTGACGCCTGGACAGGTATGTCGCCAGCGTCGATAGAAATTTCGCGCACTCCGGTGCCGCCAGGCCCTGCGTCGTAAACACAAGCGGCGTAAATGACGCACGCTCGATGTTGACGATCCGTGGCCCATACTCGGCCTTCTTACGCCGCTCGTGAGACCTGAGCTGGCCAAGGACTTCTGAACGAGACAGCACAGACGCCTTAGGGTGGGTTACCCTAACATCAAAATAGGCGTCCTGCTGCCTTGTCCAGAAGCCCCTGGCTCGGATGTCCGCTCGGGCCTCGTCCTGGCGATTCAGCTGGCGTCCGGGTAGATCCTCTCCATGCATGGCCGCCAGCCTAGGCTCCTTTTCAACGTCCTGGGCGACATCAACCAAAACCTCCGCTAGCAGATCACGGATGTTGTCGTGCCGCGCACCAGGATAGCCGCCGGTCGGGCATACAAACATGTGATCCCGCACGGCAGGCTGACCACACACACAGGTTGTCGCGGTGTCCCTGAGATCCAGGTCGTAACGGATACAAAGGGCGTCTCTGAAGTCATTACAATTCAGCACGGTGCCGTACCGGGACATCGGGTCCGCCGTCAGCCATGACGATATGCCGGGCTCACCCGCAATCTCGATCAACAACTGCTGCGGGGGCGATAGCTCACGAGAAACGGCAGCAGCCAGATCCGATGCCTGGCGGTCCCTCTCCCGCCGCATGGCAACAGCACGAGTCCGTGCGAGGGCAAGGGCAGCGAGGATGGGATGGTCATCCCCAGGCCGAGGATCTCGAGATGCTCCAATATTCTGAGGCTCAGTGCGAGAGCGATGGAGTAGATCCCGCATGGGCTCAGTCGCACGCAGGGCACGCTGGTGCTCATGCTCTGCAACAACCGAGGCGATTGGCAACCCAATTCCACCACGTCGACAGGGCAGAGACAGCAAACGCCGCAGCGGGGAGTCGTCCGAGAAGTGATGGCCGGTGACAGCAGGTAACAACTTGTCAGTCACACTGCTGTCAATGGGTGCCAACACCCCCGGACCGCACTCCATGGCCCGTGTTATAAATTTCCACCTTGGCACCAGGGATCTTACGGCAACGGCGTAGCTGGCATGAGGCTGGGTAGTGGCGTACTCTCCACAGCGATTCATCTGGGCTGTAAGTCCCTGAACCCGCTGATCCAGAAACTCACGACGGAACTCGACTGTGCCAAAGGCACCACCCAGGCAACGAGCGCCGTCCGTCCGAATAGAGACGCCGGTATCCCGGAAAAGATCCCGGGCCTCCACCTCGACTTCCGGCTTCACAACGAGCACCGTCTTCGTGGGGTTGGGCAAGTACCCATACATCGGACCCAGGTTGCTGATGCTCCGCCAGTACTCGCGTAGAGCACGAAGACGTCCCAGTGCGGAATCGTCATCAGCATACCATAACTGCTCAGCATCTGGGACAAGCTCCTGCAGTCGATGGATTGGCATGTACCCTCACGAGATTGAACCTCACCACCACCCGTCACGAAAAGCCGGATCGGTTCTCGGTAGGTGTTTCCCACGATCAGTGACATAGCGGGACAAGTACGGGCGATGTTGTAAATAGCTGCTGAACGGTTAACGCTGTTAAAGGCATTGCTGGCGTCAACCAGCAATACGCCCTCGACATCATCCTGGGCGAAACGTGACGTTATGTGATGGACACCAACCTCACAGGCAGAGGGTACGCCCACACACAGCTGATGCGGCACGGTGATACCGACAACGTCCGTCTCCACGATCTGCATAATGGCTCGTGAGATGATCCGCCGGAATACTTCACCCACGGCAATGGGCCTAACCCCAGGGCGCTTGTCAAGGGGAAGTCAAGGGAATCAGTCTCGCAGCAGTGAAACCCTCCATCTCACCATCCGCTGTCCGCCCCGTACAGATCAGCCGGCCAGCAGCCGCCAGGGCGCTGCATAGTTGGTCTGAAGCAGCATCAAAGCACGTCGTCATTCGTCTCCACCCATCGGCATCGACACCGGATGGCCCAGAGGAACCCTGAACAACTACTACTACTACTACTACTACTACTACTACTACTACTACTACTACTACTACTACTACTACTACTACTACTACTACTACTACTACTACTACTACTACTACTACTACTACTACTACTACTACTACTACTACTACTACTACTACTACTACTACTACTACTACTACTACTACTACTACTACTACTACTACTACTACTACTACTACTACTACTACTACTACTACTACTACTACTACTACTACTACTACTACTACTACTACTACTACTACTACTACTACTACTACTACTACTACTACTACTACTACTACTACTACTACTACTACTACTACTACTACTACTACTACTACTACTACTACTACTACTACTACTACTACTACTACTACTACTACTACGTGTTGCGGTGACGGAGCCGCTTGTACGTCTGATGGTCGGTGATGGTTCGGGGAGTGCCGTCCCCGATGGCGAGGAGGTGTCTTTGGCATCGCCTCAGAATCCACCCTTGTCGGTTGCTTCTGCTTCTGCTGCGTCCGTGCCCGATGGCGAGGAGGTGTCTTTAGCATCGCACCGGAATCCACCATTGTCGGTTGCTTCTGCATCGCACCGGAATCCACCATTGTCGGTTGCTTCTGCTTCTGCTGCGTCTTCTGCTGCGTCCGTTCGTGATCCTCCTGGACCTGTGACCCGGCCAGAACCTGGGGTCCACACCACCCAGCCGGTTTGTGATAACCCGTCGGTCGCAGCCGTTACCGAGTCCCGCAAGCGAGCGGTCTCACGTCGCAAGGACAAGGAGAAGTCGCAGAAGGCACTAGTCGCGGCGTTGTATCCCGATCTGCCACCGCCTCAGAAATGCCTCACAGATATCGCCGGTGAGAAGGGCGTGTCGTCATGGCTGACGTGTGCCCCGCTTACTGCGCACCGGACAATCCTGAACAAGTCCGACTTTCGAGATGCGGTGTGCATACGCTATGGGTACCTGCCACTGGATGTCCCGTGCAAATGCGCTTGTGGAGCGGACACCACCCTACACCACTCGATGACGTGTCCACATGGGGGGTACCCGATGGCACGTCATGACGAAATCCGGGACACCCTGGCGGCTGTCCTTGGCGATGTCGTGCCAGACGTGGAGGTCGAGCCTAGACTGCTCCCTCTCGATGGCGAGGTGCTCGCCGGCCGGACCGCCAATCGCAGCGCTGAAGCTCGTTTGGACATCAGGGTCGGGGGTTTCTGGACAAGGCAGCAGGACGCTTTCTTTGATGTTAGGGTCACCCACCCTAAAGCGTCCCTGCTGTCGCGTTCGGAAGCCCTTGGCCAACTGCGCACCAGCGAGTTGGAGAAGAAGCGAAAATACTGCCAGAGGATCACGGACGTCGAGCGAGGTGCCTTCACTCCGTTGGTGTTTGCTACGAATGGCATGGCTGGGGCAGAGTGTGGAATGTTCCTGAAGCGGCTTGTTCAGCGCGTGGTGGAGAAGCACTCTGACCTACAGTACTCCGTCGTCATGCACCATCTTCGTGCCAAGATTGCCTTCTGCCTCCTCCGCTGGGCCGTAACCTGTCTGCGTGGATGCCGGGGAGCTCGGGGCGTACGCCGTGGCAATTCGTTTGTCACGGAGTGCAGGCTGCTCCGGTAGTGGCATGGGGCTGTGTGGCCGATCCTAGACGGATGCTGTGACGTAACGGACATATCTGTTTTTGAGCATGTCTTTGTTTTTTTTTGTTTATGTTTTTTTTTGTTTTGTTTTTTTTGGTTCTACTTTTATAATAGTTTGTTTTGTTTTGTTTATCGGACAGATCGAAATAAGCATTCACACGCAGACAAATTATACATCCACCACCCTATTGGTTTATGATGTTTTTACACATATACCCCCAATAGGCTATTTATCAGACTCGAGTTTTCAACTTACACATTCCACATTCACCACTCAATCGGCTTTTGGTTTGTTCACACATACGTACCATACGCGATCTATTGGACTTGAGTTTTACCTTGTGTCCTTTTTTGCAGTCAGCAGATTCTTTTGTTGGACATTGTTTATTGAGTTTCTTGTTGCTTTTGGTTTACGCATATGCGTCATTTGCCCGTAAAAGAGGCCTTGTTACTACTACTACTACTACTACTACTACTACTACTACTACTACTACTACTACTACTACTACTACTACTACTACTACTACTACTACTACTACTACTACTACTACTACTACTACTACTACTACTACTACTACTACTACTACTACTACTACTACTACTACTACTACTACTACTACTACTACTACTACTACTACTACTACTACTACTACTACTACTACTACTACTACTACTACTACTACTACTACTACTACTACTACTACTACTACTACTACTACTACTACTACTACTACTACTACTACTACTACTACTACTACTACTACTACTACTACTACTACTACTACTACTACTACTACTACTACTACTACTACTACTACTACTACTACTACTACTACTACTACTACTACTACTACTACTACTACTACTACTACTACTACTACTACTACTACTACTACTACTACTACTACTACTACTACTACTACTACTACTACTACTACTACTACTACTACTACTACTACTACTACTACTACTACTACTACTACTACTACTACTACTACTACTACTACTACTACTACTACTACTACTACTACTACTACTACTACTACTACTACTACTACTACTACTACTACTACTACTACTACTACTACTACTACTACTACTACTACTACTACTACTACTACTACTACTACTACTACTACTACTACTACTACTACTACTACTACTACTACTACTACTACTACTACTACTACTACTACTACTACTACTACTACTACTACTACTACTACTACTACTACTACTACTACTACTACTACTACTACTACTACTACTACTACTACTACTACTACTACTACTACTACTACTACTACTACTACTACTACTACTACTACTACTACTACTACTACTACTACTACTACTACTACTACTACTACTACTACTACTACTACTACTACTACTACTACTACTACTACTACTACTACTACTACTACTACTACTACTACTACTACTACTACTACTACTACTACTACTACTACTACTACTACTACTACTACTACTACTACTACTACTACTACTACTACTACTACTACTACTACTACTACTACTACTACTACTACTACTACTACTACTACTACTACTACTACTACTACTACTACTACTACTACTACTACTACTACTACTACTACTACTACTACTACTACTACTACTACTACTACTACTACTACTACTACTACTACTACTACTACTACTACTACTACTACTACTACTACTACTACTACTACTACTACTACTACTACTACTACTACTACTACTACTACTACTACTACTACTACTACTACTACTACTACTACTACTACTACTACTACTACTACTACTACTACTACTACTACTACTACTACTACTACTACTACTACTACTACTACTACTACTACTACTACTACTACTACTACTACTACTACTACTACTACTACTACTACTACTACTACTACTACTACTACTACTACTACTACTACTACTACTACTACTACTACTACTACTACTACTACTACTACTACTACTACTACTACTACTACTACTACTACTACTACTACTACTACTACTACTACTACTACTACTACTACTACTACTACTACTACTACTACTACTACTACTACTACTACTACTACTACTACTACTACTACTACTACTACTACTACTACTACTACTACTACTACTACTACTACTACTACTACTACTACTACTACTACTACTACTACTACTACTACTACTACTACTACTACTACTACTACTACTACTACTACTACTACTACTACTACTACTACTACTACTACTACTACTACTACTACTACTACTACTACTACTACTACTACTACTACTACTACTACTACTACTACTACTACTACTACTACTACTACTACTACTACTACTACTACTACTACTACTACTACTACTACTACTACTACTACTACTACTACTACTACTACTACTACTACTACTACTACTACTACTACTACTACTACTACTACTACTACTACTACTACTACTACTACTGCCTGGCGGGGATACCCTGGTCAACCGTGACCTGCTACCCCTCCTCTTGGGTCGGGAGGTGCCTGATGAGGCAAGCCTTCGGCGACTCCTCTCAGTGCCCACCCGCCTTGGAGGCCTAAACATCCCGATTCTGGCGGCTGAGGCGGAGCGGGAGTATTCCACTTCTGTTGCGGTGACGGAGCCGCTTGTACGTCTGATGGTTGGTGATGGTTCGGGGAGTGCCGTCCCCGATGGCGAGGAGGTGTCTTTGGCATCGCCTCAGAATCCACCCTTGTCGGTTGCTTCTGCTTCTGCTGCGTCCGTGCCCGATGGCGAGGAGGTGTCTTTAGCATCGCACCGGAATCCACCATTGTCGGTTGCTTCTGCTTCTGCTGCGTCTTCTGCTGCGTCCGTTCGTGATCCTCCTGGACCTGTGACCCGGCCAGAACCTGGGGTCCACACCACCCAGCCGGTTCGTGATAACCCGTCGGTCGCAGCCGTTACCGAGTCCCGCAAGCGAGCGGTCTCACGTCGCAAGGACAAGGAGAAGTCGCAGAAGGTACTAGTCGCGGCGTTGTATCCCGATCTGCCACCGCCTCAGAAATGCCTCACAGATATCGCCGGTGAGAAGGGCGTGTCGTCATGGCTGACGTGTGCCCCGCTTACTGCGCACCGGACAATCCTGAACAAGTCCGACTTTCGAGATGCGGTGTGCATACGCTATGGGTACCTGCCACTGGATGTCCCGTGCAAATGCGCTTGTGGAGCGGACACCACCCTACACCACTCGATGACGTGTCCACATGGGGGGTACCCGATGGCACGTCATGACGAAATCCGGGACACCCTGGCGGCTGTCCTTGGCGATGTCGTGCCAGACGTGGAGGTCGAGCCTAGACTGCTCCCTCTCGATGGCGAGGTGCTCGCCGGCCGGACCGCCAATCGCAGCGCTGAAGCTCGTTTGGACATCAGGGCCGGGGGTTTCTGGACAAGGCAGCAGGACGCTTTCTTTGATGTCAGGGTCACCCACCCTAAAGCGTCCCTGCTGTCGCGTTCGGAAGCCCTTGGCCAACTGCGTACCAGCGAGTTGGAGAAGAAGCGAAAATACTGCCAGAGGATCACGGACGTCGAGCGAGGTGCCTTCACTCCGTTGGTGTTTGCTACGAATGGCATGGCTGGGGCAGAGTGTGGAATGTTCCTGAAGCGGCTTGTTCAGCGCGTGGTGGAGAAGCACTCTGACCTACAGTACTCCGTCGTCATGCACCATCTTCGTGCCAGGATTGCCTTCTGCCTCCTCCGCTGGGCCGTAACCTGTCTGCGTGGATGCCGGGGAGCTCGGGGCGTACGCCGTGGCAATTCGTTTGTCACGGAGTGCAGGCTGCTCCGGTAGTGGCATGGGGCTGTGTGGCCGATCCTAAACGGATGTTGTGACGTAACGGACATATCTGTTTTTGAGCATGTCTTTTTTTTTTGGTTTTGTTTTTTTTGTTTTTTGTTTTTTTTGTTCTACTTTTATAATAGTTTGTTTTGTTTTGTTTATCGGACAGATCGAAATAAGCATTCACACGCAGACAAATTATACATCCACCACCCTATTGGTTTATGATGTTTTTACACATATACCCCCAATAGGCTATTTATCAGACTCGAGTTTTCAACTTACACATTCCACATTCACCACTCAATCGGCTTTTGGTTTGTTCACACATACGTACCATACGCGATCTATTGGACTTGAGTTTTACCTTGTGTCCTTTTTTGCAGTCAGCAGATTCTTTTGTTGGACATTGTTTATTGAGTTTCTTGTTGCTTTTGGTTTACGCATATGCGTCATTTGCCCGTAAAAGAGGCCTTGTTACTACTACTACTACTACTACTACTACTACTACTACTACTACTACTACTACTACTACTACTACTACTACTACTACTACTACTACTACTACTACTACTACTACTACTACTACTACTACTACTACTACTACTACTACTACTACTACTACTACTACTACTACTACTACTACTACTACTACTACTACTACTACTACTACTACTACTACTACTACTACTACTACTACTACTACTACTACTACTACTACTACTACTACTACTACTACTACTACTACTACTACTACTACTACTACTACTACTACTACTACTACTACTACTACTACTACTACTACTACTACTACTACTACTACTACTACTACTACTACTACTACTACTACTACTACTACTACTACTACTACTACTACTACTACTACTACTACTACTACTACTACTACTACTACTACTACTACTACTACTACTACTACTACTACTACTACTACTACTACTACTACTACTACTACTACTACTACTACTACTACTACTACTACTACTACTACTACTACTACTACTACTACTACTACTACTACTACTACTACTACTACTACTACTACTACTACTACTACTACTACTACTACTACTACTACTACTACTACTACTACTACTACTACTACTACTACTACTACTACTACTACTACTACTACTACTACTACTACTACTACTACTACTACTACTACTACTACTACTACTACTACTACTACTACTACTACTACTACTACTACTACTACTACTACTACTACTACTACTACTACTACTACTACTACTACTACTACTACTACTACTACTACTACTACTACTACTACTACTACTACTACTACTACTACTACTACTACTACTACTACTACTACTACTACTACTACTACTACTACTACTACTACTACTACTACTACTACTACTACTACTACTACTACTACTACTACTACTACTACTACTACTACTACTACTACTACTACTACTACTACTACTACTACTACTACTACTACTACTACTACTACTACTACTACTACTACTACTACTACTACTACTACTACTACTACTACTACTACTACTACTACTACTACTACTACTACTACTACTACTACTACTACTACTACTACTACTACTACTACTACTACTACTACTACTACTACTACTACTACTACTACTACTACTACTACTACTACTACTACTACTACTACTACTACTACTACTACTACTACTACTACTACTACTACTACTACTACTACTACTACTACTACTACTACTACTACTACTACTACTACTACTACTACTACTACTACTACTACTACTACTACTACTACTACTACTACTACTACTACTACTACTACTACTACTACTACTACTACTACTACTACTACTACTACTACTACTACTACTACTACTACTACTACTACTACTACTACTACTACTACTACTACTACTACTACTACTACTACTACTACTACTACTACTACTACTACTACTACTACTACTACTACTACTACTACTACTACTACTACTACTACTACTACTACTACTACTACTACTACTACTACTACTACTACTACTACTACTACTACTACTACTACTACTACTACTACTACTACTACTACTACTACTACTACTACTACTACTACTACTACTACTACTACTACTACTACTACTACTACTACTACTACTACTACTACTACTACTACTACTACTACTACTACTACTACTACTACTACTACTACTACTACTACTACTACTACTACTACTACTACTACTACTACTACTACTACTACTACTACTACTACTACTACTACTACTACTACTACTACTACTACTACTACTACTACTACTACTACTACTACTACTACTACTACTACTACTACTACTACTACTACTACTACTACTACTACTACTACTACTACTACTACTACTACTACTACTACTACTACTACTACTACTACTACTACTACTACTACTACTACTACTACTACTACTACTACTACTACTACTACTACTACTACTACTACTACTACTACTACTACTACTACTACTACTACTACTACTACTACTACTACTACTACTACTACTACTACTACTACTACTACTACTACTACTACTACTACTACTACTACTACTACTACTACTACTACTACTACTACTACTACTACTACTACTACTACTACTACTACTACTACTACTACTACTACTACTACTACTACTACTACTACTACTACTACTACTACTACTACTACTACTACTACTACTACTACTACTACTACTACTACTACTACTACTACTACTACTACTACTACTACTACTACTACTACTACTACTACTACTACTACTACTACTACTACTACTACTACTACTACTACTACTACTACTACTACTACTACTACTACTACTACTACTACTACTACTACTACTACTACTACTACTACTACTACTACTACTACTACTACTACTACTACTACTACTACTACTACTACTACTACTACTACTACTACTACTACTACTACTACTACTACTACTACTACTACTACTACTACTACTACTACTACTACTACTACTACTACTGAGAACGTTGACTTTATTTGATAACAAACTGGGTGCCGGAATGAAGAATTCAAAAAACGGAAGCAAAGAAGGCAATGGTGACAAATCCAATCAAGTATGTCGTAGATAGGAAAATCAAATCGAATAAATCGGAAAATCCAATAAGAAAATAAAATAAAAGAATCAAGTCAACTATCGAATACCAAAACAAAGAGTAAACCCGCATCCGCAAACACAATCAAAGCAGCACCGTTTACCCAACTCATCCAACAACCCAGACAAGAGAAAACCAGATAAGGTACACAAAGAAAACGGGCAAGTCAACCATCAAATCATGACCAACATATAATAGCAAAATTGCTACAACAAAAATACAGACAATATCATGAAACAGTTAGGTCAGGCATGCTAAACAGCCAGGTGGGCACGGGCCCTACACTCCACCACAAAACCGCCATGACCAGCACCCATGAGCCTTCGGCGGTACGAGTGCCGTGACCCCCGCAGACAAGTTATTTGCCAGCGAATCAGGCACACACTGATCCGGGCACGAAGCTGGCGCATGATCAGTGAGTAGGGGAGATCACGGTTCCTCTCACTGATTTGAGCTGCTAACGACTTCAGGAATATTGACGCCTCCGGCGCACACTGCCCATTGGTGGCGAAAACCAACGGCGTGAACGAACCGCGGTCGACGTTGTTGATCCGGCTCGAGTACTGGCGCTTCTTCTGCCTCTCGTTGTCAGACAACTGGCTCGCTACTCCCGAACGCGACAGCAAAGACGGCCTTGGGTGGGTAACCCGAACATCAAAGAAGGCGTTTTGCTGTCGCGTCCAGAAACCGCGAGCCCGTATGTCTGCACGAGCGGCATCAGCTCTAATACCTGAGACCGTCTCACCATCGAGAGGCAGCAGAACAGGCTCCAACTCGACATCATACGCCACCTCGGACATGGCACTAGCCAGCAGGTCCCGAACCTCGTTGTGACGTTGCGTTGGGTACCCGCCACAGGGGCATGTCATAGCGTGGTGGCTTGTCATGTCTTTGCCACACACGCATGATGCTGGCAAACCTTCCAAGGGAAGGCCATATCGTAGGCCCACAGCATCACGGAAATCCGTCCTGCTGAAAACGGTCCCAGGCATTGTAGTCGCAGGTGGAGTCGTCAACCAACTTGAGACGCCATCTTCACCTGCGACCTCTACCAGTAGCCGTTGCGTGGGCGGGAGGCCGGATCGGATCTCCTCTGCCAAGTTCCGCTGCTGAACACGGCGCGCCGCCCGAGCACCTGCAGCCAATGTCCTGCATGCTGTTACCACAGACGACACCTCATGCGTGGAGGTGCCACCGACTACCAACTCCACCATGGGTGCAATGGCGTCTCGGCACAAGGTGCGCTCAGCAGCCGCCCGTGACACATTGCTACGGACCGCAAGACCACCAAGCTTTGCTGGAAGGGAAAGCAGTGCTCGCAAACCTCCCTCAACCGGCACAGAATGGCCCGTGAATGCAGGCAGCAGCTGATCATTCAGGACGCGATCCAGGGGTGCGTAGAGTGCCCCGTCAGCATTAGCAACGCGCTGCAAGTATGACCACCGAGACTGAATGGCAGAGATGAATAAGTGGTAAGCCGCGTGGGGCTGGGTCTCTGCAACACTCGCCAGCCTCTTGGTTAAAGCACACCAGTCACCCACACGGCTTCCCACAAACCCATCACAGAACTCAGTGCTGCCGATGACTCCACCGAGATACCGGACGCCATCAGAGCAAATCCGGATGCCAGTGCCAGCAAATACCCGCTCAGCGTCTGACACCAGATGGCTCTTGACGAGGAGCACGGTCTTGGCAGCATTAGGCTTGTAGCCATACTTCGGGCCCTCAGCCGAGATGCAGTTCCAGTACTCACCGAGTGCCACAACGCGGTCCACAGCGGCATCGTCGTCAGCATACCACACCTGCATGGAACCACTGCATGTTGTGGACAGATGCTTGGCCAGAGGGACGGTAGCCAAAGCATAAAATGCCATGGCCAGTGGATCTCCTTGGCATGTGCCCTCTCTTGAGTAGAGTGTCTCGCCACCATCCAGGTACAGGGGGATATCCGCTTGGTACGTGTTCACAAATACCCGCCCTGCAGCTGGGCACACGCGTGGTATGTTGTTCAGTGCAGCTGCCCGGTTCACTGAATTAAAGGCGTTAGTGGCGTCGACGAGGAGTATTGCCTCTGACTCCTCCTTGGCAAATACCGATGACAGCGCCTCCACAGCCACTTCACATGCCGATGGTATCCCGACGCACAGCTGGGTTGGCGCCGTCGCAATCACCACATCCTTCTCAATTGCCGCCATGATTGCCTTGCCAACTGCACGCCTACTACTACTACTACTACTACTACTACTACTACTACTACTACTACTACTACTAGTACTACTACTACTACTACTACTACTACTACTACTACTACTACTACTACTACTACTACTACTACTACTACTACTACTACTACTACTACTACTACTACTACTACTACTACTACTACTACTACTACTACTACTACTACTACTACTACTACTACTACTACTACTACTACTACTACTACTACTACTACTACTACTACTACTACTACTACTACTACTACTACTACTACTACTACTACTACTACTACTACTACTACTACTACTACTACTACTACTACTACTACTACTACTACTACTACTACTACTACTACTACTACTACTACTACTACTACTACTACTACTACTACTACTACTACTACTACTACTACTACTACTACTACTACTACTACTACTACTACTACTACTACTACTACTACTACTACTACTACTACTACTACTACTACTACTACTACTACTACTACTACTACTACTACTACTACTACTACTACTACTACTACTACTACTACTACTACTACTACTACTACTACTACTACTACTACTACTACTACTACTACTACTACTACTACTACTACTACTACTACTACTACTACTACTACTACTACTACTACTACTACTACTACTACTACTACTACTACTACTACTACTACTACTACTACTACTACTACTACTACTACTACTACTACTACTACTACTACTACTACTACTACTACTACTACTACTACTACTACTACTACTACTACTACTACTACTACTACTACTACTACTACTACTACTACTACTACTACTACTACTACTACTACTACTACTACTACTACTACTACTACTACTACTACTACTACTACTACTACTACTACTACTACTACCTACTACTACTACTACTACTACTACTACTACTACTACTACTACTACTACTACTACTACTACTACTACTACTACTACTACTACTACTACTACTACTACTACTACTACTACTACTACTACTACTACTACTACTACTACTACTACTACTACTACTACTACTACTACTACTACTACTACTACTACTACTACTACTACTACTACTACTACTACTACTACTACTACTACTACTACTACTACTACTACTACTACTACTACTACTACTACTACTACTACTACTACTACTACTACTACTACTACTACTACTACTACTACTACTACTACTACTACTACTACTACTACTACTACTACTACTACTACTACTACTACTACTACTACTACTACTACTACTACTACTACTACTACTACTACTACTACTACTACTACTACTACTACTACTACTACTACTACTACTACTACTACTACTACTACTACTACTACTACTACTACTACTACTACTACTACTACTACTACTACTACTACTACTACTACTACTACTACTACTACTACTACTACTACTACTACTACTACTACTACTACTACTACTACTACTACTACTACTACTACTACTACTACTACTACTACTACTACTACTACTACTACTACTACTACTACTACTACTACTACTACTACTACTACTACTACTACTACTACTACTACTACTACTACTACTACTACTACTACTACTACTACTACTACTACTACTACTACTACTACTACTACTACTACTACTACTACTACTACTACTACTACTACTACTACTACTACTACTACTACTACTACTACTACTACTACTACTACTACTACTACTACTACTACTACTACTACTACTACTACTACTACTACTACTACTACTACTACTACTACTACTACTACTACTACTACTACTACTACTACTACTACTACTACTACTACTACTACTACTACTACTACTACTACTACTACTACTACTACTACTACTACTACTACTACTACTACTACTACTACTACTACTACTACTACTACTACTACTACTACTACTACTACTACTACTACTACTACTACTACTACTACTACTACTACTACTACTACTACTACTACTACTACTACTACTACTACTACTACTACTACTACTACTACTACTACTACTACTACTACTACTACTACTACTACTACTACTACTACTACTACTACTACTACTACTACTACTACTACTACTACTACTACTACTACTACTACTACTACTACTACTACTACTACTACTACTACTACTACTACTACTACTACTACTACTACTACTACTACTACTACTACTACTACTACTACTACTACTACTACTACTACTACTACTACTACTACTACTACTACTACTACTACTACTACTACTACTACTACTACTACTACTACTACTACTACTACTACTACTACTACTACTACTACTACTACTACTACTACTACTACTACTACTACTACTACTACTACTACTACTACTACTACTACTACTACTACTACTACTACTACTGCTTTGATAGTAGTGACTGCTAATAATTGCCTGGATTTGATTGATTTTTCTTCCATCATCTTTCCGATCACATTATCATGGATTTTCAATAAAGTTCTTTGACTACTACTACTACTACTACTACTACTACTACTACTACTACTACTACTACTACTACTACTACTACTACTACTACTACTACTACTACTACTACTACTACTACTACTACTACTACTACTACTACTACTACTACTACTACTACTACTACTACTACTACTACTACTACTACTACTACTACTACTACTACTACTACTACTACTACTACTACTACTACTACTACTACTACTACTACTACTACTACTACTACTACTACTACTACTACTACTACTACTACTACTACTACTACTACTACTACTACTACTACTACTACTACTACTACTACTACTACTACTACTACTACTACTACTACTACTACTACTACTACTACTACTACTACTACTACTACTACTACTACTACTACTACTACTACTACTACTACTACTACTACTACTACTACTACTACTACTACTACTACTACTACTACTACTACTACTACTACTACTACTACTACTACTACTACTACTACTACTACTACTACTACTACTACTACTACTACTACTACTACTACTACTACTACTACTACTACTACTACTACTACTACTACTACTACTACTACTACTACTACTACTACTACTACTACTACTACTACTACTACTACTACTACTACTACTACTACTACTACTACTACTACTACTACTACTACTACTACTACTACTACTACTACTACTACTACTACTACTACTACTACTACTACTACTACTACTACTACTACTACTACTACTACTACTACTACTACTACTACTACTACTACTACTACTACTACTACTACTACTACTACTACTACTACTACTACTACTACTACTACTACTACTACTACTACTACTACTACTACTACTACTACTACTACTACTACTACTACTACTACTACTACTACTACTACTACTACTACTACTACTACTACTACTACTACTACTACTACTACTACTACTACTACTACTACTACTACTACTACTACTACTACTACTACTACTACTACTACTACTACTACTACTACTACTACTACTACTACTACTACTACTACTACTACTACTACTACTACTACTACTACTACTACTACTACTACTACTACTACTACTACTACTACTACTACTACTACTACTACTACTACTACTACTACTACTACTACTACTACTACTACTACTACTACTACTACTACTACTACTACTACTACTACTACTACTACTACTACTACTACTACTACTACTACTACTACTACTACTACTACTACTACTACTACTACTACTACTACTACTACTACTACTACTACTACTACTACTACTACTACTACTACTACTACTACTACTACTACTACTACTACTACTACTACTACTACTCCTACTGCTACTGCTACTGCTACTGCTACTGCTACTGCTACTGCTACTGCTACTGCTACTGCTACTGCTACTGCTACTGCTACTGCTACTGCTACTGCTACTGCTACTGCTACTGCTACTGCTACTGCTACTGCTACTGCTACTGCTACTGCTACTGCTACTGCTACTGCTACTGCTACTGCTACTGCTACTGCTACTGCTACTGCTACTGCTACTGCTACTGCTACTGCTACTGCTACTGCTACTGCTACTGCTACTGCTACTGCTACTGCTACTGCTACTGCTACTGCTACTGCTACTGCTACTGCTACTGCTACTGCTACTGCTACTGCTACTGCTACTGCTACTGCTACTGCTACTGCTACTGCTACTGCTACTGCTACTGCTACTGCTACTGCTACTGCTACTGCTACTGCTACTGCTACTGCTACTGCTACTGCTACTGCTACTGCTACTGCTACTGCTACTGCTACTGCTACTGCTACTACCACTACCACTACCACTACCACTACTACTACTACTACTACTACTACTACTACTACTACTACTACTACTACTACTACTACTACTACTACTACTACTACTACTACTACTACTACTACTACTACTACTACTACTACTACTACTACTACTACTACTACTACTACTACTACTACTACTACTACTACTACTACTACTACTACTACTACTACTACTACTACTACTACTACTACTACTACTACTACTACTACTACTACTACTACTACTACTACTACTACTACTACTACTACTACTACTACTACTACTACTACTACTACTACTACTACTACTACTACTACTACTACTACTACTACTACTACTACTACTACTACTACTACTACTACTACTACTACTACTACTACTACTACTACTACTACTACTACTACTACTACTACTACTACTACTACTACTACTACTACTACTACTACTACTACTACTACTACTACTACTACTACTACTACTACTACTACTACTACTACTACTACTACTACTACTACTACTACTACTACTACTACTACTACTACTACTACTACTACTACTACTACTACTACTACTACTACTACTACTACTACTACTACTACTACTACTACTACTACTACTACTACTACTACTACTACTACTACTACTACTACTACTGTACTAGCACTACTACTACTACTACTACTACTACTACTACTACTACTACTACTACTACTACTACTACTACTACTACTACTACTACTACTACTACTACTACTACTACTACTACTACTACTACTGTACTAGCACCATCAAGACTGACAAGAGTAGATACTAAGGGGCCGTTTACATGAGGAAAATAAGCCCAGGCTTATTCGCCTCGGGCTTATTTTTCAACCGTTTACATGACGGTTGTACGGGGCTGAGTTCAGGTGAGTGACTGCGAGTTCTGCGCGCATTTTATTTTTCAAATCGCACATGAACGCGGTGGTAAATGTTCGTGTCTGATGAAATTTGGATCAAGAAATGCCGTCTCAGGTTTCTACTGCCTTTCCAATTGTCACTTAATTTTCGAGAAGGTGAAGGATGGGCTAGGACCTTCCACTGGACAAAAACCAGAAGAAAACATACCAAAAAATAAATAAAAGAGACGCACTGTCCACGGCCACATTCTCTCAGGTTCACGAGGCAAAATCGAAAAATACGGAAAAACTCGCTTATAAGCCCTTCTTGACCATTTACATGACAAAAATTAAGCCCTGGGGGTTGGATAAGCTCGGGGGTCAAGGGTAGGGCTAGTTCAGCTCGGGGCGAGCTGAATAAGCCCGCCTGACCATGTAAACGCGCGCTCTAAAAAAAAAAAGACTGGGTGACAGATCAAGGCGGGCTTATCGTAAGCCTAGGGTTGAATAAGCCCGCGCTTATTTTTCTCATGTAAACGGCCCCTAACTAACTACTTTCTACTCTTGCAGTTGGTACCATGTTACATGTAGTACAGGCTCAGATCAGCCAGTAGATCTACATTCTACCAACAAACACACACACACACACACACACACACACACACACCTCAGACCTCAGATGCAGACCTCAGAGTCAGACCGGCCATCGCGGAAGCGATGATTGCGAACAGCTATGTTGACATAGCAACTTGTGCTGGGATTGCACCATTCAACAGCTTGCAAGACTGATGAATTGGGCGCCACTATTTTTAGCCTGGTACGAGCGACTCGTACATGGTATCCACCACACAGCTGATTGACTTTACTTTTTCTGGCCAGTGAATCCCTATTTTTCATTTTTCCATTAATTTTTACAAACACACACACACACAGACACACACACACACACGGCGGGTGACGCTCACAAGCACAAGCACATCACACACACAATCCAGCAAGCGGTATCCAGACACTAAACGTCTAAGTACCTAGGCTAAGTAGCCAGTGTTTCTCATATTAGTCTTATCAATTTCTGTCTACAGGGGGTCGGATTTCAGTTGCCAGCACTCTGTGTACATGTAGAGGACGCTTGGTTGAACGTTACTTGATGCGGAAGGACAGCATGCAACCGCGAAGTCAAGCTGGGAGTATGGCGAAGCCGAAGCTCGAAGGTAGATCTACGCGTAGATCTACGCGCGTGCACTGCACACGCACGCGCACGTAACTCGTTTGTTGCATTTGAAAGCGCTGTCACCTGCGCAGTCGCGGCCGCACTCATTATTTTGTTGTTGTTGCTGTCTGAATTTTTTAGGCTACACGACATGTCGACAGCGAAGTCACACCATGGCGATGGGCGCTCCCGGTTTGAAATTGACTTTGCAACATCTCGGATCAGTCAATGCCATTAGTACAGTGTCAGTAGTTGTCAATGACCATTCCGCTTCTCACCCTGTCCAAAGGCAACGTTCTGTGGCTGTTGGTCCATTTCTTCTCGTTCGCTCTTGCCGGCGTTGTAGAAATGTTCAAGCAAGTCAAGAAAACCTTTGGCGGTGGGAAAAAGAATAAGGGAACGTCTGCTGCTAGTGCTGCAGCAGCGCCTGCAGCCGGTGCAGAAGATGCTGATACCTACGAGGACATCAAAGAAAAAGACTTGACGAAACTGCAGTTAGCTGCATGGCATGGTGACCTCGGCCAAGTAACCAAGTGCCTGAAGAAGAAGCCAACAGCGGGCGAGGCCCTATACAAAGGACGGTAAGTGAAAGCGCTACGTGTACAGTCTAGATGGACTTGGCCGGACCAGGGCAGTGCACGAAGTATTTGGTTCGGAGGTCCCAATACTGGGCCAATCGTGATACAGTTTGTTTAGTGCTCTATCAATCTCTTTGTATCTGTTCTAACGACACGTAATGTGAGGAAATGGATTTATTTTTCCAAAAATATTTGTCCCTTTCGTCACTTTAGCTTGTGTTGCTAAGCACGCTATTAGCGACCACTGCGTACACGGTACAGTACCGAGTCCTTTTCCACGCCAGTGATTATTATCGTCCTTTTGCAGCTTCTTGACCTTGAATTTTATAGGGCTTGAAAGTGCTACGTCACAGCATAGCAACAATTTCAAAAATTCAAAAATTGGATCCACTTGGATCCAGATTTTGTATGGATCCAAGCACATTTCAAGCGGTCTTACCCACAGCATGGTGATGTAGCCAGTGAAACTGACTGATTTGGCTACTGGGGGCGGGGTTACAACTGGTGGCGAAATAAAAGTCACACCTGCATGCGACATGAGTGGGTTGCTATGCACCCACATACTTAGGCAATAGCAAAGTCACACCTTAGTGGATCCAAAAATAGAAATCTGATGTCAACTTACTACTCCCTGGCCGTTTTGACGTCATCACTTTCAAGCCCTATTGTATGCTGTGAAATGTGTTCAGCAAAATGATGGAGGTAATTGGTGGAGATGGAGTACTATTCGCAGTTTTTGGGAGATGGAGGAAGTAATTAGTTTGTTGTGACAGACTTTGTAAGAAAGGGTTTGCTCCCCACACTCAAACCCTTTCTTACAAATCATCGCCGAAGTCGCAACTACTACTTCGTAGTGACTGACTTTGTTAACATTTTTTCTTGCATTTAGCCCAAGCCACCACGCAAACTGCATTGCATGCGCTCCGTTTTGTGAGCATGTCAGCCGACAGCGCAATACAAAATGGGATGTGGAATGAGCCTCAGAAACACACCCATACAGAATGTGCCTCAAATGGAGAGACGCTCCACTGCCATGGCATACTCTCTAGCCTGAATGAACAGATGAAAACAAAATGATGAAAAGCCTCACGATACCAGTACACTCACACCTCATTAGCAACTCATGCGCCAGAGAACGTCTTCCTCTGTATTCCAGTTTGTGCTTCTGTCGCATCTGCAACACCTCATTTTACTTCATTGTTCCTTCTCTTCTCCATAGCCTGGTCAATATCCCTTCCACGAACTAGCTTGGCGAGGGGATTCATTCACTGCTTCGGTGAACTGCATCCTACAATATTCATTTCTTTATTTCAAGTTCCGTGCCATGTGAGTGCCGGGTCTCAACTTCTACCGGTGCCAATGTCCTATGAGCCAAAAATTTGAGTTCATACAAAAATATCAGTAGGTACCAGGATTGGACTGAAAGAAAGTTCTAAACATATCCTGCTGCAATGAATCACTGGCAGCCCTGTGACAATGCAATGAATCACTGGCAGCCCTGTGACAATGCAATGAATCACTGGCAGCCCTGTGACAAGCCTTTGCACATATAAGTACATGTACCATGCATGATGAAGACAGTAGTGGCGGAGGTGCTATGTGTAACAATAGAGTGAGAGGAAAGTGAGCAAGGACATAAGAAAAGGTAGGTGCTGTGAAATAAACTTGTCCGTATATTTTTAACACCAACTGTAGACTATGCACAGCCCTATCGTGTGGATCTCCTGTGCTTTTATTCCGAACAGGTACAGTCAACTTCGCTAATAACGACTGCGGATATAACGATAATTCGCGAATAGCGGAGAATTTCCATGCCCAGAGCAAAGTCCCATCCCACTGTAATACATATAATGAGACTTCGGGTATAACGACACTTCGCGAATAAGGACACCTTTTTGATGCCCCGCCGAGTGTCGTTATAAGCGAAGTTGACTGTAGTATTGTTAGCAGCAACTATTGGCAAGTGAACTTTGTAGCAATTTACAAACCAGCACCATGACCTTGCAAGGACAATTTAGGGGGTGCCTGGTGTTTACCGTCAGAGGAAGGAGACGAAAGATTCGTGTGAACTTTTGATTGGTGCGACTAACCTTAGCGAAAACACTCCTTTCGCTAAAACCTCTAAAATTTCACCGCTGCTAAAATTGGCCATTTTCCAGTAGCAGTAACAGTGTAACCAGTGGGTATTACAAGGATCCTGCCATAGCTCTTTTTGCCAACGATTCCACCTACTGGAGTGCTGAAGTACTGTTGGTTTCAGTACATTTCCTATGCCAAAAAGGCACGCTTGCATAGGAAATTATACTCGTCATTCCTTGCTCCTTTGCTGCTCATTTTCATGAGATTACGTGCAGTGTCAGAACTGAATGTCTAAAGGATCACTTGACAGTTCATCAGCTGTCACAGAATGTGAAATGGTCCACAATGTTCTCACAAAGTCCTCCACCTGGACCTTTGCTAGTTTGTAAGTCATTCCCCCCATGACAGGTTACTGGTTCTACTAGTAGTAAGCGGCAAGTTTCGGTGGAGACTCTGTGTGTTAAGGGTACTCAGACTGAGAGTTGGAGGCTATCTTCTGAATGAATGTGTGGATATCAGCATGCACTTTGTTTGTATTTAGAGGAAATAAAAAAGGACCGAGGAACGACCAGGTACTGCTACTGCGTCCGAGTCACTTTGTCTGCGTGTGGAAAACCAATCTTTTGACTGTTTCTAGCTCTGCATTACATCTGGCTGCATGTGCTGGCCACAGCGATGTTGTGGAGTACCTGTGCCACCAGTGTCCGCGTCTCATCAACGGACAGGATGACGTCGGTGCAACCCCACTAATGAGAGTAAGACTTTGGAACACTCGGTTTAGAGAATGAAATCGCTGCTTCTTTGACATTTTATAGTCGGATCTTGGCTGTTTTTAAGCATTATCAGTTGTCTGATGATTGCTTGTGGGCATGAAGCTAGTAGTTACTAAAAAGATGCGTGGTGCTCCGGTACTTGCGCGAGTATATCTCTGTTCGTATGAATATTGAGCCATCTCCCGAGCCCGAGGACTCTCATATGGGGAATGAAGTTCTATCGCTTCTTGCTGCTTTTTTGTTTGTTTGTTGCCGTTTTGTTTATACTTTCAATACCAGTAGTACAATGATGATTATACAGCACTGCACTTAGAGCTATCCTTGTAGCATGCTGTCAAAGGTTGCATTTGCGCAGGCCCTAGTCAAGGGTATTTGCAGGCCCTAGTCAAGGGTATTTGCAGGTCCTAGTCAAGGGTATTTGCAGGCCCTAGTCAAGGGTATTTGCAGGCCCTAGTCAAGGGTATTTGCAGGCCCTAGTCAAGGGTATTTGCAGGCCCTAGTCAAGGGTATTTGCAGGCCCTAGTCAAGGGTATTTGCAGGCCCTAGTCAAGGGTATTTGCAGGCCCTAGTCAAGGGTATTTCCCTAGTCAAGGGTATTGAATGTTATAATATACAGTGAAACCTGTGTAAGCCGACCGTCCAAGGGACCTTACAAATGTCGTTCCCGTGTACAGGTGGTCTCCCTATCCAAGGTCGCTTCACTGGAAATAACATATCTTGGTCTTAATTGCAGTGGTCCTCTGGGACAGGTGGTCGCCTTATCAGAGTGGTCGCCTTGACAGGTTTTACTGTATGCGATTGCGCTTTCATTCACTTACCTGCATGCGTACGGGCATGTCGTTCCTGGGTCCTCCTGCAGGCTGTGCGTTGTGGCTCAGGTCCCTGTGTTGAAAAGCTGCTCGACAGTGACTGCGATGTATCGGTGGCCGACCACACTGGTAACACTGCCCTCCATAGATGTGCACAGCAAAATGACCAGAGCATGGCAGCTATGGCCATCAACCATGGAGCTGCTATGGATGCAGTGGATAAGGTACGAGTCCGTTACTGATAATGTTTCTTCAGGATAATTGTTTTGGATAGCTCGTTGAGCAACTTCAAGGGCATTGTGAGATATTTGCTGTATCAAAGTCACACATTACACATTATGAAGTCTAGGATTGGACGAAGCTTGAACTTTGCCTCTGGAACACATGTTGACATTGCGTGTAGCTTAGCCGTACCTTGGAATCGTGTGAAGCTGAGCCATAACACTTGCCTTCTTGCTGGATTGGTGTACAGGCGGGGAACACACCATTGCATGCTGCGGTAATGGCCGGATCGATGGAAACAAGTGATCTGCTGCTGTCTCGCGGATGTTCTCCGGACAAACTGAACGAGAGCTCCATGACCCCTCTGATGATCGCCGCCAACGAGAATCGTGTGATGCTGATCAAGAACGCTTTGCTCAAGTACCCAGTCAACATCTTGATGACAAATCAGGAGGGACTCAAGGCATCCGACATAGCTTTGGTCAATGGCCATCATGGGTAAGTAGTGAATACAGTAGTCCAAACTGTCCCTAAGTGAGTGTCAATGAGTACCAGTAAAACCCAGAAAACTAGGAAGTCAACGAAGTTCAATCACCACAACTGGCGCATCATCATGAGTACTGCACGACTGCTGGCTGACTATCAGCACAACATAGCAATGGAAAAACAGCAATGAGGTTCTCGACGGGTATGTGGCACTTCCTATGTCTGGGGTGAGTTACGAAAAGTTCCTCTCTTGTCAACATTATGTGCCTATGATGGATCAACATTATTGTAGGATGTACTTTTCTAGTCAATGATGATGATTTATCTGCATTGGTGCATATGATCTTCTGCTACTGAACCACCAGTCTCCACGATCTGATCGCGAACCATGAGATTAACCCCACTTCACCAGTACATTCCAAGTCGCCTAGGAGTCCAATGGCACAGGCATCTGGAGGGCCTGGACCACCGCCTTTGCGGCCTATCCGAACTCAGTCGCCGCAGGAAAGCAGTGAACCTATTGGCCGCAATCCAAACACTTTAGACTTGGGTAAGATTGCAGAGTACTGAACCGTTACTGTACTGTAGTTGTGTGCATTGGCTGTTCAACAATGTTCCAATATGCATGTTTTCCTCTTTCGGTGTGTGTGTGTGTGGGTGTGTGTGTGTGTTCATATACTTTCTATTTGAAGTATACATACCTGTTAACCATGGACTGCTTCTGGCTAGATTAACTCTTGTGTAATCAATGGTGCTAGTGAAGCTTATATCAGATCCACTCTGATTTAGCCACCCACACTAGTAGCAAGTATTACCTTCACTGGGGGCAGGGGTGACTGCAGTTGGATCCCGGGACGGATACCCTGATGCCGTCAATCCTTTTTCTGCACCTTGTCCTCACCCACTTAGGGGCCGTCCGTAAATGTCGATAGTTTTTACAATCCGTGAAATTTTCGTACCTGGGTGGTGGGTGCAGCCGAAATTCAAAGTAAATAAAATATCGATGACACGCGGACCTGGCGCCCAGTACTGCGTGTGCGTGGGTCTGCGTGCGTCGAACCACACGTACACGTAGATTGTTGTCTCCAAAAAATGTAGTGGAGATCGAAACTCTTGAAGCAAAAGAAAGAGGGAAGTTTGTCAGATATTATTCACTAGTATAATTATTGCACAATTATTCGAAGTATCACAATACCTGATTAATCCGGGTCAAGTCCAGCTCTTATTTGAACTCCACATCGAAGAATTGCTACATCGCCAATGGTTGGAACAGTTCCAATGTGGAGCGTGGCCTAACGAAAATGGCACGGCAGACTACTTTGTTTGGTACAGCTGCCAAAAAAGATAAGTTTTCAAAGAGCTTGACAGCCCTGGTGAAGACGACGATGGCTACTACACCGTCATCGAGGCCTTGTGGACTGTTGAAACGTCCAATAATCGATCTGCGTTTTTCACCAAAGCACAGAAGCAGTGGATGGAGACGTTTTCTGCAGACCCGCAGGCAAGGTCGGAGATCCTACATTTCTGTAGGTACAGTACATGTGTCATCAATGTTTTATTCCGTAAAAAGTAGGGGGGGGGGGGGGGGTGGGTGGGTGGTGGGTCCTGGTTACTTTGTAAAATTCACGGATTGAAAAAACTATCGATATTTACGGATGGCCCCTTACTGAGGTGTGGTGAGTCCATAAGTGGGATCATTTCAAGTCCACCCTAGTTTGAGGATTTCAGGGTGTGTCGGCCGTTGAGTGGTTCAATAGCCAATTGAGTCATCTTTCGAAGATTCCTTTTGAGTCTCTCTCCCCTCTCCCGGGGAGACCCACGTGACCAGTTTTGGCAGTGAGCAAGTACAAGTGTGTGTGTGGTGTGTGTGTGTGTGTGAGGTGTGTGTGTGCGACGATTATGGTCGCACACGTCTTTCTTCTCTTTCTCGGACTCTTCCTGACTTTTCTTTCATTCTCCTGGATGGTTACCAACAGCCAGTGTATGCCGGAGTATGTGGTGTGGTGTGTGTGTAGAAAAAAGAGAAAAAAAAGAAAGAAAAAAGAAGAAAAAAAATGAAAAATAAGGATTCACTGGCCAGAAAAAGTCACTTCAATCAGCTGTGTGGTGGATACCAGGCTACAAATAGTGGCGGTCAATTCATCATCAGCCTTGCAAGCTGTTGAATGGTGTAATCCCAGCATAAGTTGCTATGTCTAACATAGCTGTTCGCTATCATCGCTTCCGCGATGGGCAGGTCTGAGGTCTGTGTGTGTTTGTGTGTGGTATGTATGCATGCATGTCACATAATTATGTGTGTGTGTGTGTGTGTGTGTGTGTGTGTGTGTGTGTGTGTGTGTGCGCACACATACATATTTATCTGATTTGTAAACTGTTTCATTGGCACCTTCCCTTCATGAGTGTGCCGTGGGCAGAATGATGAATGCTGAGTCTACCTAATGAGCGGCATATTGAGCATTGCTGTGAAAAAATATTGTATCCTCTTTATCTTTGCACGTCCTATTTCCTCCTTGTACTGTCCAAAAGACTTGGTGCTTCCATCTCCCCGTGTACTATACAGATATCTCTGAAGCCGTTGATGAAACAGCTAGTCAGTAAGTACATCTGTTTGAGAGTCAACAGTCGTTTCCCGGCAGTGTGTGTGTGCAGGATGTTGTTATTGTGTGTGTGTGTGCAGGATGTTGTTATTGTGTGTGTGTGTGCAGGATGTTGTTATTGTGTGTGTGTGTGCAGGATGTTGTTATTGTGCCGCTCTGTGAATTCTAAAGCATGTCAGCATATGGGGTCCCGATTGGCTTCTGGGCAGTGAGAACCGTGCTCCTCCGGGTACAGAATTCTACTATAGTTGAATTACATGGGCTCAACGTGTAGGCGTATGCCATTTAGCATTCACACCCGATGATGTAGCAGCTGACACCATGCCAAAAATGAAGTGGAGTAGGTGCTACGCAGGCTGCTGGTATATTTGAATTCATAACCACACTTGCCTCTATACCTACTTGTGCTAGCGGGCAATAGCGCGTTAGCAATCTGCATGGGGCGTCACTCATCCTTTCAACCTTGTCCTTCCTGCTTCTGTACTGATCTATGAAAAGTGGGATAAGCAAAGTTAACTGCGTTCGCATAGTGCCAGAAAGCGATGATTCAGACGTGTGCTCTGCGCTTTTTATCTCTGTCTCCTTGTCCATGCAGAGCTTCAGGAAATATCAACTCTTGGGGGTCTGAGAACAGTGATGCTGAAATGCAAACACTGGTAAGACTAACACTGGTAAGACTAACACTGGTAACACTGGTAAGACTAACACTGGTAAGACTGCAACGTACACTGGTAAGACTAACAATGGTAAGACTAACACTGGTAAGACTAACACTGGTAAGACTGCAACATACACTGGTAAGACTGACACTGGTAAGACTAACACTGGTAAGACTAACACTGGCAAGACTAACACTGGTAAGACTAACATTGGCAAGACTGCAACGTACACTGGTAAGACTAACACTGGCAAGACTAACACTGGTAAGACTAACACTGGCAAGACTGCAACGTACACTGGTAAGACTAACACTGGTAAGACTGCAACGTTATGGCGTGCTAATAAGTGAGACCTGAAGAATTTCTCTCCTATTTGAAACCTGAAGGAAATGGACTGTGTTATGTTTGCATGTTTGATACATTTGGGACTATTTCAAGACTTTTCTGAAGTGTTTCGGTTATCATTAGTGTTAGCAATATCCTTGTCATGCTGCTGCCTTCTAATGAGAGTACTTGGTATCTGATCATTCCAATACGCAGACACAGCCCGAAGAACCGACCCAGCCTCAAAGCAGTCGCACTGGATCCGTTCGACAGCAGCCAACTGGTAAGAGAATGTAGGGACCGAAAAGGCATGACAGTGTAAGCAGTTAGAGTACAACTGATTGGTGGGTGGGTATCAATGGCCTCGGAGCCTGGCAAGACACTCGGAACAGTAGCCGTGAGTGGGTATACGCAGAGGTACTCAATTTATATATTTAGGCTGGTGGAAATGATAGGGTCAACACAAAATGTAATCTAGAATTCTTTGCTTGTTTTGTCCAAAACTCCCCTCCTGACGTTCTTGATTTGTGGTGAATTTATTCACTCTTCGTCTTAGCTGGAGGTGCCGCTGGACGCCATTCACCTTGGACAACACTAAGCCCACCTGCTGGTCAAGGTGATGAGGTACGGTCATGTGTTCTGTCTACTCTCCCAAATCCTCTTTGTATCTTGAAATGCTGTTTGCTGTCACACTGCTTAAAATGTCAGATAGCAGATGATGCGTTTGGACAGTAGCCGGGCCTAACACTGTAATTATGGTTTGTGTGTACACAGAGTGAGTCATCTGATGGCGTTGCCAAGGCCATCCCAGTCAGGCAAAGTAGAACGGTTAGTACCTGCCATGGTGAATTCTTAATTCTTTCTTACTGTGCTGTCTTGTGTGTATTACATCTATCCCTGCTCATATGGCTGCTTCTATTGCTTGTGAATTACTCATTCCCTGACTTTCTCCATCTATCTGCCTCTCCAATATTTCTCCCCCTTCTCCCTGTCCTCCCCCCCCCCCTGTCTGTCTCTGTTAGTGTCGATGCGTGGTTCTCTCTATCTCCATCCTTTCTCCATTCTCTCACGCTCTCACTTTCTCTTTCACTCACTCTGTAATTTATTATGCGATTGTATTTGGGTATACATGATGAGTTTGCATTCTAATGGGGGACTCGGTATAAATTCTGTAGTGACGTTATTGCTGGGTTCCAGGGATCTTTGTTGCGCCATGCAAGGGCGTTGCTTGAGGGCATTTGATTCTGAATGCTTGCCAAATACTTGTTGTGGTGTTTGGGTTTGCAGAGAATACCATCGTCCGTCACCACATCGAGGCCCCAGTCACCTTCCGTGGACAGTGCCGCCGCGATCGGTCAAATTGGTGAGCAAAGCATTTTCTATGGCAGCATTGCTAGCAATGGTTTTCTTTCATTGTCCAATGTATTGACTCACACATCACTATCCTAATGACAAAGTGTCTCAGTAATGATTATGGTAGGCTCCACTAGCACTAAAACATCCCTTCCAATGCTTGGAACATGTGTGTATGTATGTCTTGAGAGCTGCATGTTCACCTAGGACAAGTGCAATACAAAGTAAATGCAAAGTTAGGAGACTCCCTTTGACAGGCATTCACGTTTCCTGATATACAATATCCCACGTGCACAGTACTATGCTTACATCCTCTACTGTGCAATGACGTCTACGGTTGTGTGCTTGTTGTTCTGTGCAACTCTGAGCAGATACCAAGATTCCTCGACCGAAACCCGGTGCATCGCTGCCACCGTTATCAACCAAGCACAGTGCCAGTGATCTGAGATCAGGATCCAAGATACCGTTGCCGGCTAGTAGCCCTATCGGCACTGGTTCAGGGTTTGCTGGTGCGTCACCACTGGATAAATCGTCACCAAGCAGAGCGGCTGGTGTACATGGCGCTGCTACTGCTGCTGGTGCTACTGCTGGTGCTGGACGTGATATGTTTGACGGAGGCATGGGAGCAGCAGAAGAAGATGATGATTGGAACACGGAGTCAAGTGTTAGTGGCCTACACGATGATGCCACTGGTGATGCTGGCCTTTTCTCTCCTGCTCGCGGGTCACCACGAAGCAAAGCAGCTTCACCGAGGAGTGTCAAGGATGTTCCAAAGGCCAATCCGTCCCTTGAGCAGCAACAACCAGTGAATGTACAAACTGATGAAGTTGAATCTGACTCTGACTTTACTTTGGATGAGGAAGAGGAGGAGGAAGAAGAAGAAGAAGAAGAGGAGGAGGAGGACAGTGGAGAGCAACACTTGGCTGCAGTTGAAGTGCGAAATCCGTCCACGAGGCCGCCAATGTCTGCCGATCTGGGCCTTGATGAAGCCAGCTTTAGCCATGCCAGCAATGCCAGCTCGTTATTCTCTACAATGGAGCAGCCAGATGACACTCCAGCTGCAACACATGTGGCTCTTGGTGGTGATAAACAGGAAGGCGATCAGGAAGAAGAGTCTGACTTTTCATATGAAGAGTCCCCAAGTCATTCTCCTGGTAGGATGCGTGCCAGTCTCGCTGATTCACCTTCAGGGAATCTGCATGAAGCCGTTGCTCATGCTGACTCCGCACCAGCAGCTGGGAAAGTGGATGCAGCTAAAGAAGGCCCGGGATCACTAACAGGTATGAATGAACCTTCTAGCTGATATCCACATTTGTAATCAGTTAGAGCTAAGTTGGGTAAAGTTGGTCTTGTCCCCCCCCCCCCCTTGTGTGATTTGTACTGTGTATCAGGTGTATCAGGTGACCGTGTTAGCAGCTCAGATAGTGCATACTGTCACGATTATAGTCAGCATCTGTCCACCACTGGGTCATCTCCCAAATGCGCTCAAACTACAATTCATATTGCTGCTGTTTTCTCTGCTTTTTTCACGTGTTTGCTGGCCTGGTCTCTGCTGTCTCTGGCTTGCTTCTTGGCACATACTACTACAACCGTAGAGAGTAGCTGGGATAGTGAGGTAAGTAGAGAGGGATGGGACTATTTGTTACTCCATGTCAGTGCTGTTGTCACCGTCATTGTTGGTAGCACTACTTCTACCATGCTTGTCGTCATAGTAGTGTTCTCTTTCATGTCCTGGTTTCTGCGTAAGTCTGATAGTGTGTTGTCTACATAACCCAGGAATCAACCTGCAGTAGTCTACTGGATCCCGTCTTTTGGATACTTCACCATCCACCAGTACTAGTTGTGTTGAGCCACTCACACTGTTTGGGTGTGCTGGGCAGCACTCATGCCCTCCTCCCCCCCCCCCCCCCCCCCCTCTCCCCCTCCCTCCTCTCCCAGAAGGTTTTGATGAACTTGCCCATCTCCACCCTGATCAGTGAAACTCTCCTCCCGCCATGAATCAGAATGGTGTAGCACCACATTTCAATGCATAGCCTTGAGACCATATAAGGCATAGACACAGTACTTAAGGGTTGTGTGTTTGTGTTATGTTTGGTAATGTAGCTGGTGGCATCCAGGACTCTTTTCTAGTACTCCACCTAGTGACAATCTTATTGACTCCATACCTATGGGAGGAGAGGCAGCGGGAGAAGGGTTCTTTGAAGGGTCGCCTAAGTGTGGTTCTTGGTGAATCTTGGCCGAAAAATGGCAGTACACCGGACAATAGTTAAGAGAAATCCCAAGGCTATCTTTTCAATTGCCCATCATCATTCACCTTGTGCTACACTCTAGAATGGCAGTAGTGATTCATGGTACCATTGACATGCTCCAACAACACAAGAGACTTTTGAATAGTATTCACTTCAGTATGCTTGATATCTAGCATGTGTACGAGGGCAAACGATTATTTTACATTTTATCATCATCATCATCACAAGCCCATAGCCCTAAGGCCATCGGGGCGTCACAGAGCAAGTATGAACAAGCAAGCGCCATAAAAATTGATCGCGTGCAGCAGCGAGCAGGGACTGCACGTCAAGTGCAGTCCATGAAATAATATCAAGCCATGACATTATGGGCCTGCCTCGGCCACGACCTCCAGCAACACAACCCTGTAGAACAGTCAATGACAAACAGCCGGAACGAACAATATGACCAACAAATTGCAAGTTTACATGTAGTCTGCCAAATTATTATGATGCTGATGATGTTGCTGCTTTGCTTATGGTTGTGCATGTGTTTGCATGGTGCAGGATGAAGACAGTGCACTAACGCCTGATGACAGTGATGGTGAAGAACAGCTGGGTACGCCACTAGCCGCAATTCAATATTCACCAAGTATTGTATACATGCACATTCACATATCAACAAACTCGGTGTGCTAGAACTTCCCGTGATTTATAAAAGACTGTCGCTATAGCTGGGAGGGTCCATCAGAAGCATAGCATCTGGTCAAGAGCCCGTTGCATCAAACATACCATTTTCACTTCACTGTACTTCGGGCATCTTACTTCGTGTTCTTTGCCTGTTTCTTGCAGGCAATGTGGGTTTGTACAGTGTGTGGAAGTTCCCAGTACTGTCGGAATGTACCGAGTACTGAAGTACAGCTGCTTCAGCTGCTTCACATAATCTTATGTGCTTGCATTTGCCTTTGCTGCTGCTGTGCTGTAGTCGGTGCCCTGGCTGGTCTTGGACACCCGCAGATGATGTCGTCGCCGGCTCATCGCCAGGTCTCCCCGCGTGACAAACACACATCTCCGAGTCCATCGCCAACACCGCAGGGCTCACTCCACAGCGACACATTGCACGGCTCTGATGAAGCTGTGCAAGCACAGGCACCGATGCACCCAGAGCTTTCAAGTCAGCAGACGCCGCATTCTGCTGCAGAACTCAAAACAAGTGTAGGTGACGACTCTCTGTCAGATTCAAGGGATTCCTTTGATTCTACTCCAGGTCGTGCACAGCACTCTCTACCTAAAGCTCCGGTGATTGATGATGATGATGATGACGATGATGAGTCACCTCCGGCAAAAAATGTGCCGTTAGACCAAGACAATGCCGATATTTCATCTGACTTCAGCTATGAAGAGGACGATGAAGAGGGAGATGATGATGTTGATACTCCATCTCAACAGCCATCTGTAGTTGTTGGTGCATCATTCGATAAACCCAGTGTTTTGGAAGGAAGCAGCTACTTCGGCGATGCCAGCTTGCCCGGCGACAGCCCAATACAAGATAGGTTGATGCCTAAGCAAGCGCAGGGTCCAGTCGGAAAGCTTCCTTCTTTGCAAACCAAATCGACCTTGTCACCGTTGAGCAGCCCTGGCAGAGTGGCTTCTCCACCTGCACTGGCTGTTGGACTTGAAGGCTCTAGAAAGGCCAGTCCTGGCAGGCAGCCCGACATATCCCCTCGCTCCTCGCCTAGCCCACTAGCTATGCCAGGCATCTCACCAAGGCAAGCACAAGTGAGTGGATTGACCTCACCTAGACACCCAGTATCGGATCACATCGGAGGTGCGGCGAGAGTGACATCAGAGGAGTCGGATTTCAGCTTGAGCGGTACAGATGAAGACTTGAGGGCGGCGTTCTCCGCATCTTCTCACGCTCAGCCTGGGCAAACCGATCTCACAGAGCCTTCGCGTCCAGCAATCTCTCCCTCAGCACGACTGGATGAGGACTTTTCGGATGCCAGTGTGGACAAGGAGGATCGCCACCCTAGTGGCCTTGCACCTGAAGACTCTGACTTCTCTTTGGATGATTCCAATAGTGATGTGCCTATCTCAGCCCAGCGCTCGCCTATCATTGCAGGTGAACCGCAGTCTTCAGCTTCTGATTTCTCACTGGACAGCACACAGGACCACCTCAAGGACACGTTCACGGTGCAGGATCTAAAACCCACGGCCAGGGAGAGCGAGTCAGGTCTAGCTGGGTCTTTGCCAGACATGATTGCCTCACCGGCATCAGCTCAGTCAGCCGTGCGGCACTCGTCAGGTCCTAGTTCTCCCGTATCCCCTGTTGGAGCATCCGCAGCAACACAGGCACAGGCACGTTTGCTGCAGAAAGAAAGTGACGACTGGGCGAGTGCACAGGAGCAGACAAGAAAGGCGAACGAAGAAGCTCAGCAGCGGCGAGCCGAGCAGGAGCGCCTGGCTCTGGAGGCACAAGGTTGGTGGATGTGCATGTGCATGCGTGTGTATGTGTGTCGTGTGTCAAAGAGTGAAGCAATGTTGTGTCTATGGATGCATGCTCCGGGTCAACATACTCCTCACACTACTTTCTAGATCTAGCTGATGAAATGAATTGTGACGTACAATTTCACTGTTTCCTCTGCAGAAAGGGCTCTTTTGCGTCAGCAAGAACTTGATAACCTTGCCAGACTGGAAGAAGAACGGCGAGCTGCAGAAGCAAAGCAGCGCATGGAAGAGGAGCGACAGCAGGATGAGAGACGTCAGCAGCAAGAATTCTTGGAGAAGGAAGCGCATGCTAAACAGGAGGCAGCCGCAGCCGCTCAGCGGAGACAAGAAGTCGCCAGACTCAAGCAGGAGAGGGAAAAGAAAATGGAGGCTGAGAATCGTGCTAGGTTACAGCGGAAACAAGTAAGAATCAAAACAAACACATGGTGTTTAAGAGGCTGTGTTCGAAACTGCCAGACATAGTCACCATGGTTTGTCCATCTGTATGCATTGTTCACAGGAAGCTGATGCACTGCATCGCATCAAGATGCAGGAGAGCATTGAGGAGGAAAGATCCATTGCCAGACGCCAGTCATCACATCTACTATCTCCCACCTCTGATCGTCCACGGTCGGGCCTGAGTGGATCCGTGTTTGCCGGTACACCAGGCTCATCTCCTCGCCATAGAGCTGTGGAAAGTCACCATTCTCACCAGAGTGTGGGTTCTGACGACGACGACAACGACGACGACGATGATGGAGATCTAGAACTGGAGAAGGTAAGATTCTGTAGGAGTGTAACCATCACACAATGGAGTGCATCAATATACATGAACTATCCAGTGCCGCACGCTCTCATGAAAGCCAGGCCATAGTCTCCCCTGTGCTTTACACCCCGGACATTACTTCAAACAACCTGGAACGTGACACTTCACGTGGGCGAGGTTGGGAAGGGGTGAGAGGCTGGATGAAGTGTGTGCATGTGTGTGTGTGTGTGGGGGGGGGGGGGGGGTAGGGGGAGATACAGCTTATATACTGGTGTGGGGGTGGGGGGGGGGGGGGGGTAGGGGGAGATACAGCTTATATACTGGTGTGGGGGTGGGGGGGGGGGGGTGAGGTAGGGAGAGATACAGCTTATATACTGGTGTGGGGGTGGGGGGGGGGGGGGGTGGGGGTAGGGGGAGATACATCTTATATACTGGTGTGAGTCTGACCCTATGGTACGCGGTAGAACAAACTGCGTAGCGATCTCTCATACCTGCTTTTAGAGTAATGCAAATTCTAACAAATGGCAGAAGTGTTCATTCTCGATGTTCCTCGCTTCCTACCATCCAGTTGTCTGGCCTGTATGTTGTTTTCAGGCTGCAGCAGCACATGTCAGGAGTGCATTGAATACCACCGATGGCCGGCATTCATCCATGCTGGAACACCGTATACCCAGGGCAGTCATATCACCCACTGCTTCGGGCATGTCCTCCGAGATCAGTGTATCGGTGGCGGATGAGAAAGGTGAACGGTTGAGGGTTGTGCTGTGTGTATGAGTAGGTAGACTGCTGGACCAAGTCACAAGTACAACAAAACTCTTAAGTGTTTTTTGATCGTGATGATAACTATTGTACAAACCGTGGCAGAGCTGAATGCAGTTTACCACATTGAAAGATGCATTCAGTCTGAATAATGCCAGCTTCCATACTGGAACATGATGATGATTGTGCGATTCACTAGTTCACATTTGCAGCATAGAACACGTGGAGATCAGTACGGTCATGCCAGAGTATTCATGTACCTTGCTCTGTTCATTGTTTGCAGCTCATCTTGATGACGACATTGCCGATTCGAGTGGCAGCACCGGAAATATTCTACTAGAGGGAATGATGTCAAGTAGCCAGTCCACCAACCCACTAATGGCCTCCACCCCGCTCCGCCAACACAACACACTGACGCAGCGGCAGCAAGACGCAACTCTAACCAGCCCATTTGCATTTGGTACGTACTAACAAATATTCACTGGTTAGAGGGAAAGACGCAAACGGGGAAAGTCTGAAAAAACTATTGACTGTCACCACCAGGATTCGAACCAGGGACCTTCGCTTGAGGCAAGCGATGCTCTAACCACTGAGCTAAGGTGTAGCCGGCATCTCAGCAGAGACCGTTCACACACGTGTGCTTAATTTCAATAGTGGCATTCTGTGCAGCATATCCTGGCATTTGCCACTCCATGTGCTCTCTCCATTGCTCCATTGTTTTGTCTGACTTATAATCAGGGGACACATCAATTCTATCACCTCGTCACAAGGAAACTGTTCGTGGCTTACAAAGCCAGTTGGATCAGGCGAAGCGAGACCTACAGGCCAGCCAGAACGAGAGTGAGCAGCTGAAGTTCAAACTTACTGAGGCCAAGAAGTAAGTGACAATGCTGTGTTTGTGTGTGTGTGTGTGTGTGTGTGTGTGTGTGTGTGTGTGTGTGTGTGTGTGTGTGTGTGTGTGTGTGTGTGTGTGTGTGTGTGTGTGAGTTTGGACTAGTTTCGGCTCGACAATCCAGTGTGTCGTTACTATAATAGCTTTCATGGCTGAGGTTGTTGGTATGTCTGTTGGCTCTGGGTATCCAGTACTCTGTAGCCGAGGCTGGTTGGTAAAGTAACTCCAATTTCACTTCAAGGTACCAGTGCATCTATTGTCTGCTTCTATCAAAGCAGCGTGCTGTCTATACTGGTTACCCCAGCAAGTGTAGGGTGTGCATAGGTAACTGTCTTGGCCGTTTTATGCCGATGTACTCCGTGTGGTGTAGACCAGGTGTGCATTGGTGGTCGATTCACATGGCTTCGCCAGTTGTGTGGATTAGACAGTTATCTGGCGCAAGTCTTGATCTACCTCATTCAGATCTTGTTCGCTATCGTTGCTATAAGAGAAAATCTGTGGGTGCACATCCAGTGCATTTGCAGATTTGCGTGCTTCTCTTGCGACGGGCGTATACATGGTACATGGTTCATGGTGTGTGTGTGTGTGTGTGTGTGTGTGTGTGTGTGTGTGTGTGTGTGTGTGTTTCTACTAACACCGGCTCACATTGTCACGATACTGCATGATTGGGTTGTTTAGGACTGTGACGTGCCCTCCTGTGTGTGTGTGTGTGTGTGTGTGTGTGTGTGTGTGTGTGTGTGTGTGTGTGTGTGTGTGTGTGTGTGTGTGTGTGTGTGTGTGTGTGTGTGTGTGTGTGTGTGTGTGTGTGTGTGTGTGTGTGTGTGTGTGTGTGTGTGTGTGTGTGTGTGTGTGTGTGTGTGTGTGTGTGTGTGTGTGTGTGTGTGTGTGTGTGTGTGTGTGTGTGTGTGTGTGTGTGTGTGTGTGTGTGTGTGTGTGTGTGTGTGTGTGTGTGTGTGTGTGTGTGTGTGTGTGTGTGTGTGTGTGTGTGTGTGTGTGTGTGTGTGTGTGTGTGTGTGTGTGTGTGTGTGTGTGTGTGTGTGTGTGTGTGTGTGTGTGTGTGTGTGTGTGTGTGTGTGTGTGTGTGTGTGTGTGTGTGTGTGTGTGTGTGTGTGTGTGTGTGTGTGTGTGTGTGTGTGTGTGTGTGTGTGTGTGTGTGTGTGTGTGTGTGTGTGTGTGTGTGTGTGTGTGTGTGTGTGTGTGTGTGTGTGTGTGTGTGTGTGTGTGTGTGTGTGTGTGTGTGTGTGTGTGTGTGTGTGTGTGTGTGTGTGTGTGTGTGTGTGTGTGTGTGTGTGTGTGTGTGTGTGTGTGTGTGTGTGTGTGTGTGTGTGTGTGTGTGTGTGTGTGTGTGTGTGTGTGTGTGTGTGTGTGTGTGTGTGTGTGTGTGTGTGTGTGTGTGTGTGTGTGTGTGTGTGTGTGTGTGTGTGTGTGTGTGTGTGTGTGTGTGTGTGTGTGTGTGTGTGTGTGTGTGTGTGTGTGTGTGTGTGTGTGTGTGTGTGTGTGTGTGTGTGTGTGTGTGTGTGTGTGTGTGTGTGTGTGTGTGTGTGTGTGTGTGTGTGTGTGTGTGTGTGTGTGTGTGTGTGTGTGTGTGTGTGTGTGTGTGTGTGTGTGTGTGTGTGTGTGTGTGTGTGTGTGTGTGTGTGTGTGTGTGTGTGTGTGTGTGTGTGTGTGTGTGTGCCCACAGGTCTGCTGAGGACAATGCAAAGATGAAAACAACTGCTGAGCACACACGCATGGATGGAGACTTGAAATTGAGAAATCTGATGTAAGATAATATGATAATTCTCTTACCAGCGATATATTATATCGGTTAAGTTGCCTTTCATATAACCCACGGTGCAGGTTAAGGACAGTATGTGTGTGGGTGGGTGTCTATCTAAAAAGATTGTTGGTAAGCTCGTTGCTTTCTGTAGTTGAATGACAGGTGTAATGTGTGATGTTAAAGAGAAATCAAAAACAACTCCTACAGGTGTCCGGTGTTGCTCACTAAAATCTGCTTGTGTGAGTCCGAGTCATGAGCTGCTTGTGTGAGTCCGAGTCATGAGTACCAGTCACTGTACAGTCGCAGACTTGCCAACACTGGGGTGTGCACTGGTGCAGGGTGAAAACTTACCAGTACTCGCAACTCGCCAGCCTGGATTTCATTGTGCTCGCCTATACTTGACCCACTGTGCATACTGCCACAGTGTCTCTCATTATGATCATATAGTATGGGAGTGTCCCATGGAGTGCAGTCACTTCACCACGGATTTGTTGACTTGTTTTGTGTGCATTCCCACCAACGCTCCATTGCCTGAGTATTAAGATGAGTTGCTTCTTCCTACCTGTGTAGGTTCCAGTACCAGCAAGAATGCCAGGCGAAGGAGACAGCAGACGCACAGGTCAGACACTTACAAGAACATTCGCAGGAGCTTGAAGAGAAACTAGCCAGGTGAGAGGGGTTGGTTTGTTCAGTCTAGCTAGCATGGTGAAGTTGACGGGCGTTGACAGAAAGCTTGGTAAGCGAGGTCTGCTCTCGGACATTGCTTATATGTATAGGATATTGACCTCGACTTCGGTCTATATGGGAAATATAGGCCGAGTAAAAGACTGAAGTCCGTATCACGATTCCTTTGCCGTAACCCCAAAACTTGATTCTTTAGGAGCTATTTTAACCTTTTTAGATAGCATTTGTACTATAGTGTACATAGGATGTTGCCTATTTTGGGTACAAGACTGTAAGAACAACAGGGTTCAGGTTCTCAAGCACAATGGGTGGGTGGTATAAGGGGTTGCTTGAGATTCATACTGTTGTGGGTTCGAATCCTGCTTGTTCTCTTTGTCTTCTTTCTTTCAAATTTTCTTTTTGAAGTGGAGAGAAAATTTCTAAGTCCCTCCAAAGTCGAAAAATTGCAATGCCAAAGTGGTCGATACAAGCGGTCGATACAAGTGGTCGATATTACGGCGATATGGGTAATATAGGACCAGTCAAGATCACAAGAATTAGTGGAGGGCGATATAGAAGAGTGATCAAGTACAATACACAGGCACGCATGTACGTACGATGTTTGTTTGACCTTTTGAGCACGGAACCACACAAAACGCCTGTAGCGGAGGCAAAATTGGCCGCTAAATTTTCAAAATCCTGATATGGCTTTGAACTGTATTGCAAATGATTCCTGGACATATACCTGGCTCAAAACTGTTATTTGTTTATGAAATCCGCCAAACACTTCCAAAGTTATGGCCAAAATAGTGGAGGCACTTTTACGGGAAAAATGCAAGATTGTGAACTATGTGCACTACGATTACGAAACTGCTTGTAGTTCCGTTGAAATCGTATACACTAAGACAGAATAGCTGCAACTCCACTCCACAACAGTACTAATGCTGTTCATAATCGTATTGAGTGTGATAGATGCCAAAACAAGGTGCAGCACATAATCCAGGTTGCCCTGTACACTGGAGGTAGCAATGGCGTCGGTCTTTGCGCACTCCTCGTGCCCAACAAACAACACAGCGCTTCTGAGGCTGAGCCTTGGACTGTGTCACAGGAATCTCAGAAGGATGGTGGCGTTCTGTCAGCCTGGCAATTCCTTGCTGAGGAGGAGCAGAGCCTACTGGAGCTGCTGCAACAACATCAGGATGATGACCAGTGGCATGTGTAGGACCTGGCGGCATTGCTGGCACCCCTGCTACTGGTGCTGTGGCAGCTGCTGCTTGACGTCGCTCCTGGATGCCTTCAGCAAGCAGCTCATTCATGGCAGTTCGAATAAAATCATAGTGTATTTATTGCCACCGGCCTTGCTGTACAATATGTAGGCATTCAGCACTCCCTCCTCTATGACGTGTGTGGCCAACGTTTTATACCACTTTGCGGTTTTTCGCGCTGCAGTATAAAAGGACAGCATGGCATCATTGCGGTCGACGCCACCCATGTGCCGGTTGTAGTCAACCACTAGCTGAAGCTTCTTGACAGCTTTGCCATCCTTGTCGCGCTTTCCTGTCAAAGTGACGTTGGCCTTATGAAGAGTGGTCAGGAACATCACTTCCTTGGTGTCTTGAAGCTTCAGGACAAGGATGCCTTGGGAGCTGCGGTATGTAAATTCACCTTTCTTTAGCTGCTTGTAGCCAGTGAGACGCTTCGGCAGACCAACTCGGTTCTTGCGGACAGTGCCACAGACAGCAGTGTGGTGTCATGCTGCGTACTTGGCTAATGGCACGCTCAAATACCAATTATCCACGTAAAGGTGGTATCCTTGGTTCTCAAGCGGTGTCATCAGCTTCATAACCACAGCACCAGATACACCAAGCTCCTTGACGATGTCTGGCATGAACGTTGTCTGGTCCTTTCCAACATACACAATAAAAGTATGCATGTATCCACTATCCTCGCAAAGAGCATATATCTTGATGCCAAAGCACGCTCTCTTCTACGGTATATACTGTCACAAGCCGAGTTTCCACTTCCATGCCACCAGCTCCTCATCGATTGAAATATTTTTACTAGGCGTGTACACCTCTTGGAAACGGCTGACAAACAGGTCAATGCCATGAGTGGGCGCACTTTGCGAAGCTTGTCAGTGGCTGTCGTAGGGTCATCATGGATGGCGAAATGCAGGAACATGAGGATGCTCATCCACCTGTCTCTCTTCATCGCGGCGGAGAAAGAAGGGGTAGCGATCAGACCATCCTTACTCCAATACTGATCAAACAATGGCTTCCAGAGACTGCCAATAGTTAGATACAAAGCCATGATAATTTCATCTCGGCAACAGTCACAGACTTCCAGTTTCGAGGCAGAGCACGGGGTGCCATGGCTTGTCTTGTATGACGCCTACGCATCCCCACAGTTGCTGTGCAGCAACCCAGAGTCGTCCAGCACAGCGGAAGCATGCACAGATCGACTTGCTTTGCCATTCTTTCACTACGTAATAATAGGTCACGTGTAGCAGCAGTCACGGACACTCTGCGTGACGTAATAATAGGTCATGCGTGCTCAAAGGGTTAAACAACAAGCTAGTATTGTATTAGTAGTGGCTAGGAATGTCTTTGAGGCAATGAGCATTTGCTCCTGTTCGTCATGTGCATGTGTGTGTGTGTGTGTGTGTGTGTGTGTGTGTGTGTGTGTGTGTGTGCATGTGTGTGTATGTGTGTGCGCATGCTTGGCTGTGTGCATGTGCAGTGATATTGAGATTCGTCACAGTGCTGAGAGCACATGTCGGCAACTGGAGATGGAGAAAGGATTGTTGCAGGCACAATTGGAGCAGGTAAGACCGGTCGTGCTGAAACTATGAACATTCCTAGCAGTATCATGATGTACTGTGGACATTCTGTCTTGTGCTATTGTTGCATGCATAGCCCTGACCTCTAAAATCTGAGACATGACTGGCATACTATGACTTTCACACATACTGTATGTCGACAAATTTTCGGCCCATTCAAATTTCGGCCTCCCAGGGCTAAAACCCGTTTCGGCAGCATCAATTTTTCGGCCTGTACTGCTGCCGCCTGTATACACTGTCACACTGAACCTTGCAAAACGAAATTTCGGCTGCAACAAATGTTCAGCCAAACATGACCAGGCCGAAAATAGCCGAAAATAGATATGCACCGAAAATTTGTTGACTGACAGTATTCTACTGTGGTGCTCTGTGCTGCTCTGTGTTGCTCTGTGGTGCAGATGGAATCAAGACTCAGTGTCAGCCGGGAGGAGATCAGCCAAGAGAGGAATTCCAAAGAGCTTCTCAAGGAACTGCTGGAGCAGCACAAGGCTCACCAGGGAGCATTGCAGGAGGTTGGTAGCTTTCAGCACATTCAACAGTGCAGAATTACATTGCACGCATTGTGGTCATCATGACCTGTATGAGTGGGGGGGGGGGGGGGGAGAGACAGTGGAGACAGTGGAGTGGAGTGGATAGTGGGGAACTGGCAGTGGAGACTGGAGTGGAGCGGACAGCGGGAAAGTGACAGTGGAGACAGTAGAGAAGTATGATGTTTTCATGGATGCCTCCATTTCTGATTAACCTCGGGCTATTTTCTGAACTGTCTTTCTTGTATTGTCATGCAGGAAGCTACACAAGCAACCCGTGTGAAGGTATGTAACACTACACCTGCCTTCAATATGTGTGGGTTCAAGTTTGATTTGCCTAAGGATAAATTACAATTTTTTCCCGTTTGATTTGCCTAAGAATGTATTACAATTTTTAAATTGACAATGGAAATTTTTGGGAGCGTAATGTAACCCACGGTGCACTGCACTAATATACCTGTAGTGTTTGTTAGGAGCACGCTCACTAGCATAAGCCGCACGGTAGAAACAAGAGACTGACTGCTTACTAGTAAGAGATTGTGTAGAGCGTGAAACTCCCGCTGCCGAGTTCCACAAGTATAAGTTTCCTCCCCCCCCCACTGTATGTAAGGAATTTCGTACACGGTTTCAACTTTGATTGTTGCAGCTTTCCACCAGGGACATATTCTTGGCACTTTTCTACATTAGTTGTTGCCATTCATAGTCTGTGATAGCCATTCTGCGCTCTTGGCTGGAAATGTTCATGTAATTGTGTGATGTGTTTATCTAAGGCAGGAACGGTTGAACCTGATGAAGATGTCCATACAGTACAACCTGGTTTTAGCGACCACCCCACGGTGCAGCCAAAGGGGTCGTTAAAGCCAGGTGGTCTTTAGAACCAGGTCCCATACATTGGTGGCATATTGGATCTTGTACGTAGGTGTGCATAATTGTACTTAGATGTACTCATATTGACAGGTGTGGAGCATAGAATATTTTCATGCGAGCAAAGCACACCTCACTCAAGTGCATGCAGCGCATCCTGCACTGTCACTTGTCACTTCTGTTGACTGCATGCATGCACTTCAAGTGCTTCGGTCATTCAGAGCACACTTCAACCCTGTTGCTGTCAGCCCTGCCAGTCAAGCTGGCACTTTTGGTCGCTCTGTGCAGGTCCAATGTGGCTCTTGGTACAGTAAAAGTCAGTCGCTGGTCGTGCAAGGCAGGTGGTCGGTGTATCCGGTGCAGTTTCTGTGTAGAGCTGTCCGTGCATGGAAAAACTGTCGTCAAAAGCAGGTGGTGGCTAAAACCAAGCTTTACTGTATATTGCATACTACTATTCCTTGCCTGCATGCAGTCTGAGCTTTCAGCAGTAATGGAGGCAGCAGGAAGGGAGTGTCGTGAGCTGAAGGATAAGCTGGCTGTTCAACAATCACAACTCGAATTAGCCCAGGTAGGGTTAGGTTAGCTGAGCAATGGTAAGCGGGCACACATGATTACAGAAAATAATCTGAACACCATGGGTGATAATATTCACTACTAGAATCTCCAAAGAAATCCAATGTGTCTGGAGCAATTGGAATGGCAATGATGAGCACATTGAGAAGGGTGGGCCTGTTAGATGATGGCTCCTGTGACTGATGTTCATGGTGTTGCTGATCACACTTTGGCCACCGGTACTGCTAGGCATGTTTGAAACCCACAGTGCCAATCATGACTCTACTTAAGTTAGTCCTTACCATATGATATAGTCAGACAGTGGCCATAGCGTGGAAGAGGGTCGGCATGCTCATGTGCACACTCATTGCTTGCTCCATTGCTCATTCTCCCTGGTTTGAGCACACTCATTGCTTGCTCCATTGCTCATTCTCCCTGGTTTGAGCACACTCATTGCTTGCTCCATTGCTCATTCTCCCTGGTTTGAGCACACTGTAACCGCTAGTACCATGAGCTACACAGTGTGCACCAGGCTGTGGCTCTTGTCCCCGCAGCAGCGGCTAGCGGTTTGGTCCCATTTAGCTCTCGTATTTGCACTAGCCAGATCTTATTATTGGGTGACACAGTTCGCTGTCTAGAGCATTGTGGTACCGAAACCCTATGTACACAGTCATGTGTATGTTGACATTCCGGTGTTCTGAAATTGTCCACAGGCTGAGCTAGAGGTGGCACAGCGTCACAACGAGGAGCTGTCGACCACACATGAAGTAGACCTAGAGGAACTGAGGGATGTGCTCCATGAGAAAGCCGAGGCACTGGTAAGATGGTTGAACATATGGCAACACCCCCCCCCCCTCCCCCGTACACACATCCACACGCCGCACGCGCGCGCACACACACACACACACACACACACACACACACACACACACACACACACACATACACACACACACACACACACGTATGTACGCACACACACACGCATGTACGCACACACACATACATACATACACACACACACGCACACACGCACACACACACATGCACACATACACACACACACACACACACACACATGCACACACACACACACACACACACACACACACACACACACACACACACACACACACACATGCACACAGGCACCAAATAGAAAAGAGTACAGTTAAAACTTAAAACTGTCCCAGAGTGTGAAACTCGGAGTTGTTACTTTAATTTTCCTCTCTCTCCCTACTGTATGATTACAGCTATAAATATACAGAACTATTACGATAAGATAGGTGTGTTAGAACTGAGAAGGTGTACCTAGTCATCAGAGGTGCCCCTAAGCAGGGTATATGCGGCCTTCCAGAATCACTGCGTTCCATTTATTTACAGAGATACTGGTGGCAACAACTTGAAGCGGTACGTCCAACACCGTGGTTACCGTGACGCCGCCAGTGCTCCTGTGAGAGCTGTAGCAACCGGTTACCGTGGCGTCGCCAGTGCTCCTGTGAGAGCTGTAGCAACCTCTTCTCTAACCCTGTAATATGCTTAGTAGTAGCCTCGAATGTGTGTACTGTTCATTCTGGCGAGGATTGATTCTCTCAATCTATTCTCCAGAATCTAGTGGAGCAAACTGTGTCACAGGAGAGGCTGTCCCATCAGCTAGAAGTGCAAGGGATTGAGAACAAGCTACAGCAAGTCACAGTCCAGCTGGAATCCACCCAGAGTCAACTCAAAACTCACCAGGACGAGGTACGATTGATTGTGTGATATGGTGTAGGCCATGCAAATGTGTACAAAAAGGCGGTTGTGTATTCCATGCGGATATGAATGTGTGTAAGCTTTACCTGAATTGAGACTACGCACTACGAAGAAAAATACAGCCACCCCTTCTACTTCAAAATCCACATGGTTTCATGTGTGTGTAGTGCTTGGAGTTGTGAACTCGAATTTGAATGTTGCTTTGTAAATCTGCAGATCCGGGCTGCTGAGTTGCAGTTAGCTGAACGTAATGGACAAGTGGCTTCTATGAGCAAGGAACAAGAGTTACGGGGCCAGTCCTCCAAAGATACCGAGGAGCAATTGCGCAGGAAGGTGGTAAGTTCATTCAACAAACTCCACCGCCATTCCTTGTTGCCTTGTCATGTGAAGATGTTTTCATTGACGGCAGCAACAAAGTATTACATCGCAAATTCTTTTATTGACTCGCCACACCTCTGCTACTGTTTACTGATGGGAGTGTGCGTGGGCTGTGTGTGTGTTTCTCTGTTATCCTCTTCAAGGAATTGCATGACCGAACACTGGCTGAGGTGTCTTCCCTGAAGGAAAGGTGATTGTTGTTTGTGTTGCCTTTATGCTGGGTATTCAAGTTCAGAAAGCAAACACTGCCTGCAGAGAATCTGGCATGGACATGACGTTTGTTGCTAGCTGCGTAGACATTATGCGCAAACATCTGGACAGGTTTTGAGGTGTAATGTTGTCTGACATGTCAGATTGTTGACACTTTGCAGATCAATCCCTCCATGTTGTGCGCAAGTATTCCAAGGTGCAATTTAGATCTAGAAAATGATACACAGTCAATCTCATGAATAATATCCTCAGTTATGGCAGCAACTCGTGAATAACAACACTCAGTTATGACAGCAACTCGTGAATAACAACACAGTTTTCTCATGGTCGATTGAGGGTAGCTATTTGCAAGGTTGACTGTACAATGTTATTCTGATCTTATGTATTTCTTTACTATAATTGCTTAGGGTGTCTGCTGCTGAGGCAGAGGTGGTTCTGCTGCGCTCTCATAACCAGACAGCCAACAAACAACTACGTGAGCGAGAGCGTGCTGGAGCGGAGGCCCAGGTAAGAGCTTCCTTCAAGCATCGTGTGAAGTACTGTAGAGTTTCCGACGGTTGGCTTGCTCCCTGTAGAATTACCGTTCCTTGTCTATGCACTATTTGTGAGAGAGCATCAGCATAACATTATGTCACCTTTATGTGCCACGATACGATATTGAATCGGTGCACACACACACACGGCTGTGTGCAATACATGCCATCCTAGCCCAGCACACAATATAGTGTTGGATGGAAGAGTGCAGGCTCAAGCCAGTATGACCAGCATGATGTCTCCTACTGGACTCACCAAATTTTCTTCACATGCTGGTCAGATCATAAAGAACACTCGAACAACCACCACACTTGCATTTCGACATGGAAAACAGGATGCCTTCATCGAATACAAGGCCGGGGCAGGGGTGATTGAAAAAATACAAGACCGTCTCCGATTAGAAGACCGGGCCTACTAAATGAGTCTAGTAGACCGTGCTCAAACTGTGGGGAAAAATAGAAACCATGCTCAAACTGTGTAGAAGAAAATGGAAGAACGGGGGTAAAACTGTGTGGCGAAAAATAGAAGACCAGGGTCAAACTGGGTTGAAAGAAGTTGTATTTCTCGCCGGCCGAGCGCAGCGAGATAGGCGAGAAATGATTTCTCGCGAAATATTTTCAGTTGCAAATATGGCATCTGGTGTGTTCTTTGTTGTCGCTTCTTTTCCTGACTTCTTCAGTCAGTTTTGAGTCTCACCAGTGTGGACCGGTTTTTTCGATCTCCGTAGGATTTTCCTTGAACGAACTTCTTTGTCAGGATCCCTCGACCATAATGCTTCTTTCTCAGCGCCTTTGACATCCCCTCCGATCACATCGTCGTCGGCTACCCCCGCGTCCCCCGAATCGCCGTCTTCGCCATCCAACTGACCAACATCCGAGGCGTACAGGTCCCCTGCGTGACGGAATCTGACACGACCCGTGGAAAGCCAGCAGTTGAAACCGCAACACCCACAGGACAAGATCCAGGAGCTGAGGACATTGTCTGGAACGGGCCTCAACCCCAAACTCCAGCAAACAAAACCCTCGCTCATACTCGTAGCCAAAAATGCTGCGAACAACAGTGTGAACAAAAAATCGAACTGTTCGCAACCAAGGACGGCGCCAAGCCCCATGTCCGTGCAAGACACCAGCAAGGCGCTATGTCATCCATCGACCATCGCGCGAGCCTGAGATACACATGAAACAAACTTCTGAGAATTGCGGAGGAAAAGTTTGGAATGTTGTAGTGATGATTTGATGCTGATGATTACGCTGCACGCAAAACAGGCAGGACGAAGAAACCATGATGCCATCTCCAGCAAAATCAATGACCACTGCAGTACCTACAGTAGCCTACAGCCGCAGCTGCCACTGGGCAATCAGCCATCGCCAGCCGCGAGATCACGAGGCTAGATGACGGATCGTGGCTGCCGCCAGTGACTATCCAGATAAGTTGAATTTATTGTATGCTTTTTCTCATAGGTTTAACAGATTGGTGCCATAGTGTACTCCAGTCACCTCCGTTCGGGCTTTGTTGCGGTCGTGAATGAAATTACTTGTTTCTGTACTCAAAGCATCCTATTATAATGGAGATTGTCTCTCCCTTTCTCTTCCTCCGGCACGCACCAAATCATTCGGTAACGAGAGTAGCGCCGCCAACCATGCCGGATTTGTATATGGTGGTATAAAGTGCTTTCTTACGTGTAGGTGGTCAGGCGTAGTTGTACAATCGAATAAGCTCCAGATTATAGTAATCATTCGATTGCTTTACACCCCTACAGGCAATGTTTGCAATTCCAGTACTTTATGCGGGGTAGGGTACTACACTAGTTCCTCTTCCAGTATATCCATTGTACAGCGTCGGTGCATTATTTGTGCGTCCGTGGATGAATCTACAAATTCGCCTATGCGAAGCTAACTTTAGTAAATGCGCGTATGGCACACTGTGTGCTGGTGGCATAACTGTGTTTCGGAAGGAGTGTGCTGCGCATACTGTGCGGGCGGACAAGTCCTGCTGTATCTGTCTTACTGAACGCATTGTGCATTGTGCTATGTTAGATCGGTCCTGCCTGATGAGTGCATCGTGCACTGAGTGTCGGCTATGATTCCTGGTGTAACTGTCCTAATTGACAAGCACATTATGCGCTGTGTGGTAAAACTGTGTTTCTGGATGAGTGTACTTCGCATAGCGTGTTGGTGGACATGTCCTGGTGTAACTGTCTTTCTGGATGAACGCATCGTGCGATGTGCTATCCCAGACCTGTCTTACGTGATGAGTACATTGTGCGCTGAGTGTCAGTGTTGATTCCTGGTGTAACTGTCTGAATTGACGAGCACATTATGCGCTGTGCAATGTCATATGAGTCCCGATAGAGCTGTCTCACCGAAGGAGTGCATCGGGAGCTGTGCGATGTCCAACGGATCCCGGTATGTCTGACTGGAAGAGTGCATTGTGCTCTGCGAGGTGACGGTGGATGCCCAGTATAACTGTCTTACTGGAAGAGTGCATTGTGCACTGCGAGATGATGGAGGATTCCCAGTATAACTGTCTTACTGGAAGAGTGCATTGTGCGCTGCGAGATGATGGAGGATTCCCAGTATAACTGTCTTACTGGAAGAGTGCATTGTGCGCTGCGAGATGACGGAGGATCCCCAGTATAACTGTCTTACTGGAAGAGTGCATTGTGCACTGCGAGATGACGGTGGAGGCCCGGTATAACTGTCTTACCGGAAGAGTGCATTGTGCACTGTCCAATGCCAGCCGAACCCCTCTAGATCTGTCGCCCTGGATGAGTGTGTTCTACACTGTGCGACGCCAGATGAGTGCCCATATAACTGTCTCACTGGATGAGCGCCTTATGCACCGTACAACGTAAGGCACTTACACCCCGGCAGTGTCCGCCACCTCCCAATATCAATGTCTTACTAGTTGACGTATTGTGCAATGTACGATGTCAGTTTTGTCTCTGTACGATTGTGTCAAAGAATGAGTGCATTACGCCACGTACAATGTTGGGTTGAGTCCCAGTAGAACGGTCTTACCGGATGTACGTATTGTTTACCGAAAGTTATAATGTCGATTTCCAGTATCATTGTGTCTCATTGGAGGAGTGCTTGCATACTGCGTGGGGTCAGTTGTGTCCTAGTCAAAATGTCTTACTGGAGGAGTTCATTCCAGTCTTATTCGCTCATCAGATTGTGTACTATACAATGTCAGACGGGTCCCCGCAGAACAGTCTCTATGGGTGCATTGGGTACTGTGTAATGTCCGCCACCTCCCAATATCAATGGCTTACTACATGTAGTTGACGTATTGTGCAATGTGCGATGTCAGTTGAGTCTGTATGATCGTCTCGATGAATGAATGCGTTCGCCACGTACCATGTTGGACGGGTCCCAGTAGAATGATCTTACCGGCTATACGTTTCGGTCACCGAGAGTTAAATATTGAGTTCCAGTTTCATTATCTGTCCTATTAGAGGAATGCCTTGCATACTGTGTGGTATCAGCTGTATCCCAGTAAAAATGTCTTACTGGAGGAGTTCATTCTGTACTGTGCGAAGTCAAAATAGTCCCACTGTACCAGTCCGATTGGACAGGTGTTGCATGCACTTTGCAAATTCGGATCAGGCCTAACTTACTGGATTCTTGCATAGGCTCTGTGTGTTCTGTGTGAGGCCTGGCGGCACTGTGTGAATATTCCTGGATTAATTCCAACAATTTTATGCTGTGCATTTAAATCATGCCGGCCCTATCGGGTTTCACTTGTCCCGAGTCTGTTCGTGGTACAACCCTGTACATGATTCTTGCTTCCAGATGACTTACTCTGCTGTTCTGTGTGCTTTTCCTGCTTGTTCTTTCTCCTTTCTCTTCTCTACTCCCTGCTTTAGAGTACTTCAGGGGTTGGCTATGGGAGGATTGATCCTGTGCAGCCCAAACTGAACCGATATATCTGCTATCTGTGATCTTTATAGTCGCCACCTGCTGTTCAGTCAGGGTTGAGAATCAGATGCCTTGTTCATGTGCACTGCGTGGACGTATCACTATCAAGTCCTGGCTGGCCAGTTCCTGACACCTGAACTACTATAGACACCCTACATGCTCTCACACTCAGTTTGGTGGGTGGTTCCTCAGCACTGAACTGGGACGTACTGCACCAGATCAGGGTGCTAGGTCCTTGGACTTTGAGAAACTTTGTGTAGGTCATAGCCTACTCGTTTTGTCCCGTACTCTCTCTCTGTCAGTCTTCCTGTCTTGTTTGCATCTCTCTGCCTTCTTTCTCGTTTTCGCCGCGCTATGCTTTTTCTGAGTCACATCTGGCTGCGGCCAACTACCCTTCACTTTGTGTGTTGTCGCTATTGCTGTCTATGTCTCTGTGTATGCCAGTATATGTGGAGCGAGAAGTTGTATTTCTCGCCGGCCGAGCGCAGCGAGATAGGCGAGAAATGATTTCTCGCGAAATATTTTCAGTTGCAAATATGGCATCTGGTGTGTTCTTTGTTGTCGCTTCTTTTCCTGACTTCTTCAGTCAGTTTTGAGTCTCACCAGTGTCCCTGCCCTCCCACCCTTTATTTCTGTGCATATTATCAATGCTTTTTATCACTGTTTGCCGTGATGTGCTTGCCAGGCCTACATGATGCCTAATCGCCATTGGGGATATACACCCGGTTTTTTCCCTCACAAATGCGTCCGTCGGCGCGAGGGTTTTTTCCCGGCTGGCTCGGTCCAGGAAAATTAATCTGACGGTCCCAAGTGGTTCTGCATCATGGCCTATTTCTGCTATCCACTGGCACGACTATTCTATCTGAGACACTCTGTTCTCAGTCCTTGCTTGCTTCCATACCTCACTCGTTATCTGGTTCACATCTGGCTGCGGCCAACTACCCTTCACTTTGTGTGTTGTCGCTATTGCTGTCTATGTCTCTGTGTATGCCAGTATATGTGGAGCGAGAATAAAAGACCGTCCTCGAATACAAGACCGTCCTCAATTATAAGGCCGGGTTAGGACGAGCTTGAAAAAAATAGTAGACCTGCCTACTATTTGCGGAAATACGGTAGAGCCTTTCTGATCTTGACCGTAACCCGTAGGGTTGTACAGTACTATATCACATGTAAAGTACATGTATTGAAGTTATTGTGTTGCATACATGTACGCGTGCATGCACCCCGCCTTACTATACTAGGGAGATACCTCCACTGCCCACTGTATTGGTAGGGAGATATCTCCACTGCCCACTGTATTGGTAGGGAGATATCTCCACTGCCCACTGTATTGGACCGTGGAGGTATCTGTTTTTGGGTGAAGTATTGGGGCACCTTTCTATTTGGCATGGATTGCAGAATTTCTTCACTACTGTAAAACGACAAACTTTCGCGACCGATTAACTTTCGCGACTTTCGCGAGCAGGGTCGAATCGCGAAAGTTCGACACGCGAATATGAAATTTGTACTATTACGTACTACGCGATGCGTCGATGATCGATCGTTTTGCAACAAATCTGTACAGTACATGCGCATACATCACTCACTGCACTGACTGTACATTCACAGCACTGATCGATGCTTGTACGGCCGGCTATGTCCAACCAAAGCGCGCAGCTGTTGCAACGACGGGTTACGTACCAACACCAGTCTTGCAAGTAACAAACATTAGTTGTCGTTGGAGTACGGTGACTTGAACCACAAGAGAATAAAACGATCGACTGGAGAATGTCTCAGTGTTGTGGAGAGTGTTGTTGAACTTCTTGGAGCGTTTGGCCAGCTTGCTGTTGCGTAGATTTTAGTGTTGTACTGCTCGAAGAAGTCTTCTGAATTTTATCGCGATGAGTATCGCAGTGGCTCAGCAGTTCGAAGAGAAAGTCTTCCGGTGATCCCTCTTCGAACGTGCCATCCTTTCTCCCAGTACTAGTACTTACCTTATGGTTCTCTTTGATGCCTTGATTCCTTCTTACATTCCTTGATTCCTTCTTTCATTCTTTGATTTCTTCTCTCATTCTTCATGCACTCTGCGCCCAGCACTCCGAGGCTTCGTAAAATAAAATTCTTTGATTTTCGGTGGAAAGTAAAAATCGCTAAAATTAATCGCCGCTAACTGGTCCAGTTTGCCAAAACGCTAAATTTAGCCGCCGCGAAAGTTTGTCGTTTTACAGTACTTTTAAACATGCAAGCACATTGCCTCTTCCTTGCCCGCTCCTCCTTCCCTCGCATGCATATACAGGGAATCAAAATGCTCAGGTAGCCGGGAGCCTCCTGGGCATGCTTGCAGGCATAAGTTTACTTATTGTCTCTTTTGTATTCTGAAACTGCAGCAAAAATTCACCGAGATGCTGAATTCTTGTCGGATGGATGCTGAGCGGGTACGTAAACAACAGTTGCTTAACCTTACCAAGCCTCGGTAAAGAAATACCACAGCGGCCTAGAAAGGCTTGAAACTCACCGGAATGACAGGTGACAAATATACTTCCTACTGCTGTACAGTGGAACTCACGTAGTACATACCCGGGGAAGACATACACCTGCTTAGTATGATCAGTTTTCTTCACACAGAGTTTCCTTCCATAGGCGCATATACAAATGTGTGCGGATACAACAATAAATTTGTAATCCGGGGAGTACTATGCCTCCTCTTGATCTGTTCTTTGCTGTTCGGAGGACTAAACTTATCCTGAGTATCTGAACATGGAGTTGCTACTGTGTGCCTCTACAGACTAAACATGAAGCTGATAGCCGCCAAGAGCATACCTATTCACAGCTCATGACGACCAAGGAGCAGCTAACTCGAAGCGAGAACGCCCTTCAGAAGCTGCAGCTTGATCTATCCACAGCCAACAAGGTACCACCAGTGCCCATGGTTAAGGCAACCCACAGTGCCCCATGCTTCCTTTGCGTCTGTGTGTGATACCTGTACCTCTGTGTTTGATACCTGTACCTCTGTGTTTGATACCTGTATCTCTGCTGTTCCACACTAATGCATGTGCAACATGTTTCTTGCAGGTTGGTTGGATGCTTGTTTGTCTGCTGTACTGGTTGCGTGTTTGTCTGCTGTACTGGATGCTTGTTTGTCTGCTGTACTGAATGCAGGATTATCGCCAGCTGTCTGAAAGAGAAGTTCAGCTCACAACGCTGCTCCAAGAGAAGACTAAGGTACAGTCGCATACGTCATTCAAACCTTGCAGGATGGTTCAGACGTACATACTAGGCATGGAACCACAGGGTTTGATGTCATAGCTGACACACACAGTCACACACACAGCACATTCGTGTGCACAGATACTAAATTAGTGGACGTCGTCATCTTCTTCCCGCTGGTCTCAAATGTACTATGACGTGCGATTTCGCCTGACGTTCCCACCATAGTGATTTTCCAGAAGTGCTTACCAGAAAATCATCTCGATGCCGTCAGTGTTTGTTGGAGAAAACTTCGGAATCATTGTAGTAGAATTGTGATTAAGGTCAGCATCATGTTACGCATGTACCTTCGAAGTACCTTCTCCTCCCTCCCTCTCCCTTCACCCTCCCCTTCTTTCCCCTCCCTCCTCTTTCCCTCCCTCCTCTCCCTTCATCCCGCTCTGCCATCCCCCCCCCCCACCATCCATCATAGCCGTGGTTGGTCAGTATCACCCTTGCACAAACTGCATGCCTTTGAAGATTCGGATAGTCCTGCAGAGTTGATTATTGTTGAACTAGACAGTAGCTTCACATGAGTAGTGTTATGGTATCAAGCAATGTGTGGCCAATGTGGTGCCTAGTACAAGCCCAGTTTTGCCGTCTGTCTCTTTCAGCAAATCACCGATGCGGAAGAGAAAGCGGTTCAGCAAGGAAATCACATCTCTGTGCTTTCAGATAAGGTAAGTTGGCACCTTTTTCTTCACTTCTGGAACACTGCCACCATAACGTTCTACACCTAGCTCTTACCCCCCCCCCCCTCCCCCCCTCCCATACTCATATTCGTCAAACATATGTCAGGACATTGTAGTGTGTTTTGCACCTGAAATCAGTGATATGCTTATTCAGCGAAGGGGATGTCTGGTTTGATTGGCACACAAACACACGCACACACAGACACACACGCACACAGACACATCACACAGACACACACACACACACACACACACACACACACACACACACACACACACACAAAATCAATGTACTTGCGCACATGCCCCCTCCCACAAACGTTCTCTCTCTCTCTCTCTCTCTCTCTCTCTCTCTCTGTGGGGTTTTGAAATCATGTCCAACCACTATTCTGTATGTACAATGGCTACTGCAGCTGAATGTGGTGCAACAAGAACTTGCAGCCACGTCTGACCGCGAACGACAACTTAGTGAGCAACTAGATGCAGCCGAGAAGGTTAGCGCCGACGTGAATGATCGTCTGCAGATGACCACCAGGGATGCGCTTGGAGTGGCAACAACCAAGGTACACTCAGGATAACACAGGGAATATCACATTTTGACAAATCAGACCTTCCTTTCCTTACCATAATTATGAGTTCATTGAAAAAGATAACGATGTGGTGGTGGTGGTGGGGGGGGGGGGGGTATATCAGCTTGGCCAGCCATTCGGCAGCCAAACACTCTCCACCTCTTCACAGGCAGGACCTATCTTGCATCTATTTTAAAGCTGATAGAGCAGGTCAAACTTTTAAAATCGTCCTGCCCTCCATTGTTTTCCACAATGCATGTTCCAAACTTTGGCACGAGTGGATCATTGGCATCCACAAACATGCTGGAGGGTCAGTGCCATTGCTAACCAAACTGTCCAATAGAAATAACGTTACTTGTGATCCTCTGTTGTACTTTTCCAACAATTTCAGAATGATCTTGAACAGGAGCTGTCCCACCAGAGTCAAGACAATGCTAGACTGATGCTCGACTTGAAGGAACTACAGAAGAAGTATGATGAAGTCACATCGGATGCGATCAGGATGAAAGAGGTCAGTATGTCGGCCAGTTGAACAGCTGCAGGAAATGTTTAGGTGTACGGCTGTACTCATACACAACTAGCCTGTAACAGCATGGTGATGCTCCAAGATTGAATTTGCACACATTATTACTGTGTCAACTCACAGAGCAACTGTGAGCAAGAACCATAGGCAGTGGTCTAAGAGAAATTGTATTCACTGCTGTAGTGGTTTTCCAGAAGTGCTTACCAGAAAATCGTATCGAAGCCAATCTTGTTGGAGAAAACTGCGGAATCAATGAGTGCAAGCCGGCAAAGCCGCAGGAGCATAGTGACTGGTTGGATGCATGGGCGACTGGGTAGCAGGGGAGCGCCTGAAAAGTAATTACTCTTAAGTGGGTAATAGGAAGCACGTCGTGCAGATGAAAATAACGTGCAGATGAAAAATAACGATAGCACTGACACCTGCCTCACTGCCAGTCAAACCTGACCACACAAAGATTGAGAAACAATGACAAGATGAACTGCGGAGCCATGTACCATGGCTGGTAAGGTGGAGAACAACACTGCAGAAGCACAGCCTGCATGAGCCCAACCTAAGAGGATATATGAATAGGCAGCGGTAAGTACCGTGAGCAGAAACAAAGACCATGATGGCAGGTTCTAAGGAGTTGAGTGCCCGGATAAGGAAGCATCACTGCCTTACCAATGATTGTATGGAAATCAGCTCTACCATGCTGAAGAGTTTGTGCTTGAAGTAGATACAGTTGACTCCACTTATAAACGAACTCACAAAAAGTGAACTTCGTAGCATAGCGAACCATTGTCCATGTGCCTGTTTGAATCCATAGAAAATGACCCTGGCCCAGAATCTGCAAAAACCAGGCTTAGGGTGAGAATGTCACAAAATGACTTCTTTTCATTTTCGACATCTACAGGATATTAGCTGTCAGAACACAAAGTTTTATGATTGTATCGCCAACAATAGTGGACCTATGGCCTCTTGAACGCATACAGGTATATTTACAAAAGCAGACACAAATACAGTGATATTGTAATTACAGGTAATGTTGTTAGTTATAGCTCTGAAACTAGCTGATGTATATGTCATTCCGTTGCAGCCGTGTCTTCTGCGGCTGAAGAAAGTTCAGGGCACGTGATGTCATGGCTTTCCTCATGGCAGAACTCCCGGATTTCTTTAAATAGATAGGCTGCACAGTCATGGGACATACCAGCTAGCTGGGCGGCAGGTGGCAACTGTGATGAATTAAAGCCAGTGTCACCGGATTTCCTGATCCTAAACGAAACGTCAGGATACTTGTTGGGGCCTGACATTGACACAACTCCAGGCCGAGCAGCTGATTCCTGAATTTTTGGTAAAATGTTATGTTTTTATCACGCTTGAAGTGATCCTTTAAAAAGGAATCCCAGGCTCGCCAATCCCAGTTGAAGCAGATGACTTCATTGACGCTGGCAGAATTGTTGACAACACTTGCCAGTTGTGCCACAGAATCTACATCGGACTTACGATAACACTGCTTCAGCAGGCCAAAGCCAGCACCAACAAACCACAGTGTGTGTCCCACACGCATGAAGTCTAGCTCGATTTCATGGTTCAGGCCAAGAATACGCGCCACGCTAAGTAGCCAAGAACAGTCTTGTTCTTGTTCTGCCCACCACAGTTGTCAGCATGCAAACCAAGATTAGCAAGAACCTTCGATCAATCAGGAAGTTGAGCTGAGCTGGAATGCCTTCGTCAGCTATGCCTTATAGCTGAACTCTCCTTGGGACCTTGAAATACAATGCCCCGGCTTGCCTTGCATGGTACGGTATTGAAGCCTGCTGGGCATAGTCAAAGGTAAGGTGGCGATAACTGAGAAAAGTGGCATCGCTGCCCCATGCGTTGGCTGCTGCTACCTTGGCATGAGCAATGCACGACCGGTAGAAGTCACGGGCATCCATAGCTTTGGTGACATGTCCGTCAGCTCCGATGAATCCGGCTCTCTTCAGTTAGGGGTCTGGATCTGCGGGATTGCAAGTCAGAACACCTGGCACACACATCTTCCCTGGGTTGCATGATGATAATGTCAGGACATGATGCTACCCAAACTCTGAGGAAGGAGACATATGACATGGAGCCACTAGACTGCAGGAATTGGCCATGAATCAATTTCTTTGTAACACGGCAGGGCAAGTATATCGGTACGGGCTTATTGTGGGCTCTGGGCTCTGGGCTCTGGGCTCTGGGCTCTGGGCTCTGGGCTCTGGGCTCTGGGCTCTGGGCTCTGGGCTCTGGGCTCTGGGCTCTGGGCTCTGGGCTCTGGGCTCTGGGCTCTGGGCTCTGGGCTCTGGGCTCTGGGCTCTGGGCTCTGGGCTCTGGGCTCTGGGCTCTGGGCTCTGGGCTCTGGGCTCTGGGCTCTGGGCTCTGGGCTCTGGGCTCTGGGCTCTGGGCTCTGGGCTCTGGGCTCTGGGCTCTGGGCTCTGGGCTCTGGGCTCTGGGCTCTGGGCTCTGGGCTCTGGGCTCTGGGCTCTGGGCTCTGGGCTCTGGGCTCTGGGCTCTGGGCTCTGGGCTCTGGGCTCTGGGCTCTGGGCTCTGGGCTCTGGGCTCTGGGCTCTGGGCTCTGGGCTCTGGGCTCTGGGCTCTGGGCTCTGGGCTCTGGGCTCTGGGCTCTGGGCTCTGGGCTCTGGGCTCTGGGCTCTGGGCTCTGGGCTCTGGGCTCTGGGCTCTGGGCTCTGGGCTCTGGGCTCTGGGCTCTGGGCTCTGGGCTCTGGGCTCTGGGCTCTGGGCTCTGGGCTCTGGGCTCTGGGCTCTGGGCTCTGGGCTCTGGGCTCTGGGCTCTGGGCTCTGGGCTCTGGGCTCTGGGCTCTGGGCTCTGGGCTCTGGGCTCTGGGCTCTGGGCTCTGGGCTCTGGGCTCTGGGCTCTGGGCTCTGGGCTCTGGGCTCTGGGCTCTGGGCTCTGGGCTCTGGGCTCTGGGCTCTGGGCTCTGGGCTCTGGGCTCTGGGCTCTGGGCTCTGGGCTCTGGGCTCTGGGCTCTGGGCTCTGGGCTCTGGGCTCTGGGCTCTGGGCTCTGGGCTCTGGGCTCTGGGCTCTGGGCTCTGGGCTCTGGGCTCTGGGCTCTGGGCTCTGGGCTCTGGGCTCTGGGCTCTGGGCTCTGGGCTCTGGGCTCTGGGCTCTGGGCTCTGGGCTCTGGGCTCTGGGCTCTGGGCTCTGGGCTCTGGGCTCTGGGCTCTGGGCTCTGGGCTCTGGGCTCTGGGCTCTGGGCTCTGGGCTCTGGGCTCTGGGCTCTGGGCTCTGGGCTCTGGGCTCTGGGCTCTGGGCTCTGGGCTCTGGGCTCTGGGCTCTGGGCTCTGGGCTCTGGGCTCTGGGCTCTGGGCTCTGGGCTCTGGGCTCTGGGCTCTGGGCTCTGGGCTCTGGGCTCTGGGCTCTGGGCTCTGGGCTCTGGGCTCTGGGCTCTGGGCTCTGGGCTCTGGGCTCTGGGCTCTGGGCTCTGGGCTCTGGGCTCTGGGCTCTGGGCTCTGGGCTCTGGGCTCTGGGCTCTGGGCTCTGGGCTCTGGGCTCTGGGCTCTGGGCTCTGGGCTCTGGGCTCTGGGCTCTGGGCTCTGGGCTCTGGGCTCTGGGCTCTGGGCTCTGGGCTCTGGGCTCTGGGCTCTGGGCTCTGGGCTCTGGGCTCTGGGCTCTGGGCTCTGGGCTCTGGGCTCTGGGCTCTGGGCTCTGGGCTCTGGGCTCTGGGCTCTGGGCTCTGGGCTCTGGGCTCTGGGCTCTGGGCTCTGGGCTCTGGGCTCTGGGCTCTGGGCTCTGGGCTCTGGGCTCTGGGCTCTGGGCTCTGGGCTCTGGGCTCTGGGCTCTGGGCTCTGGGCTCTGGGCTCTGGGCTCTGGGCTCTGGGCTCTGGGCTCTGGGCTCTGGGCTCTGGGCTCTGGGCTCTGGGCTCTGGGCTCTGGGCTCTGGGCTCTGGGCTCTGGGCTCTGGGCTCTGGGCTCTGGGCTCTGGGCTCTGGGCTCTGGGCTCTGGGCTCTGGGCTCTGGGCTCTGGGCTCTGGGCTCTGGGCTCTGGGCTCTGGGCTCTGGGCTCTGGGCTCTGGGCTCTGGGCTCTGGGCTCTGGGCTCTGGGCTCTGGGCTCTGGGCTCTGGGCTCTGGGCTCTGGGCTCTGGGCTCTGGGCTCTGGGCTCTGGGCTCTGGGCTCTGGGCTCTGGGCTCTGGGCTCTGGGCTCTGGGCTCTGGGCTCTGGGCTCTGGGCTCTGGGCTCTGGGCTCTGGGCTCTGGGCTCTGGGCTCTGGGCTCTGGGCTCTGGGCTCTGGGCTCTGGGCTCTGGGCTCTGGGCTCTGGGCTCTGGGCTCTGGGCTCTGGGCTCTGGGCTCTGGGCTCTGGGCTCTGGGCTCTGGGCTCTGGGCTCTGGGCTCTGGGCTCTGGGCTCTGGGCTCTGGGCTCTGGGCTCTGGGCTCTGGGCTCTGGGCTCTGGGCTCTGGGCTCTGGGCTCTGGGCTCTGGGCTCTGGGCTCTGGGCTCTGGGCTCTGGGCTCTGGGCTCTGGGCTCTGGGCTCTGGGCTCTGGGCTCTGGGCTCTGGGCTCTGGGCTCTGGGCTCTGGGCTCTGGGCTCTGGGCTCTGGGCTCTGGGCTCTGGGCTCTGGGCTCTGGGCTCTGGGCTCTGGGCTCTGGGCTCTGGGCTCTGGGCTCTGGGCTCTGGGCTCTGGGCTCTGGGCTCTGGGCTCTGGGCTCTGGGCTCTGGGCTCTGGGCTCTGGGCTCTGGGCTCTGGGCTCTGGGCTCTGGGCTCTGGGCTCTGGGCTCTGGGCTCTGGGCTCTGGGCTCTGGGCTCTGGGCTCTGGGCTCTGGGCTCTGGGCTCTGGGCTCTGGGCTCTGGGCTCTGGGCTCTGGGCTCTGGGCTCTGGGCTCTGGGCTCTGGGCTCTGGGCTCTGGGCTCTGGGCTCTGGGCTCTGGGCTCTGGGCTCTGGGCTCTGGGCTCTGGGCTCTGGGCTCTGGGCTCTGGGCTCTGGGCTCTGGGCTCTGGGCTCTGGGCTCTGGGCTCTGGGCTCTGGG